AATGTGAGAGCGCGGTGCTTATGTACTAACTGGTGCGAGTGAGACAGGCCGTTCGGTTTATTGCGATCTTTTACTGCGCATCAGCTGTCGTTTACTCTGTATTATTCAGTGAACAGTTATATAGTCGTAGTAATAGTAAACATTGTAATATTAAACTGTGTTATTTGGTTGATAAATGTGATCCAGTTTTAATAAATAAATAATTTTTTTATCATGAGTGACGAAAACGTAGAAGAAATTTGTTTTGTCTGTAAAAAAAGTGGTGAAGATCTAGTAATATTTTCGGAAGAGACTTTTAAAAAATGTCAAACTATTTTAAAATTAAGAAAAATACATAACCTCAAGTATAAAAACATTATTTTACCTGGTGAATATATAGATAATCGTTATCACCGGTCATGTTATAAAGCATTTACAGGTCTCATGAAAAAATACTTCAGTAATGAACCTGTAAGTACTGAAAAAATAAAAAGAAAAAAACAAATAAGCAGTGTGCTAACCGGCAACTCATCTCCAACTTCATCATCAACACTCCAGTCGAGTTCAGTACCACTTGATTTGGAATCTCAAATAAAATCGCAAGAAATTTTACGTTCCCAATCAATCGGAGCACAACCTTCTACATCACAAGATGAATCTTATTTACAGCCTGTACCTACAGAATCTCCCACGACATCACAGGTAATTAAAATTTCTCCACCAAAAAGTCCACAATCTTCAACTCTTCAGGATCATTCTAATTCTTCTGAACCGGATGTTAGTGATAATAATATTTCAATTCAGGACATGATTATTTCGTCGGATAATATTGTTGGTAATAATGACAACGAGATCGTTTGTATTTTTTTTTTTTTTTGACCGACAAATCTGCTTTAATGAAATGTTTAGAGAAAGAAGTTGAGCATGACGAGCCACCTCGAATTGATGTATTCATAATCGACGGGTTTTTTTTATTACACACTATGAGAAATGTACCTAAAACGTTCGGCAACATTTCTAAAAGAATGTTGCAAATGGCAACTCAATTAAAAGCGTCAAGAATTGATGTGGTATTTGACAGGTATTTTACACCATCGATAAAAGACTATGAACATTCCCAACGATTTGAATGTGCACAGTTAGAGTATACCATAGCTGGGCCTGAACAAGTTCGTCCTAGTGACTTCGCGAAAGAATTAAAAAATTCAAATTTTAAAGAAGCTCTGGTCAACTTTTTCATTTTACATTGGGCTACTGATGAAGTTGCGCCATTTATTGGTAACAAAACAATACATATTAATTTCAAAAATTGCCATTCATTTACTGTTAATAATACCAACAAAGTCATGTCAAGTATTATTGAGGAATTGTCTTGCCCGGAGCATGAAGAAGCAGATACCAAAATTGTGTACCATGCATGTAAAATAAACGATGCAGCAAATATTGTAATACGAACTGTTGATACTGACATTGCTGCTATAATGCTAGGTCATATGCATCATTTAAATGATGGATTGCATGTTTGGATGCTTATAGGCACTGGAAATAATCTAAGATATGTGGACCTAACTAAAATACACGAACAACTGGGAGAATCTATTTGTAAAAGCTTGCCTGGATTACATGCAATCACAGGATGTGATTACAACCCTGCATTTTTTAGACGAGCAAAATCAGAACCGTTTAAAATATTGAAAAACTATGTGGAATTCCAGGAAGCCTTAATGTATTTTGGACACAGCGAAATCATGGAAGATAACAATAAACAACACGAGATCTTTAATGTTATTCAAAGTCTTTTATGCTACCTATACAATGTTGGTAATTTAAACGACGTTGATGCTGCTAGGCTGCAAATTTTTATCGATTCTTACACAGTCTCTGATGTAAACGAAGCTTTTAATAACAAAAAACTACGGAATTTTGATGCCAGTTGCTTACCACCTTGCAAAAGTGAGCTATTTCAGCAATTTCTGCGCGCGAATTATATATGTTCTATATGGAACAATGCTCACTTGAAAATTCCAACAGCATACGAACCAGTAAATTATGGTTGGATTCTGGAAAAAAATCAATACTATTTTAAATGGTTTGAGGGGGATCAGTTACCGAATTATGTTAGTGAATCTTTACAACAAATGTCAGGTATGTAATAATTGGATGAGAATATATAACACGAATTTATGACAGCTTATAATTAACTAGGATCATTTTATTATTACAGAAACGAACGAAGGTGATATTGACAACGATCAATGCGAGGACTGGAGTAGCGAAGACGAAAATGGAAATATCGACGACAACGATGAAAATTATTAAATAATGCATTTGATTGTAAAGAATTTGATAATTGATTTAAAAATCATTGAATATTTGTTTGAAATAAAATTATTTTTTTTTAATGTTTGCTTTTCAAAAGAATTATGAATAAATATAATAAACTTCATAAGACGTATGAAAATCTAAATTTAGTGATTTTTTCGGATTATATTTTCTTATAAAATTATACTTTAATGCAAATTGTTTTAGAAATTTATAATAAATTTATTAAATTGAATTTCTTGATAAAGGATAGCTAATTTTCAGTACAAGATCGCAATAAACCGAACAGCCTGTCTCACTCGCACCAGTTAGTACATAAGCACCGCGCTCTCACATTTTCTATGCACTCCAATGCGTCTGGCAGGATGATAGAACCCTCGAATGTGTCTGGCTACTAAAGAAACATCTTTTTATAGTTCCCCAAAAAACATATATAAAATTCAGCTTTTAAAAAATAACGTAAGTAAAATTACAAAATATTATAGTTTAGGGGTGTCTGGCGAAGGGTTGGAACCGTATTAAGCGTCTGGTAATGAATGACGTAAGTTGTGATATTGTTACAAACAGATATATATAAAAAATAAGTTTTATAAATTAATAAATTTAAGATGGAATTTTATACACCTTTATTACCTGTTACCTGCCAAAGCCACCACTACCCAGGTATAATGGGTGGGGATCGTTCTTACCTTTACTAAAGGTATACATAGAAAAACTTTCAGCTTATATTATAAAAGGAAGGTCTGGCAGTCACGGGCTCTTGGACTAATCGTGCCGCGGGTGTTCATAAAATTTTTAATTCGAAAATTTTAATTAAACAATTTTAATCTGTGCACATACATTTTAATTGAGCATCTAACAAGAACCTGCTGAGATGTTTTATCTTATCGTTTGTGATGCTGACAAATCCTATTGCACAGTGGAGGATTTTGAAGTTATTTATGATGTCAATCAACCACCAGAAGTTGACGACCTGTACAATTTTTTTGGGGAAAAGAAAAATACTCTGGAGTTATAGTTGATTTATCAGGTAAGCTATTAATTGTTTAAAAATTTAGTATCAAAATCTTATTTTTTTGCATGTAAATATATTATAAACTAAAATTCAAGAATCTATCAAGAGCTAAAGTACTCTAAATATATTTATTAGAATAATATTTATTATTGAAGTGAAGCAAACTTCTTAGCTGTTTGCTTTTGAAATTAAAAAAAATTATGCTTAATTCAGTAAATTTAGAGAGTTTAATAACAATAATGATATAACTGATAATATTAAGTCAATTTTACCGTTCTCTTTTGTTTCTCCATTTAGACTATTATGCTAAAGAACAATATCTACTGCAAAAAAAGTGTTTATGATGATGCGGTAGATCTAAGTCGGAAATCTGGAACTTCATTTCTACGAAGGTTCATTGATGGTGTATTTAAGCGAGAGGAACTCTTGAAATTTACTCGCACTGGACGACCTCCTTCTGCCCAAGGTAAACTAAGACAATCTGAGAAAGTTAACCGCTAGACCGAGTTGCTAGAAACGCAGTTATAGGTAAATACTAATACTAATATTTTATTACTTACAGTCAATTCTATTTTTTATAATCTATAACGCGTTGACAACTTTGTATTACAGACTTTTCTCTAGATTATGCAACTAACCAGGGATGGGTAGTGCCTACCAAGGGACAACTAAAGAGTGCGATGTCTCAATGGATCGGTGAATTCAAAAGAGCAGAGAAGAAAAATCGTAACCGACAAACGTAATTCCTCAAATATTAAACTAACAATTGTTTTTTTCAATTAATCGTTAAAGTGGGTCAAGAAAGCACAATATTATTATTATTATTTTTTAAAGCACCCCAATTATTTATGTTTCCTTTTGATGATATAACAATTGTTTATAAAAATTGTCAAATTTAATATAATTTAAAAAATTTCTATAATCATACTTTTTGTTTGAGATGTTTCTTTAATTACTTTATAAATGACTTGACTTTATGACTTTTATTCATAATATTATAATTTATTTAAAAAAAATATTTGACATAAAAAAAAATTAGAGTTCACATTTAAAAATATACATATGCTTAAAATTTATTCTTAGAATATAAATGCATAAAAATGTAGACTGGCGAGTGTGATAGTAAAAAAATTATAAAACTAGAGAGTTGTCTATAGTTACACGTAAGTTTAATCAAAATATATATCATATATTAATAAATATATATAATATATTAAATAAAGTTTTATTTAAGCATGTGTGTAATACGATACATTAAAATGTGATATAATTAAATGTTTAATTATAAAAAATGTATTATTGCAATAAGGATCGTTTATATGTGTATCACAATAAGCCAAAAATTAATGTTACTAAGTCGCGTTTATATAAATATCCTAATATATATAAATTTGATGTTCAATACATGTACTCTATCGAATAAAATATGCTTTCAAATTAATTTTTGTTTAATACAGGAATACCCAGTAAAATTAATATCGCGATTATATTTATATTTAACTATATTTAACTATATATAACTATATATAGTTATATATAAGTTTATATAGTTATATATAATTCATATACAATTATATAAGGCCATTTTCCATATATAATTATATATGATATTATATATATATTTTTTTTCCCCGGGTTGTCATTCGAGGTAAGACCGTACCGCAGAGGTAATGCCAACCGTACAATGTCCACCACATTGGTAACCCCACTCTGCGGTAACCTTCCTGCGGTAATCCTACTAAGCGAGGGCTGCTTATAACACACTAATGTGACTGAACAATTTTATTAGTTGCTGGTAATTTTGTTCAAACCTAAATTTTATTTAGTTGTAGATTTTGTTTAGTCTTTGAACTTAAGTTATTTTGTTTTGTTCCAGGAACCTATAAATCAAGTGCTTCAGAACTCCCCGACGAGTCTTGACAGCGTTAGTATAGACGAAGATATTTTTGAGACGCCCAGAAAGGCTGCACTAAAAAAATGCGTGCGACAATTAACATTTCAACGACAACAGTTACAAAAGAGAAATAAAATACTTACTCAACAAAACAAAAGATTGAAGAAGAGAGTTGCCAGCGTTACAGTTATACTAAAAGATTTAAAGAAAAAAGACTATATTTCAAAAGAACAATTTACACAACTCAATTTAAAAGCCGAAGTCCTAGATTTAATAAATAGAATATATTTAAAAAAGAAATCAAAGAAGTCATATCGCGTAAAGTATCCCCTCGCTCTTAGGAAATTTGCACTCACACTTAATTTTTATTCTTCTGCAGCTTACAAATATGTTAGAAGTGTGTTTCATACTGCTTTACCACATCCACGTGTATTAGCCAAGTGGTATGAAAGTACTTCTTGCTCGCCTGGGTTTACTCAACAAGCCTTCAACATTTTGAAGAAGAAGAGCTCTTTTTCAGGCAAACGTCTATTATGTACCCTTGTTGCAGATGAAATGGCACTTCGGCATCAAACCACGTTGACTGGTAGAAAAACTGATGGTCTTGTTGATTTTGGTATTGATTTTAGTTCCAATATCAAAATCGCAACACAAGTGTACGTTTTCCTTTTAGTGGGTTTGAATGAAAGCTGGAAGATGCCAGTAGGCTATTTTTTTATAAAAACTCTTTCAGCTGAAACACGAGTAAATTTAATCAGTACTTGCATAAGTAAATGCTACGATTCAGGTGTTGATGTGGTGGCGATTACTTTTGACGGTTGTCCAAGTAACTTAGCTGCGGCTTATCTCCTAGGGTGTAATTTAAATACACCAAATAATTTAAAAACAACATTTTTTACATGCTGAGTGTGGTATCGAAGTTGCTGTAGTTTTAGACCCCTGCCATATGATCAAACTAGTTCGTAACACCTTCGAGGCAAAAAAAATCATATTCGGGAATGATAATAAAGAAATAAAATGGAGCTTAGGTTGTGGCATTAGTAGTTGACCATGTACTAGTAGTTGACCGCTTTGTATGAAAATTTAAATAATAAGCGTAGTATTTATTGTATCTAATAAAGAAACTAATTTACAAGTAGCTGGTGCCATCTATTAACAACTGCAGAAAGCTCAGAACTAAAGCGCGTTGTGTGTAGCAATGGCCGACAGTTGTTGTTGACAGGTACAACTGTGTGGCGCGTTTCTTGATTGTATTATCTAATTTAACTAGAGAACAAGTGTTTTTGTGGAGATAAATAAGTCACACAAATAAATTCTTCAGGTAAGATTTACATTTAAAATATTTTTAAAAGTGTTTTCTTTTAAGTTCAAAAGTTTTTAACAATATAACCTCACATCTCGAGTGATTGTTTGGGGTGGTCATCTACTGAATGGTATTTTTTGGAAAGTTCAGTAATTGACCTTGATGGTCAACTACTGATTCAATTGTCTTAACATAGTTATTGTATTATACATGTATTTTCATAATCAACTTAGCCACATAACATTACAGCTCTTATCCAGATTTATAAAACATGATGGGTTTTAGTAGTGGACCACGTGGTCAATTACTAAAGCATGATGTGGTCAACTTTTAACACAATTTATAAAATGTTGACAAGTTGTTTTTATTGCAGGGTATTTAAATATTATTTTCAAGATGCCTGGAAACAAGAACACATTTCTAAACTACAGTGAAGATGCTATGAAAGCTGCAGTTGAAGAGGTTCGCCTGCACAAAATATCTAGGAAGGAAAAACGGATTCAGGATGGATGACATGTGAGGCATTTTTTGAATTTATTGCCGATATTTTTCATCCCTGGTTATTACAAAAACAAATAACTTTTCCAGTCATTCTTTTCGTGGATGGCCACGCGTCCCATTTATGTTTGCAAACAAGCCAATTTTGTGAAAAAAATGGGATAATTTTGGTAGCTTTGTTACCGAACGCCACCCATATTTTACAGCCTATGGATGTTGCAGTGTTCAGAAGCCTTAAAGAAGCATGGAGGAAAAAAACCCATCAATGGAGGATGGACAATGTTGTTCAAGGAGGTTCTCATATCCTAAAAAAGAAAGATTTCGCAAAGTTACTGCAAGAAGTGATACTTCAAAATATTACAAAATCTATGTTGTCCAATGGATTCAAAAAATGTGGATTGTTCCCGTGGAATCCGCAAGCTGTTGTGATACCAGACCAAGGATTATCCCAAGAACAAGAACGTAATTCAACCGTGATGAAAACGCAATACCTAAAGCGGGGTTTGGATTTTCTTAACGACATGATGGGAGCAGAAAAAGTAGCTATTTTTGAGGCATCTGAAGGTACTTGGAATGGAGATCCACTGGACACTTCTTTATTTAAATTGTGGAAGAAAATAAAAATAGAGAAACTTTCTTCAGAGGCTGAAGAAAGTTTAAACTGTGTTGATGGGGAAAATATTTCTGACGGGCCGGTCAGAAATGATGACTTCCCACAAGCAACAGAGGCCTCTACTAGGATTGCTGATAATTTATTAGCACACCTCGATTCTTCAGAGATTCTTTCTGATGGAAGAAATATAGAAGAAGCTTCTGTAATGGACTTAGATATCATTACTGCCTTGGATCCAAATGCTTCGGATTCAGTTTCAGTAATAGAGGCATCTAGCAGTCTAAATAAAGAGAACGTGGCAGGTCCGTCACACAAGGAAATACCAAGTCCATTTAAGAGGCACTTCTTTTATCCTGCGTTTGAAGAAAACAAGAAAAAAAGGATAATGAGGGAAAGAATGCCAACGATTGTGTCCGGAGAATTGTGCCAAAAATATTTCGAAACCAAAAAGAAGAAGAAAGAGGATCTTGAGCAATTGAAGATAGAACGAGCCACTGAAAGGCAACGAAAGAAGGAAGAGAATGAAAGACTAAAGAAAAATAGGGTTAAAGTGGTGAAAAATAAACACATTAAAAGTGTATCAAAGATTCTTTCAGATAGCTCTGACTCGAGTGTCGATGTTTCTTCTGGAGATAGTGTGTTTTCAGAATCCTCGGGAGATGAAAACTTAAGCAACCTAAACCCTTCTAGAAAACCGTTATTAAAACAAATTAATGAATATGTTATTTTCACATACGATAATAAGTATTACCCTGGCAAAATAATTAATGTTACTGAATATACTGCAACAATTTCATCCATGATACAGTGTGGTCGCTTATGGAAATGGCCCGAGACCTGATGTTCTTGAATATCAATGGAAAAATGTGACATCCCATATAAATGAACCCAAAAAGACCAGTAAAACGCGTAATGTTTACTCTGTTCCTGAGCTAGATTTCATGTGGGATTAAGTTTCCAAAAGACCTATCTGCCCTTCCAGTTCTAGCGTTCGTCACTGAATATTATATTTTTTCTATATTATAATTAAAATGTTTTTTGACATATCTGTGGTCTTATTTACCATACAAGTAGCTTATATTCATATGGCCAACTACTGATGCTAAATACGGTCAACTACTAATTTTTTCAGATTTTTATTGGTCAACTACTGGAGCAAACACTTCAAAAAAATTTGAACCAATTTGGTTCAAATTTTTTTGAAGTGTGTATGTTTTGTTCAATTGAAAAACTTATTAGCAAAACTTAATCTGAAGGGTATAATGATTTCTTTTAAGTACCCACTGAAATTCTAAAATTTAAATGTGTGTGGTCACTTAAAGTGTGCAATCGTTCCAATTATAGCTATATTTTTTACTCACGTGCTTATCCCATATTTTGTACTTTTCATTAATGCTACTTGTCAACATGTGTGCACTATATCGGTATGTATATATGGCGCGATCAGATTTGAAGAGTCAGTTACTATGAAGTTAACATATCTTGTATATAAAATCATTGGTTTACATGTATTTTTTGTCACTCGTTCAAAAACTACATTTTGTAAGGAAAATAGAAATGTATTTTTATTAGCTAGGTTTAGTAGAATAATAATAAAACCTTAGTCACAATATATTACAATCAAATCAATCAGTCAAAATATAAAGTCGGTCCACAGATCAGTAAAGCTGCCAACACTAAAGAGACGTAAGTATGTATATCATAAATAAATAAGGAGTATTATATGCATGCGCATGTATGTTTATTATTTTATGTAAGTATATAAGTATATCCTTACGAATGTCAGAGTTATCATACAACAAGTACGCTAGCTAAGGCCGAACTGTTAAAATATTTACACGAGAAAAGACAGAACAAGAGAAACCTTGATGATATTGATTATTTATTTCAAAGTTATGCGACTTCTATGAAAAAAATGCCGGCTCGCATGCAAAGTAAGCTCAAATTAGATATTGCAACATTATTTGCAAAATATTAAATGCAAATGCAAGACAATATAAATATAACGCCAGTCAATTCACCATCAACTAACTTGTCTACTGCAGATTCTATATCATATAAGTATTCATCCGAAGACAGTATGTTACAAGATGTTGAAGATCTACAAGGTCTGCCAAGGTATGAATTCAAAATGTTGTGTATCATGTAATAATTCATCACGCGACATGGATGAATTATTACATGATACACAACATGTTAAGTCAAATGAAGAAAATCAAAACCAAAATACATCTGAATTTTTTGAGCTTAGACGGTGTTATGAAGAAGCCGCTGAAATAATTAATAATGTTAATGAATAATGCTTAAGAATAATAATATACATTTATTTGTTTAAGGAATAAAGTAACTTACCTCAAACATACCACCAATCTTTCTTTTGCTGAAATGGCTTTCCTCCAGTTAGTATCTTGTTTAACTAAGTCATGTTTAATTTTGTCATACAGTTCATTGAAGGAATCGATGTTCATCCGAAAAGAATTATAAAAATTTCTTCATCATTAACCCATTTAGAAAAAAGTCTATGAAATTCGCCATCTCGTTCTCTATCCTTATTTACTGGGCGCACGCAGTGTTTTCTTTTCCGTCTTGACGCTGATAATGACCACAAAATCAATAATTCGTCTTCCGATGAAGAACTATCGTCAAAAAACATGGTGACACTAGTGGTACCGCGTCGACCGTTTAAAAGCGGGGTTCGTGAGCAATTGCACGCTCGAACGCAGAACGCGAACGCAGAACGCTTGACCGCGTGACCGCTCTCTGTCTGATAGGACCCTTAAGAGTTGTTTACCGATGCTATGAATTTGTGGCGTAGCCACTATACTACAAAACATTATCACTAACACAAAGCATATGTATGTACTTATTATAAATATTAACTTATCTATAAAAATCATTACTAACACAAAGAATAATATATATATTTATTTATATATATTAACTTGTACATAAAAATATCTGTTACAAACAAATACATAATACATATTTTATTAATTACCTAGCATCGGCAAACGACTAATCGTAGAGTAGGGATATTCACTTAACATCGATATATCGAATTTATTCGATGTATTCCGTACGATATATCGGATTGATTCGATGTTTTGACTAACATTTATTGTATTCGATATATCGATATATTTATTTATAGAAACATCGAATATTTGCTTTTTTTATTTTCTTGTCGAATCTATTAACGAACTAAATAATTTTAACACTACTTGATGCCTTCAATTTTTAATAAGGTTCATTAAGATAGTGACATCTGTGAGTGACCATCTTAATTATCTAATCTATCCTGACAGATCGATCGACTATTCACTCTCAATGTATGTATAGTCTGTGGATTCTATAGGTTCATTATATTTACTTACACTCACTTCACTCTTCTTGCGTCGTCTTCTTCTGTTTGGCGGTAACGCAAATAAATCATTGTTTTAATTGTATATCTAAGACAAATTTATGTAAGAATTTTACTTGCTACTACAATTTATTACTCTAAAATAACTGATTTGACCTATCGTTTGATTGCTAGTTCGAAGTTGAAAAGGTATATAATATTATATTTCTATTATGTTTATGAACCTAACCTCTACTCGTTTGTGACAGTGTTTTATATTGAAGATATAATATAATGATCTTTTATATTATAATACATTTCATAATAATAAATATATTTCCTATTTTATTCTTATAAATGCTATATCATTATAATGAAGTAAGTAGTTATTCGATATGTTATAAAGCACTACTTACGTGTATTGCATCAAATCATTTCTTTAGTGTATTTTTCATTTAGTTTTTAAACTTGTAAACAAATTAACTCAATAGTGATATGACACTACATCAGACACAAAATAAAATTATGGAAAAAAATAAACATTAATTGATTTGTTCTTTTTTTAGTTAATTACAAGATGGCGCCTCCAAAGAAAAGTCATGTATGGAAGTTTTTTACGAAAATTGAGGGAAATGAAAACCTTGTAAAATGCAAAATTTGCCAAAAAACGATTAAATCTTGTGGCAACACATCAAACTTGCTTAGTCGCGTAAAAAATATCCACAAGGCTGCCTTTTTGGATATGAATAAAGAATATTCACAAGTGTTGAGCAATGTCAACTTACTAAATATCCACAGTGAAACAATTACAAAAACAAATGAAGCAGACTCTGAACCTGCTGTTCCCAGCCCTGAACCACTGCCATCAATAAGTACAGCTGTGTCAAAATATATCCATGTCGATAATCCTGTACCTCCGCCATTAAAACGGCAAAAGTCGATTGATGAAAGTTTCAAAAATATATCTGCTTATTCGGAAAGCGGCAATAAAACTTTGCAAGTCAATAATGCCCTCATCTACATGATTTGCAAAGATAATCAACCTTTCACGATTGTAGAAAATGACGGATTTCGTAATATTATGAAAATAACTGCACCGCATTACAAGCTTCCAAGTAAGACAACATTGACTCGCTGGGTTGATGACAAATATGATGCATTATCAGCTGTGTTAAAATGTAATAATAATAATATAATGTAAATAAAATAAATTAAAATGTTTAGAAAATATAACACTTACAACCGATATGTGGACAGAAACAATGAGTATGAGAAGCTTTCTTGGAATTACAGGTCACTTTGGTATATGTACCGAATTTTTTTCTATTACTCTTGGAGTATATCAGTCATTTGACCGTAACACTTCGAATCATATTGCTGAGATGCTTCTGAACTCTTGTTCTGAATGGGACATTGACGTTGATAAAGTTTCGGCTGTAGTAACGGATAACGCAGCATCTATGATTAAGGCGGTCGATCTGGCCTTTGGTAAAAAACACATACCGTGTTTTGCGCACACTTTAAATTTAGTTGCGTTAAATGCGATACAACACTGTCCAGAATTACAAAATCTAATAACTAAGCTCAAGACCATTGTAACATGGTTCAAACAAAGTAATACAGCAAGCAATGAATTAAGAAAAGCCACAGAAAAAGAAACAAAGTTAATTCAAGAAGTTTCAACAAGATGGAACAGCACTTATTATATGATTGAGAGATTTTTAGAGTTACGCATTGTAATCAATGATATAATATTTCGTCATAGAACAGCGCCACCTATGCTCAATGCATCAGAACTGTCAGTTCTTTCTTCTGTGTTACTAGTCTTAAGACCGCTCGAAGCTGCTACTAAAGAAATTTCTGGAGACAGAAACTGCACAAGCAGCAAGGTGATTCCGTTAGTTCATTGCTTAGTTTTAAAAATCCAACCTCTCCAATTGGAAGACTCACTTGCCAATGAATTGAAATCGTTTGTGCTTAATGAAATTGAAAAAAGAATGGGCGCTATCGAAAGAGTAACTCCACTCGCCATAGCAACTGTATTGGATCCCAGGTATAAAAAAATTCACTTCAGAGACGCACTTGCTTGCTCTACAGCAGTCGCAAAAATTAAAGACTTGATGAAAAATACTACACAAAATGTCGAAATGTCCGAATCAGATTCTGATCAATCTGAAAAACAAGAAGAGAGTTTTTCCTTATGGGATCATCATCACAAACTAGTAAGCAAGAGTTGGAAATCATCACAATCAGATGATGCAATTTCTGATGAATTATCGATCTACTTGCGTAGTCCAGTATCAGGAAGGCTCAATGAGAATCCTTTAGAGATTTGGCAAGATCTAAAAATTCAATTTCCTAAGCTTTATAAGATTGCCTTCAAATACTTAACTATTGTCGGAACTTCTGTTCCATCCGAACGTTTATTTTCAAAGGCTGCTCAAATAGTCAATCAACAAAGAAATAGAATGAAAGGTAAAAGATTAAGTAAACTTTTATTTTTGCAAAGTTTGTCTAAAGAGCATTGGTCTTAAATAGGTAAAGTGAAAGTAAGTTTTTTGCAGGTACCTAGATTAAGGCTAGTACTAAATATGTATTTTTTTTCTTTTACTGTTTTCAAGTTTTGTGGTATGTAATAAAATATTTCTATTAATTTGTCGTTTTTATTTCACTTACAAATGTAGGTATAACTTATTTCAGTCATCTCACCACTATCTTAGTAGTACAATTCTATTCAAATAACACTCATAGAAAATCACTATTACATATTACACTACTAGTTTAGCTATGTTACTCTGGTCTCTAATTCTACATTCATACTTACAAAATCAAGGACCACAAACTTTGTGCGTTTCACTGGAAAAAGGTAATATTAAATTTTTGTGGAAAGTATTCGATAGTGAAAAAATATCGATGTTTTCTAGCGATATATCGATAAACATCGATGCTGGGATCCAATATTTTACATCGAATATAAATATCGATATATTTTTTAAGTGGACACCCCTATCGTAGAGTGCAGCGGTAAACATCGATCGTGGTCGCATCGTTTAAACGGAGTCCTGCACTCAATAAACAAAAGGGTTCGGAGTGTCGGCGCTAGCGCATTACGTATTAGCCGCGCACCCCTCAGTCCGCCTCATGAGTTCAACGCAAAAGCTCGCTAATACGTTGTGCATCCTTATCTTTGTCATCATGGATTTCGTTCTACTAATTAAGTGATTATATGCTTCTATACTTACGAACTTTATTGTATGTTGGTAAATGACAATATAAAAATTCCAAAATAAGAGTGTCCAGTGTGTTATTTAAGGTGCACTTTAAAATATATACATCCGACATCATTATTCCCGTTTACAATTCTTACAAATTTAATGGTAATTCATAGGTTAGTTACTCACCTAAAACATACAAAAAAATTAGCTGCGGTTTTTTGCGGTTTACGAAGATATGTGAAAAAAATCGAATACTAGTCTGGGAACGGAAATCGCTATCAAATGCGGTTTCGTAGTTTACTTTTATTATCAATAACTTGTGATACGTTTTATGAATTAACTATTTGATATTGTTAAGTTTTTATCATTTCGATGTCATTTTTCGTGAGAAAATAGATATCTGAAATATTCCCACATTCTGAAACAATATAAAAAGGGCAGTGAAAAAATATTTCTCCATTACCGTTTCTACCTACTCTAGTACGGCTGTTTCATTATTCAATATGTCGACTTTTAACTGTACTAAACGTGAGTTAATAGTGTCTTATATAGAAGGCGGAAAAACGACTGCGGCACTTTCAACATATTTGTAGGGAAAACAAGTTTCAGAAGACAATATACGTTTTATTATTGGTCATATTCAAAGGGATATCATCCCATCGTTTAATAAACGCTGAAGTGAACCAGGACGCAATAAGAATACCTTTTTAAGAAAGAACACCAATTGGTTGGATTCTGAATATTCGTTAACCATACCAACATCAGAAAACGTGTCAACGGACTCTACACCGTCTACTTCTTCTGGTAAAAGAGAAAGACCGTGTGTGTCATATGGAGACTCTGTAACAGTTATTTTTTGGTATATTTGTAATGCGTACGGGTTTGATAAAAGCGACACCTATTGGCCGCATCGCATTGTTGTTGATTTATCTAAAGTAGTTTGTAGCTACGGTATTGATCTTCTTCGTTCACTTTCGGACCACTAGATGGCGTTTGTTTGAGGCATGATAGATTAATAAAAAGACTTACTTTTTATTGATCTGTCATGACAAATTGTATAGGTATTAAAAGTGTTTTGTTATAGTAGAAAGCAAGTTACTTTTGATTTTGTTAGTGTTGTCTTCGTTCACAATTTAAATGTCAAAGTAAAATGTTGAGTAGGGATAAAGTCTGGAAGCTACCTGAACCGAGGATATATAAGTCCGGCTTTCAGCCATGGGAGACACTGCTATCTCGTGCCTTCCAATCTTAAATAGTGTTTTGATTGCTGTGTGATTTGATTTTCGTAATATATTATCTGTTCAAAAGTACCCACTAAAGTGGTGAGTATGGTCTTAATTCTACTTAAACCTATTTGTTTCTGGAACCTGATTAATTATATGAGTGCTAATCCATTCGTAGGGTCCCAGATTTCGGGGTCAAGACGGTCAGTCTCAGACGGCGTGCTTGCTCGTTTGTGGCCTTCTGGTTCAGACTCAAGTTTCTCGGTACCCTCTGGCAAGCTGGTGATTGCGCGGCTCACGACGCAAGCGGACAGCCGTACCCAAGGGTTACGTACTTACTTATAAACTTATAAATGCAAATTGTTTAACTTTTATCAATATCTAATATAAATAGCCGACTCGGGCGGAAGAGGAAGTAACCTCCTAGAGTGAAGACGAGGAGGCACCGAGCACCATCAGCTCGGCTCTGACGCGCTCCGCTGCGGTTTTTTTTTATACCCTCTGATTTTGTTTTTATTGTAAATTTAATTTTGTTTTGAAATATACATGTATGTATGACTGAGGTGTAAGTTGTTTTCCTCTAAAGAGTCCCGTAGGTTTCCACACACGCACACACTTCTTTTCTCTTAGAAGGCGCCCTGAGGTAATCTCATAGATCTCTCCACTGGGTCAGCCGGTGAGTAGTCCGCCTGAGAAGAAAAGCGGTTACAACTCTTCAAAATCGAGCAAAAAAAGGAAAAACACCGTTTTGTTAAATGAATATGGTTTAGAGCACATTCTAAGCGCATATCTTCAAGGATTGCGTTCTATAGGAGAAGGAACTGAAGCAAAAGCTGTTGAACAATTAAGGTTGGCTGATGCAGAGAAAAATGTTTTCGTTATAAATCAATTAGATGATGCAAAAATAATGCAAATGCAAAAAGGGCTTACAGATGAATAAGCCTTAAGTGTCTTCATCGACTTGGAACTAACAAAGGTACAATATCTGTATCTCAGGAACGTTACAGATGAAAGAAACTGTTCTTTATTTCCACCATACTACAAAATACAAGAAATGAAACAGAGATGCTATCCACCATCATCAACAATCGAAATCACAAATACTTTTGCAAAAATATTGAGAGTTCAAGATCTATTAGATCACACTGCAGCTCGAATTTTATGTATAGATACAGTTTACAAGAATGGACAAAAACATTTAATATTATACAGCAAATAGGGTTGTGATGGGTCATCTGGACAAAGCCAGTATAAACAACCTCTACCAGAGCAGTCTGAACTTATTTCCGATGCAAATTTATTTATTACTTCTTTTGTGCCTATCAAATTAATTGACGAGGAAACAGGCGCCATCATATGGCAAAATCCAGTGCCTTCATCTGTTCGTTTTTGTCGGCCTATATCTATAGAATTTTGCAAAGAAACACCAGAAAAAACTAAATCTGTTGTAGATGAAAAAAAAAATCAAATACAAACTTTGCTTCCATCAGTAATTAACAAAGAAGGCGTGGGAGTTCAAGTCAAGCATGAACTTTTTTTGACGATGATAGACGGAAAAGTGGCACAAGTTTTAACAGATACGCCTTCTAGTTCCACATGTACAATATGCGGAGCAACTCCTAGACAAATGAATTACTCGAAAGAGGCGCATTCAATAATCCAGAACCAAGAACATTACCCAATTGTGACATTACAGTTCCATATGTTATAGTAGCCGATGAAGCTTATCCTCTTAAAGAGTATCTAATGCGTCCATATCCTCAAAGAACATTGAATCAAGAGAGAGAAAATTTTAATAGTAGATTGTCAAGGGCGAGAAAAACCATTGAGTGTGCATTTGGGATATTATGCAATAAATGGCGAGTTTTGTTAAAACCTATTGAAACTGATGTCAAACATGCACGCCTGATTATAAAAACTTTTTGCTTATTGCATAATATTGTAATTGATATAGATGGTTATGATTGTGATAGTGAGTTAACAACTCAAACTCGGCGCCAAAGGTGACAAACTGGAAGAAACAACAATCCATCAAATCGAGCTAAACAAATTCGGCATCTATTTACGAAATATTTCGTTAACAATCGTTTAATATATACGCAGCCGCCTTTGTAGAATTTTTGTAGCTTGTAATATTTCTAAATAAAAAGTTAAAAACACCGATAAATATGACAATATCATTTACTCACCCTCCATATCAGGAAACAATTCAGCAATTTCCTTCCATAGCTTATTAAGAACGTTTCTGTTCATATGATGTCTGTGTTTACTTTGCCAAATCGGTGTTCTAGCCTGAACAGCACTAATAAATTCTTCTGTATTGAACGACATGATGCAAACGTACTATCGATTCAAGCGACTAGTTCAAACTGGTTGATCTAACCTGACGTCGCGAGTGAATCGCGCGCTCCGCCGCTAGTTTGACGTGAACACACACAAACATCTCACGCGTTTGATATAGTCGCGAGTCGCTTGCTTGCCTGCTACTAAGACCGCACGTGCGATTCGTACGTGAACACTTGACCGAGCCCGCCACCGCGCCCGCGAGTCAACGTGAACAAGCACTTAGCTGTTTACGTACCGTGTGGCTGTCACAGCTACAATCTCGTACTCTGCGATGCCGCTAAGTCATCCGTAAAATCAGTCACTTTGTTTGGGGTACTTCAGAGGTTGTTCACATTGTTTTCAGCTTCTGTTCATCGATGGAAAATTCTAACCGAACACTTAGGATTATATACTATAAAAAAGCTCAGTGACACACTTTAGGAAGCAAGAATCAGCAGTGTTAAAGCAGTCCGTTATCAAATTAGTTCCATCCATGACGCTTTAATTACTTTAGCTATTGAAACTCAGAAAACTGATGTTAAAGTCTCTCATGAGGCTACTACTCTAGCCGAACAGCTTAAAGATTTTAGCTTCATAGTGTCATTGGTCGTTTGGTATGATATACTTTTTCAAATTAATATTGTTAGTAAATCTCTGCAATTAACAGACACAGATCTCGGTAAACGCACAGAACTGTTGGGAAAATGCTGCACTTTCTTGGAAGAATATAGAAATACAGGCTTCAAAAGCGCCATTTTAACGGCGAAGGAATTGGCTGAAGAACTGGAAATTGAACCTGTGTTTAAAGCCACGACAAGAATTCGATATGTTAAGCGTCAAGCTGGTGAAACTGCCCGCGATGAACCTATAGCTTCTCCGGAAAAAATAATTGAGATTGAACTTTTCAACTGTCTTTTGGACACTACATTAATTTCAGTCAATGAAAGATTTGAACAGTTAAATGAGTACTCGGAATATTGGTCTTTTTTGTACAATATAAAACAGATTCCGGTAAAACCTGACCTTGTCAAATTCTGTGGTGATCTCCAATTGAAATTAACTATAGACACTAAATCAGATATAGATGGGTGTATGTTGTGTGATGAACTCATAAGTCTGAAATCTCTTTTGCCTGATCTCGTTTTGTTTTAAATTTTATCAAAGATCGCAACTTACAAGAACTGTATCCAAATATATGGATAGCAATGCGCATATTATTAACTATACCTGTAACGGTTGCTAGTGGGGAGAGGAGTTTTTCTAAACTTAAGCTGATAAAAACCTATCTGCGATCGACAATATCGCAATCCCGATTGAAAAACTTTGCAACTTTGTCAATTGAGATTGAAATGGCTGAAAACCTCGATTTTGATAAAATGAGGGGTATAGAATCAAAGCCAGCTAAATCCATAGCCTGGTAGGTATAGAACTATGAACGCTATTTTATTCCTTATCCAAATTTGTACATGTTAGGTAAACCGTTTGGTATTAAACGCAGCTATTTTTTAAAGAAAAACCACTTTAAACTCACTCGTTAGAATCGAAGTCAGCTTTATCCAGTATTGTAAGTAACAAATGCAGCTAAGTCCAATTTTTGATATGGCATGTGTCATACAAACGCGTGCGTCCGTGTCTGCAGTTTTAATTAAAATTTTAAACCTTTTTGGTCAATTTTCAATAAAAAAAGATAATATTTAGTGCCATGGAAGTGTCAGTAACCGAAGCAGCACAAGGAAGTGTTCGAAAACGTAAGAAACAGCCTGCAAATGGGAAAGTAAACAAGGCAAAAATTGATAGATAAGTATAGAGTAGTGATGTACTCACTCTCAATCAGTTTCGATAAAACTGTTGCATTGCAGGGACACATTTCGTCTTTCAACAGTTTTTATTACTTTTACTTATCGCATTGTCTGTAATCAAATCTTACATGTTAAATTTGATCGACATTCCAGTTTAAAGTTGAGTTGAAATGCACGGATGGCGTTTAGCGGTCGCCCCGCCGCTTCCTACTACGCTGAGTAATGTGGGTAATACGCTAAGGATTTAGATTTGATTTTAGTATCTCAACTACGTACGATGAATAATTTTCTACTTTCTTAATAAATAATAAGGCCAAAAACATATGTCCATCACTTTGGCACATTCATAATCGTAACTTGTCATACGAACGTACTATAATCTAAAATATTAATTTTGCTTTGTATTTTCGAAATTCTGATGCATATCTGCTCTAATAACTCGATACCCAGAATCATCACGATACACTTCACAAGCAATAGAATTCTTGTTGGAATCAAAAGCAGCTATATCCATACTAGTCAGAATCAGAGACAGCTAAATCCAGGACTTGGTATCAAAAACAGCTATGTGTAGCACAATTATTTAAATTAGACGGTTACTGTTTCTGCTAATTATGATTGTGTTGAAAAACCTATAAAATCACTGCAAGCGCCTCCTGCCAAATAAATTACACTTATTACAGAGCTACCAAGTAAAAATTTAAAAAAAAGTTTTTTGGTATTTGTGTAAAAAAAGTTTGAATTTTTTTTAGCTTTAGTTAGCTGCCTTTGATTGTATACCCCTCAAATAATAAAAGAGTTCGCTGACAGTAAGGCTAGAAAAGTCAAATTTTATTAAAAAAAAAATTAATAAATGGTTATTTCATTATATCTTTTTCCTTTTTTCATATGGGTTTGAATTGCAGTTAGGGGGCGCCGTATAAATCTCGCCCAGGGCGATGGTAGTGCTAAAACCGGCACTGTGAACACGATAATCTATTCTGTGCCTAGGTGTTATTTATTTTGGGATCAGACGGCCGTGTGTGAGAGGTGTCAAGAAGTTATTATTGTTATTATTATACCAAATTCTAAATTTTTAATTTTGGTACTACTTTATTTAAACCAATTGACTGCTAAGGAGGTTGCACTGATTGTATTAATTTCATTTCCATGTGTCTAAGCCAACCACATAAATAAATGTGATTACCTACACTGCCGGCAAAAAGTTTAAGACCACATTTAAACAACATAATTATCTATCAATTGCAACGAAATCCCATAAGATAAAAAAAAGAAATGTAGGGGAAGTCCGGGAGACTTGCTCAAGCTGGAGAGTTGAACCACCTTTTAAAACTCCACTTAAAGGACAATGGGCATTGCGGCCCATGAGCGGCCATCAATGAAACTAGTGTCATTAGAAAGGGGAGATCTTTGACAACAAATATTGTTCAAGGAGTACTATGAAATACCGTTTGGAAAAAAAAAATAGTTAAAATACTATTATTAAAATACTATTTTTTTTTTTTCATTACTATTTATGTATCCTAATATTCAATACTTTTTCTATTAGAGGTCTAAGAACCTTTGTTAAAATCGGTCTCGCCGTGTTTCATGCGTCAACCAATCAGCGACGAGCGCCGCTCGCACTCGGCGACTCGGCGATTACCGTTATGCTCAAGCGCACAGCGCAGTCCATCGTTGACATTTGTTTCGTTGAGTACTGTGCGATTATTATTGTTTGACAATCTCTTTCGACTCTGGCTTGCATATCGGACTTGTTAGAATCTATCTTGGTGACTTGTGCTCGTTTTTTTGGACTTTTTTTGAGCAGATTCCTATAACAATGGCAGATAATCGTCAAGTGTGTATTTTATGTAATCGATCCGTGATAAACAGAAGAAGATACGAAATAACCCGTGCTCGGTTTGAAGAACATCCCGCTGTAGGCCAATATATCTTTGAAGCTCTGACCTCTGAACATCAGGTAAGTACATCAAACGAAATCATTACTTTTCTTTATATTTCGCTGTGTTTGAACAGCGTTCAATGAAAATAACTAAGCGTTTTGACTAATTGTAATACTCTCATTTTCAGATACAATACAATGGCCAGGAGTACATTTGTCGACCATGCTGGCAACGGGCAGAAAGAGCTGCGCAGAGAAGAGAAGACCGTCCACACGAATGTGTATTACGCGTTGTATGTATGAAAACTGCAGACGAACGGATCTCCGAAGGATTCCGGATAACATTAAAGTGACATTCTTGATTCATTTTAATTTTTATATTCCAAATAGTGCAAGAGTTTGCGATCATCATTTGGTATCCAATGATTGGGATCAAATAATTGACAGCCCTAACTTGCTCCACGACTTCAATGCCACACATTTTGTGCGTATCATGAGCCTCATGAAAATCGCGGTGCTTCGAGGATCTATACTAGATTTTGATAATATAGATGACATGGACCCAAATGAAGTATACATCCGATTAGGCGTTAGTCGAGACCAATTCATGAATATTTTGGAACAAACTCCTTCATTGTCGAACGTATCAACACGCCCGAAAACATCTTTGGCATGCTACTTAATGAAACTGCGAAGCGGTGAAGCAAATGAAAGGCTGGCGACGCTTTTTAATATGAGCCGTAGAACCCTAGAACGACATTTAACGTTCGCCAGAGACTCTCTTTTACTGGACTTCGTTCCCCGGCGTCTTGGTTATGATCATCTCAATAGAATTGATGTAGCTAACCGAAACCTACAAGTTCCAAATGCAAAGGCAATTGTGATAGCTGACGCCACTTATATATATATATACATATATATACATATATATATATATATATATATATATATATATATATATATATATATATATATACAAAAGTCCGCAAACTATTTATTCCAAAAGCGATCATACAATACACAAATACACGAATTTGTTGAAACCGTTTTTAATAGTGTGCTGCGATGGCCACATTTTAGATGCCTTTGGGCCATATTCAGCCATAGAATCAGATGCACAAATAATGAAAAATATGATTGACGACGAAGGAAATCCTTTCCATTGGTTTTTTTGAACATGGAGATGTGTTCGTCTTAGACCGTGGGTTTCGCGACGTAATCGACAACTTACATGCCTATGGTTATGAAGCTTACTTACCGAAAACAAAAAATCGAGACGAAGATCAATTGACGACAGAACAAGCGAATAAGTCTAGGTTGGTTACTATGTGCCGCTGGATTGTTGAAGTTATAAATGGTTGGTTCAAACGCGATTTTAAACTATTCCGACAAGACTTTTTCAATCGTGCTTTACCTCATATGATGACAGATTTTAGAATAGGTGCTGCATTATTGAATGCTTGCAGAGAACCATTGTCAGATAGCGTTCACGCTGAAACATTTATAGAGGTTATAAACCAAAGAATGAACCAACCAAATAACCTAGCAGAGTATGTCCTAGCCAACAACCTTAATCGTATACGGGCTAGTTTCGATAGCATTACAGGAAACCAACCTAACATAAGTGATTTTCCTTTGCTGACTGAGGAGGATTTAACCATTTTTGCACTTGGTACATACCAAGTGAAGTTAGCCTTATAATATAGAAACGTATAGGGATCCCGATGTTACAGACCTAGGCAGGTACGGCATCACAGCAACTAATGTTTGGCTGCTAAGATGTCGAATACAATAGACATACTAGGTCAAAAATATATTATTCGTACATTATAGTAGATAGAGAGAAAAGCGGCAGAGAAGCCATAGAAAACTACTATTGCAGTTGTCTAAGCGGCAAACGCACTCTTGGTTGCTGTGCCCATATTATGTGTGTAGTGTGGTATTTAGGGTGGGCGAGAAACCAAGAGGAAGAGATCCGTTTACTAGCTCATTTTTTAAACGATGTTATTGTAGACGACAATTGAATCCCATCATTTTCTTTTTTGAAAGGAATACTAGCATTATATACGAGCATTGTATATGTGTCTGTCAATAAATCGATGTATTTAATAACCAATAAACCTTTAGTTTTATTTAATCCATCATTATCTTATACTTAGATATGCATTACGTTGTATCATTTACGTACTTTCGGTTTAATTAATTCGATTTTTTTATATGATCAACGCTTTATAACTTTTTATCTAAACAAGTTGCCGAAATATTATTTTGCAGTCTTAATATACATATACATAATTGTCGACTAAAAAATATATAGGACAGATGTGGCCGCCGATGGGACAAGCGCCATACATTTTTGCCCATTGTCCTTTCGCGCTAATGAAACGTCAAGACGGTCATTGGTAGAGTGCAGAAGACCAATAACTAGCACGCCACCATTTTTTACAATAGCCGGTTTGTTTGGTTCTCAGTTTAGGAAAGATTTTTTGTTACGGTGGAGTAAATTTTATTAACTTATTTAGTTTTAAGATTGCAGCTGCGTTTATAAGGGTACGTATTGTGTGTTATTAATATTGTACTGCCTGATTATTGTAGTTTGGAGTGTGCTAAGTGTTTTTTCGCTAAAATTGATTGTTTTTTCTGTGAGTAAAATTTAATGTCAAAGTAGTATATGCGGAGGCTTGCATCATGACGGGTGCGGGAGATATGCTCAGTGGTTCATGTTCTAGAGTGTTTGTATATTTGGAGTTTTATTTTATAGATGTAGAAATTTAAAACTTTTTGTCTAAATTTAAAAACAATTCGAAAACCTTAATACGCGAGTCCTATTTGTATTTTGTTTGTTTTTTTGAATGTTTAATTTTATTTTCTCTTACAGGTTAATGGCATGAAAAATGCCTTTTCGATACAAGCCTCCTGAAGCAACACGGAAAAGAAATATACATTCCATCACAGAATTAGAAAAAAATCAAAAAGTCCAAAATTATTACGCAAATTCGCCTTCTCCTACCGCTTCGCGCAAAAAACGTTCCTTCTGTGCGCGCTATAAATCGCATAATAACAAAATTTGAAAGTGAATTCACTCTCCACGATACTGCTGTACCTGTAAGACAAAGAAATGCCCGTAGTGAAGAGAATATCGCAGCCGTTCAGGCCAGTGTTGATGCGAATTCAAATCGATCAGTTGAACGCCGTTCACAAGAGTTGGGGCTCTCTCCAATGACCACCTGGCGTATTTTGCAATTGGATTTGCGCCTACACCCATACAAAATTGTTTTGGCACAAGAATTGAACCCATCCGACCATTGTATTCGTCGTGAATTTGCCGATTATGCACTGGAAATGATGGAAGCCGATGACGATTTTCATCGTAAAATCATCTTCTCAGATGAGGCTCATTTCTGGCTCAATGGATTTGTTTATAAACAAAATTGTCGCTATTGGAGTGAGTCAAATCCACGTGTGGTTCATGAATCACCATTGCATCCGCAAAAAATAACAGTTTGGTGCGGTTTATGGTACGGTGGAATCATTGGTCCATACTTCTTTGAAAGTGACGAAGGAAACTCTGTTACTGTGAATGACGAGCGCTATAACTCGATGTTAACCGAATATTTCTTTCCGGAATTTGATGATATTGATGCAGACGACCTTTATTTTCAACAACACGGTGCACCACCTCACATTACTCGAGTGAACATGGAATTATTGCGTGGAAAGTTTGGTGAGTCGTTAATTTCGAGAAATGGACCGATCAGTTGGCCACCAAGATCGTGTGTTTAACACCTTTAGACTATTTTTTTTTGGGGTTACGTTAAATCTAAAGTGTACAGCAATAATCCAGCTAAAATTCGTGACCTAAAAACCAACATACCGGCATGGTGGACCGCGTCATCGAAAATTGGCGTGAGCGGGTGACCGTCTGCAAAAAGAGCCGCGGCGGTCATTTGGCCGATATATTATTTAAAACATAAATTGCATAAAATTATCTATCAAATAAATCAATCGGATGCAGTTTTCATAAAAAATTGTGTGTATTTTCCATTTTTAAACTAGGACGGTCTTATTGGTAGACCAAATATATCTGTGATTTAAGCTGCAAAAAGTTTTTATTTTCCCCTTTAAAAAGCAATGTTCAACTCTCCCCAGACCCCGGTTCCAGTGTCCCTAAGGGTGGGGAGAGTTAACTCATATTCCATTTTTCATTCAAATATAACATATTTCAGTACTATAATATCGAAAAAGTAATTATGCATAAGTAATCCTAAATAAATGAGCTACTGTTTATTATTATAATTGAATCACTAAGCCTCTTTTATAAGAAAATACGATACTTTAAACAAAAAGCGGTTCAACTCTCCCGGACTTCTCCTACACTTGCATATTCTATTGTTAATATCGAATATCTAAAGAAGTCATTCTTTTATTTACTTTCAAGTTATTGGACAATGAACATGTATTATTTTCAAACACCGACAAACGCTGCGTTAGAGCCAGACGGTAGAGTCGTAATAATATTTTTATGATGTGCTAATAACTAATTGCTTTACTTTGGTTTCCCATTGGTCAATAATATTAGGATTATTTAGCTTCTAAAAACACGTGTTTCCGACTTATTATTAAATGAGTTTACATGGGTTTGTTCACGAACAATCTCAATTAGTCTAAACTTGTGGTTTCTACAGTGAAGACGTCTTAAAATGCGTGAAAACTGAAGTGCGTTCTGCCATCGTTCTTTTACATAATGTAGGCAAATCCGAACGTGAGATTGCTTTACAATTGAAGTTATCGAAGACTTGTGTTCAGGGCACAATAACTCGATACAGGGAGACAGGCAGTTTTCAAGATCGTTCACGATCGGGAAGGACGAGAGCTACGTCGTAGAGTGACTTAACAGCACCAGAAATAAGCGTTGAAGTAAACAAAACCCGAGTTAATCTTTTATCATTGACTACAGTAAAAAGGCGACTGAGAGATGCGAAGTTGTCTGGTCGCGTCGCCGTTCGAAAACCTCTGCTAAGGCCACAAAACAAGAAAAAACGGATGCAGTGGGCCCTTGCCCGTCGTGATTGGACTGAAGAAGATTTTAAAAAAGTTCTTTCGACCGATGAATCCATGATGAAGTTTGAGCTATTCGGTTCAAAACGAAGAATTCACGTTCGACGCAGTGTTCAAGAAAAGATGATGCCAGACTGTGTAGTCCCAACAATCAAGAATGGTGGTGGCTCCATTATGGCCTGATCTTGCTTTTCTAGCCAAGGAACTGGCGATTTGATCAAAATTGACGGAATTTATATTGATTGTCAAAAAGTGTTTTATTGGATGATTTAACAGTTTAATTAAACATTTAAACTTTTATTGGAGTTTTATTTAATTATCATACTTTAATTAAGGTGGTCTTCTACTTTTGGCCTGCAGTGTATTTACACCAGCCTTTTTTTTTACTTTATCCTTGTTCTCTGAATACAATTTCCCTTTATTTATTGAAGAATCTGATGTGCCAATAAATGGCATTAGGCCTATGTAGACAATTGGCCAAAGTGTGACCAGTAATTGGGAAAATCGTGTTTTCGAAAAATACCATGAAAACATTATTAAATAGGTTATCTAACCGACGTTTCATTTATTTAAAAAACGCTAATTAACTATTTTTCTGTCATCTTGATAAATTTATTTTTCAGGCAACACTTCATAAACATAGTTTTCACGATTTCATTGGATAGTGATCCTTAAAGTCAAAAACCCCTAAAAATAACAGAAATCAAATCAGTTTTAAAAATATACTTTTTTATTCTTACGGGCATTTTATACATTATCTACTTACCTGGCATTTTTTTTTTAAATAATGTCAAAAAATTAATAAAATTACGATGATTCAATCATTATGGAAAACCTTATACAAGATTGTTCAGCACATAACTAAATACCAACTACATTTGGTAGACAAGAAAAACTAGACGTAAGAAGCCTTTAAAGTTGCTAACCAGAGAACATACATTACTCATTACTGGTTATAATCAAATAGTTACTGTAGTTTTCACCTGCTATGTTTTCATATTATGTACTTTCTCGTCTTCTCTTCCGTCACTAGTATTTATACTATCATCGTTTTCACCACTGACACTTTCAGCATTCTTCCCTTCACAATCATCATCTATATCGTCACCATCATCATCATCGTCTCCTGCCAATTCGTTTTCATCATCTTTTTCGGAGGTATCTTCAGAAGGTTCGAATGAATGACCTCTCATCTTCTCTAACCAAACCCCCATTGAATCACCTTCTGTTTCACCTTTCACTATTACTGGATATATATGTTCGTGTTTAAACTTATCTATTTCGGTTTCCTCTGCGTCCCAAGTTAAACTATCATGGCTGTCTTTAAACTTCGCATTGTATCTGTCGTAATGTACCTAAAATATATTATTTGTTAGAATAAAATTCAATACTAAAAAATAAATAAATAAATATAGTTGTACGTCAGCTAGAATATATTTAAATACATACATATTATGGATAAAGCTTGTAAATAATTATCCCAGTACCGTGTCAAGGACGAGCCCGAGCCCCGGCGCTGTCGGTATCATAACTTTCTCTTTGCCAAACACTTTCTCCATGATCGCCATATCAGCCTGGCCTCGTAACACAGCTATTGCGAGTCCAACCATTTTACGGATTTGATGCAGCATAAAACTCTGACCCTAAAAGTACAAAATTACTTAATTAGAAAGCAAATTAAACAGGAAAACAGCACTACAAAGAGAAGTAAAACTTGAAACAAACCCTGTTCTAACCCGTCTATCCAGTGTGGTATTACTATACTCAGGCCAAAAAATTCATTTTTAAAGAGAGACCTATGTCCAGCAGTGGACTATTAATAGCTGTTGATGATGATGATAATGAAACTAGCACTCAGGGTCACTAACTAACAGGCCCATCAAAAAATACAAAGTACTGAAAAAGTAAATTGAACTGTTTTACTGTTTTCGTATTTCAGTATTACTATTGAAATACGTACGTCTTCGTACGTAATGGTCGATCCCTCAGTGTCTTAAGACGAAAGTCTTCAATGAGTGCGTCCTACCCGTCATGACATACGGAGCCGAAACACACACACACAAGTTCAAAGTCGCTCAACGTGCTATGGAAAGGGCTATGCTCGGCGTTTCTCTAAGGGATCGCATCAGGAATGAGGTGATCCGGCAGAGAACCAAGGTCATCGACATAGCCTACCGGATCAGCAAGCTGAAGTGGCAGTGGGCTGGCCATATTAGCCGCAAAACTGACTACCGTTGGGGAAAACGAGGTCTTGAGTGGAGACCGCGTCTCGGCAAACGTAGTGTAGGACGCCCACAGGCCAGGTGGAGTGACGATTTGCGCAAGATGGCTGGCAGGAGCTGGATGCGAGAAATCCAAAATCGATCTAAGTGGCGTGCAATGGGAGAGGCCTATGTCTAGCAGTGGACTGCGATAGGCTGATGATGACGTACGTACTGTTTTTGTATTTCAATATTGAAATGCGAAAACAGTAAAACAGTACAATTTCAATTAATGTAAAATAGCAACGTCGGTAGAAATGTGGAGGAACCAGTGTCTCTCCAACACAATGGGAGAAATCAAATGGGAGAAAGAGGGGACTGGCAACGTTATATTTGAAAATTGCATATTTATACTGAGCAGTACGAGAACTTTCATTGTGCGATGCAGAATTCAGTTCGTAGTTCGGTGTGTCTCCGTTAGATGACATGTAAGTACATTTTTGTCTTTGTATTTGAACTCATCGCAGAAATATAAAAATTAAATTTCATATATATACCTTGACTAATAAAACGGCGAATTCCATATCAGACTCCACGAAGACACGATCTACTGTAAAACCCATCATGTATCTTAAAGATGACGGATCTTGGCTGTGCCTATAAAAAAAAATAGCACTTCTTTAAACATTTCATGTACATATTTATATACATAAATACATGAAATGTTTAAACTCAGACACCTCACACACGGCTATATGATCCCAAACTAGTTGGAACCTGTACTATGGTAACTGGACTGCTGATAAATATACTTTTATTTCTAAATACATACATATTATAGACAAATTACATCCAGACACAGAACAAATGATCATATGGCTCCATTGTAAGTATGTGAGTCACCTACAACTTACTTTTTTTCGGTAAAGTTGTGATAGCTTTTAGTTCCTTTGTAAACATCTAGAACTTTCTTCAGCTGTTCTAACTTTTCTTCAGATATCCTATAAGGTTTCCTCTCTTCAATTGTAACTAAACTGGGTTCAAACACAGACGTGGGTAACGTATAACTGTAAGTCCGTGCATTACACTTTGATTTTGAGTTGAATTTGTTTGTCACCCGCTTTACACCAAACACTTTGATGCTTTCAGGCAAGTTTTTGTTGATCTCCTTGACATCTACTTCAAGGGCTACAAAAAAAATCCATTACAATGTAATTAAGTTAGGAAATAATAGGTAAAAGAAAACACCAAGTAGACTAACACAACTTTAACAAGCACAAACCAAAACTATATTATTATGAATCCTTCTTAAAAAAAGTTTAATTGACTTAAAAATAACACTAAAAAAAAGCACTAAAATCCTAGCAGTAATCGCATATATTTTTTTATGGTATAAAGGAGAAAATAGCAGTCGGGTCAGCTGATGGTAAGTGATTATCACCGCCCATGGACATGCAGGTCAAGAGTGACAAGTGTGTTACCTGCTCTGAACTCTCAGGGGAAGTGGGGTTTAGACTATGATAACCTTACTCATTCGGTGAAAAATAATGTTTTCGCACCTCTGACACACAACACCATCCAGTTTCAAACTAAGCAGAGCTTGTACTATGAAAGCTACATTGCTTGGGAAAAATTGTATGCTTTTTTTGTAAATACATAAAAATCATACATCGAAAACACCCAAACTCCGAAACAAATATTTGCAGATCATACACACATTTTGTCCGACCCGGGAATCGAACCCGAGACCTCAGCACAGAAGTCGGAAACGCTACTACGGCACCACTGAGGCAGTCAAGTTACATTGACTGCATGGGGCAACACTTTGTGTGATCCACAAATTGTTGTTCTGAGTCTGGCTGTTCTTTGTGTCCATTTCATGTTTTTTTTTTATGGAATAGGGGGCAATCGAGCAGACGGGTCACCTAATGGAAATCGACTACCGCCGCCCGTTGCGCTTGCAACTCAGGAGTGACAAGCGCGTTGCCGGTCTTTGAGGCAAGAGTACGCTCTTTTCCTGAAGGTTTGAAGGTCATATCTTACGGAAATACTGCAGATGATTCGAGGCAAGAAGTAATTGTAAAGTCCCCCACGACACAGGATATATGGATATTCCAAGCGTAGTTACCTTTTTCTTTTTAAAAACAAGACGCTTTAATTCAGAAGTGAATAATACTAACGTAATTTAAGTGACACAACCTGTCTGGCGGCTGACACACCCTTGTCAGTCCGAGAGCTTCTTTGGAATTGTGCATTCTGTTGATTGTTAAAATCTTCTTCTGTAATATACTTTGCTTCCAAAAGTGCTTTGAGCAGATCTTCTTCTATCGTTCTCACACCAGGGTTTCTGATGACAAAATAAAAGTTTTATCTTCTTTACATAGTATAAAATAAAATCTCTTTTTTTCTTGTTATATGTATAATTCTTCTGTGCGTGTGTTTGAGACTGAACTCCTAAACGGCTAGACCGATTTTGATGAACACACACAAAAGCTATTTGTGTGTGTTCAAGTTGCTTGCAGAATAAATTAGGACACTACGAAATGTTTTACAGTTAATTTTTTTCATATTTAAGATGTATGTACAGGATAACGTTTGTAGTGTCCGCTAGTAGATTAATAAAAGATTAGGGAGTCATATAAGAAACTATTACTATTTTATTACTATACTATTTTTCTAGGTTAGGTAGGTTGGCAGAGGATGCTTTGACTCTTGAGTTGCAAGTGTACATAAGCGGCGGTGGCCACTTACCATCAGATGAACTGTCTGATAGTTTGCCTCCCGATACCATAAAAAAATAGTGTACTACAGATATGTCAAGTTTGAGCTGATATTAAGTAGTAAGGTAAAGTGATTATTTAAAAACAAAATACAAGTAAATTACCTATCACATGTAATCCAACTTATATCATGTACTTAATATTTTGTGACACATGATATATTCCAAGAGCAGGAATTGTCTTTTTAAAATAAATAAAATTTCATATTTCCTTTTAACTTTCACGACTAACAAGGAATCATAAAACAATGATTTTTCTCACAGTTAACATGCAGCTAGGAGCCAATGAGATAAACAATATCTATTGTTATTTAAATTAGTCATTTCATTAATAATAAACAATAGGGACAATTAAGACTAATACTGACGGGCCCGTTGGTCTAGTGGTTAGTGACCCTGACTGCTAAGCCAGAGGTCGTGGGTTCGATTCCCACCCAGGACAAATATTGTGTGATGAGCACGGTCATTTGTTCTGTGTCTGGGTGTAATTTATCTAAAATATGTATGTATTTAAAAATATATAAGTATGTTTATCAGCGGTCTGGTTACCATAGTACAGGCTCTGCCTAGTTTGGGATCAGACGGCCGTGTGTGAGGTGAGATGTGTGAGATTTATTATTTTTTTATTACTTTAAAATTTTTTTTTTATATATTTCATTGGTATGGTTCTAACTGATTTAAGATGCTTTCCTAACTGCCTATTAAAATCAAAAATACAAAATGATAGAAACAAAATGATTCAAAGAATGATTATTTTCTACTGAAATCCTTTTCATTGTACTACAAAAAGTCTGTTATTTATAAATATAGTTTACTGTGTATTGTCAATGACCACAACCACTGAACCACACCACCATAATGAAGTTCTAACACAAGACTTATGCGTTTATCAATAAAATTATTTTTCATTTGTTTTACGACCGGATGGCGTAGTGGTTTGCGTTACGGACTGCTATTCTAAAGGTCGCGGGTTCGATTCCCGCTCCAGTCAAACATTTGTGTGCATGAACATTTGATGTTTGATTTGGTCTGGGTGTTTCTATGTATAATGTGTATGTATTTACAAAAAAAAAGTATATATGTATTTATATCAGTTGTCTAGTACCCACAGTACAAGCTCTGCTTAGTTTGGGACTAGATGGCGTTGTGTGTAGAATGTGGTAGAATATTATTATTATTATTTATTTATTTTCATTTGTGATTTCGATCATAGCCATTTTAAAAAGGTTTTTCCAGATGTTTTCAGAAGTTACTTTAAAGATAACAAGTGAAGTTAAACAAAGACAAAAAGTGAATAGGTATTGTATATCTGATCAAGTTTTATAAATAAATTTAATTGTTTCATATCATAATGGATCCAATCCCTTGTGAACTTGCCCATTCTCAACATTGTCATTAATAATTAAAACATAATTAATAATTTTATTTCATGGTATAGATCACTAGTCACGTGGTGTGGTCCAGTGGTGTCGTTTACAATACACATAGATTACCTATCTTTTAAAGTATTAAAGTTAATTGCTCTACTACTTACTACCTTTGCTTTTTTAGACTAGTAAATTAGAGGTGAAAATGAATTATACGCTCCTGGTTTTATTTTAAGCAAAAATATATGAAAATGGGGTCTGAAGCTGCTGTTTCTTTTTTATGGTTTAAAAGGCAAAGATATATCAATAAACTGTGATATCATCAACATTGCCATGCCTGGCAAATGTACTGTTTACCAAACTATTACAAAGACATCAAGGTTGTTTGTATCAGTGACAAGTCATCAGGAGGCCATTACATAGTTCGTAGAATAGGAAAAGTGCAAAACTATTCCAGCAACATTCCATGGACATCATCATCAACAGCCTTTAATAGTCCACTGCTGGACATAAGCCTCTCCTTAAAAAGGAGGTTTCGGCCTACTATACCACGCTGGCCAGACGGGTTGGTATAGGGTTTGTGTCAAGTTTTCCTTCTCTCTGCAGTGCTGTTGTCCTGCATAGTTTTTTCCCTTAGTCGGCTCTTACGACACCCACGAGATGAATAGGGGTGGTGACACTCTGTATTCTTAATCCGTCACCACACGGACCTAATCTGGTATTTTAATATTGTATCAATATATAGAATTGAGGCCCTGGTGGGTCACCTAATGGTAAGTGACTACCACCAAACAAACACTTCCGTTAAGTGAATAAAAGCTTAAATTACAGTGATCTTTGTATTTAAAAAATCTTAAAAAATTAAAGCAGTTCCGGTTTAAGGTAATTACAAACTTAAACTTACCTCTGCATTCCATAATAGTCAACTCCGCAGTACCCTAATAGTAGTGCCATCTTTTTTCTCTTTATTCTTTCTGCACTACCACAGAGCCTTTTAGTGTCAGTTTCGCCATTTTCTTTATGGTTAGGATTTGTATCTTCCCATTGCCGTTTGTTAAATCTTTTTTTAAATCGTGTTAAATTTTTGTTCATAATAAGTTCAGGTGATTTGTCGTTATTTGCCACTTTGTTTTCCACAGTTGCCACACTCATCATAGATGTATGTCTAGCTACAAACAATATTCTTTATTTAAAACTTTTATGCTGCAATTTTTTTTTTAATTTCATTAAGATATCAAATGTTCTGTTCATCATAATAGTAAAGGTTATGTTTTGAAATATGTACTAACATAAGCTTCTTTTGTATAATACAAAAAATGAAGTTAAATAAGTATTATTTAACACTATGATTACAAGTAAAGAGTTACAGTTTTTTTAAGTATATAACAAAATACCGCCTTTCATCCATGAGGATATTTTACCTGATCTTAGAGGATGTCTCGGCAGATTCTGTTTCAATGCACTAACAAAAAATCTGAATAACGTGGTAGACATACCCAACAGAGAAAATAATATTGAAAATTACTTTAAACTCTTAAACTTCGAAAATTACTTCTTCACTATTTAACCAATCTTCATGCTGTAAGTATTTATTTCTTATCTATCAGTCAACCAGTCAACGTCAAATACCTCAGAAAGCCATTTTGATTGTCTACTTGTCTAGTGAATGAAAACTGTAAAGTTATCATTCACTCCAACACTAAAGGACAGACACACACACACACCTGAACGGTACCACAGGAGTAAGTACTGTAAGTAGAGTAAAATAAGTCTTTATATCAGATGGTAAATATGTGTAATTCTTTTTTTATGATATAGGAGGCACAAGAGCATGGGTCACCTGATAGTAAGTGACTACCACAGCCTATGCACACTTGAAGAACATTTAAATCATTTTTTTTGTTTTTTTTTTATGTTAGAGGGGGCAGACGAGCAGACGGGTCACCTGATGGAAAGTGACTATTGCCGCCCGTGAACGTCTGCAACTCAGGAGTCACAAACGCGTTGCCGGCCTTTTAGCCTTTATTATTTAGTAATATTTTTTTTTAATTATCGTTTACGATTCTTTTTATTTTATTAAGACTTCGTGAGTCTAGCGCCAGTGTAATAATAATAATAAGTCGAACTACTTTTGTAAAGTAGTCACAGGTGTGATAATATAATTTTTAAATCATTCGATTTTCATTCATCACAGGTGATTGTGAGTTTATTCCAACCCTACTTTCCACCCAGAATCATGGAGGCTGACATCGTCAACCTCACTCACACTCGAAAATTTTGATTAACACCGGTTTTCTGTGAGGCCAAGGTATTAGTCCGATCGAACCAGCCCATTTATGCTCAAGCACGGCTCTCCCACGGGTTACAAGCTCTACAGTAACATATAAAAGTGTTGTATAGTGAACAACACGAAGTAATTCCGAATATATAATTTGGCTTTTTTAGAGAGGTTGCTAAACTAGGATCTATTTTTATCTGGATGTTATGTTTAGAGACATTCCAAGTCAAAACAGCAATAAACAGAAAATCAAACATTTGCTATGCGCATACCAAATTCATGAGGGACATGTGGGTAATGAAACCATAGATTAACACTATGTGTTCACAAAACATTTCAGAAATTCCTCACAATAAAATACTTATAAAACTTGCACATACTACTTAGCTCCTACGAGTATAACACCCGAACTTAATTTTAATTATAAATGTAGGTATATCGTATATTTGAATTCTATTGCCGTTACAAAATTGATTCATCCATGTCCGAAGCTAATTCCGCGCAGCTGAACAAATTTGTAATCTTTATTTCTTCTTTAGGGTAGATGACTGACCTTTCTAGGGTATACCTAGTTCCCCGGCTATTAGTACCCGAGACGGCGTGCGGTTTTAGTCGGTTCGAGTCCGACATGCCAACGACAAAAAAAAAAAAAAAAAATTGGTTGCCTGTAAAGTCGGTATACGGGCGAAAGTTTTACGTGACAACGACTTTGAGTGGTAAAATAATTTTAATGTGAATATTCATTCGTATAGTAGGAAGAAGGATGAAATAATAGTAACAATTTAAAACATTTATTTATACAAAGAATTATATTTAAAACATTAATTTATACAAAGAATCTCGCACTGAATTTCATATTAACGACGCGTGCCTCTCACTCGCTCTCATTGTGAGCGCATAACGTGAGCGGAGCGTAACGCAGTTTCTTGAAGTGTCACCCGGCAAACCAATTTATAAGACGTTGTCACGTCAAAAAAAAAGGGTAGATGACCGACAAGTCAAATCAACACCTTTATAGTAAACGTTAAAACGATAGACTCAGTAAAGTTTTTTAAAAGACAACCCTCTATTAATATATTCTGTGTCGCTGAGTGATTTACATGAAATCGACACAAATAACACCCACACTCAGAACAATTTTTTGTGGGTCACACAAAGTGCTGTCCCACGTGGGGATCGACCCCATAACACTCAGCGCAGGAGGAAGCGGCGAATTGACCGCTTAAAACACGTCCTCATCCGTGCGGTTAAAAGATATGTATTAACAAATAAAAACATTTATTTGATAATTTAGGACAATTTAAGCTGTACTTTAAGATTTTACTAGTTTGATTCAGGCCGACATAATTAATTTTAAACAAAGGTATCCACTCTATTATATTATATAGATAACAGCAATTTATCGATAAACCCTATAGCTAAAAAAAGACTCCACATAATATTAAAAAAAAGAGAAAACGGATCTGTACACTGTAATTTGGATAGAAGCGCTTATTGATCATTCTATAAAATTTTGAAATCAATTGAGGTAGGACCTATCTGCAGAAACAGATCTGCAAAACTATCGTGTTTTACTTTTGAAATTATGTTTTTTTTCCGATAGGTGTAAAATAGGTATTTTTGGGTTCATGCAACTATCGAACAACAACGATTTTGGTAGGCACTAATATGTAAATTAATTGTGACCTACCTAACATGCATGATAAGTAATAGACATAAGACAAAATTACAGTGAACTGTGACTTATCATTTGCTTTTTGCGTACGTAGGTTAGGGTTGTTAGGTAGGTAGGTTACACGCTATTTACAACAACAGTAAATCTAGTATTTTTTTAAATTATTATATAGGGAATGGTAGCTATATATATTAAAATAATTACTAGATTTACTGCTAATTATTCGAAATAGGTTCTTTATGCATCGTCTGAAAACAGCTTATAGCGTGAGTAAGTAGTAACCCTAACCTACCTACGAAGAAATCGACTGATAAATCACCTTTCATTCACAGTTCGCTGTGATTTTGTCCCATGTCTAATAAGTAAATCAGGCAAAGTTACCAAAATCAAAATCAATTAGTAATTTTTACTCGATTTCGGTTCGTAGGTATGTATGGCTGGCTATCGGCTAATAATCATTTATTTTACCTACTCAAAATGTTGCCTCAGTTAGTTTTAACATATTACTGACTGTGTGCAATGTAACACTTAAGAATATATCTAGAAACATCTTTCTGTATTATATTCTATAGGTCTACCTAACTTTGCATGACTATACAAAGCAATGCGCAAGTCACGTTCTGGCGCAAGCGTAAAGTAATGCGTTCTATATGGGCCAAGGCTCTAACATCGGCATGGGTTGACGCCAGTTGACGCAGTGCTCATAAAATGAGGGGTGGAAGTTCTGAGCGCCTTGTGCGATCATCAAGGCGTAGAGGAGAAACGCGTGCTAAATTAACGAGATATATTACAATAATCTTAGCCACTCTACTCGGCGGAGGAGGTTCGGCCCTTCTATTTCTCGTGCCATTGTACGCAGACCCAGCTTTAAGTGCTTTGGCTGCAGACTTCGACCCGGTACCGGCGGAGTGTATTACCGATAAACGCGACGACCGACTCGGTTTGGATAACTGCACTTGGGCATCGTGCAGAGAAGGTTGCACCAGTGACGCATACAAATGTACACAGTTGCACGTCAAGTACAAAGCACATAGTCAAGAATGGCGGCCAGCCGTGTTGTTTGTCAATATAAAGGGATGTGGCTATCCTCCTGCAGTGGATTGTGACAATTTTACGACAAATTACGGCTACGTCGGTGCTAAATATTCTTGTTACTGGTCTCGGGCTGATATTAATGTTGTGGTACCACGTTGGTCTAGAGGGGAACAGGTAGCGACGGTGACGAGGACGTTGGCTGTACCGCTGTTCCTTTCAGGATGTGCTGGGATAGGTCTGTGCGCTTTACACTGCGAATGCAAGCCACGCCGCCGCAGACGCCCTCCGCGCCGCCCCCCACGTCTGCCCGCGCTGTCACCTGATGATACCTCGGTCTATCGCTTAGCCTAGTTGTACCCAAAGATATTAAAACGAGCACAAATTATATTTTCCAATATGTAAATAATGTGTGTAAATATATTGATATATCAGCCGACCGTGTTTTATTTCTGAAAAACCTACTTTTTACTATTTTTGTTTTGTTTACTTTTTAAAAGGTAGTGTATGCAATTGAAAGTGTTATTTTTACTGCACAAACATACACACACCCACACACGAAGATATCTAATTAAACAGGAGGTTACTCAATCCAAACTATTTAGAAACAGAAAAGTTGCTAGACGTAGCGGTCTTATCCGTGATAATAAATAAATATAACGGCGTGAGGGGACTATAGACCCCCGGTCGGAACGTAATTACTTTCGCCTTGTGATATATCTCATATACTATATCATATTTAGAATAGGTATTGAGAATAGGTAAGTTATAGTTAGTAGGTAAAGTTTTTAATTTAATTAGTTAGAAAAAGTTGCATGTTTTTTAATAGTATAAATAATTTAGTTTAGGTTTTTTTTGTGTTTTTAGAAAGGGAGTTTTTGTTTGATTTGTTTAAATCGGTTGATTTTTTTAGTAAAATATAGTTATATAATTTTAGTAGTTAAATATATAGAATCAGGCGAGCTACCATATTCAGTTTTTATAAAATACTTGCTATAGTCTGCCACTTTTTGCGGACTTTTTTGTTGATCTTTTTAAAATATACAATTCCATAGTACATTATTATACCAACCCGTCTGGCCAGAGTGGTATAGCTGGCCAAAACCTCCTTTCTAAGGAGGGGCCTATGTCCAGCAGTGGACTGTTAAAGGCTGTTGATGATAGTACATTATTATATAAGTACATAGTACATAAGGTTTAGCCAGCGTTTGCGATGTAAGCTCACAAAAACACGTTTTTATTAGCTCTAAAATACAGGCCAATGCTTAGTTTAGACTCCAGATCTCCCACAAACTACCAATTAAGCTAAACATAATACGATAAATAAAAATATATTATTTTTAAAACTTACTTAACAAAATTGTAAATATTTGTTCACCTTGTCTTTGAGAAGGAACAGTCAGAATGATTGTAATCCACTTATTGTTACAATAAAGATTATTATTATTATTAATCGACTCAATAGGTTTTTTTTGAGTGTATATATATTTATTTTTTTGGCACGCTCTGTAATCAAACGGCTTCATGAACTTTGGCGTTTGAAACAGCGTCAGATTCGTCTTTTGTGATACTTTGCAAATTTTAAGTACCTATATATTATCATGCAGTCCCGGTTCTTTTAAATAACTTTTTTTTAAATATTAACAAAGTAGCATACGATTAGCCTCTATAAACATTGTACGTGTTGCATTAATATTATATCAAGTTGTTTTTGGCATAATCCAGCCAGCATGGCCAGTCTGCCTGTCTCTCTACACCATTAGAAGTAAATTTAGATGTACCCATATTCACTGCAGTCAGTATCGAGGCTATATTTTTCAGTATCTAACTCACCTGATGGAAAATGATTACCGCCGCCCATGAACGTCTGCTACTAAAGAGTCGCAAACGCGTTACCGGCCTTTTAGGAAGGAGTACGCTCTTTTCTTGAAGGTTTCAAGGTCGGTCCGGAAATACCGAAGACGATAACTTGTTCAGAAGATTGTTTGTACGAGGCAAAAAGTGTCATCAAAAGAGCAACAGTGACTGAGCGCTAATTATTCAAGTGACGGTGATGAAAATTGGTGTAAAAGTAGTAATGAAAAAGTAAAACAAATTTTGTACAAAGTAAAATATTTATTTTCAAGGTTTATAATGCGTCTTTATCTTTTACAAGTACAAAATAATTTACATTTCAGTCCAATCCACCTACAAATGTCCTTCAGTCTTCAAACTATCAACTTTTTTCTATACTTTAGTTACGTTTTTCAAACATTTTACTATTTATTACGGGACATTATAAACATTACTTTTTATATTTGAAATTTACTTTATATCTTGTACTTATAAATAATTTATATTGCGATAGATTAAAAAAAAAATCGCAATGTAAATTTTCTTAAGTACTTTCTAGAAGCAGTTTTATAATAACAATTAGTTTCATTCGCTTGTCGACAAGGGTGTTTTTAGGAACTTAAGTTACCATAATGAAAAAATCGCTACGATTTTTTAAAGACTTGAAATATAGTTACATAGTATGCAAAGAAATACAGTTCTGAGTAAGTGATAAGAAAACAATGCATATATTATATCTTAACGACAAACGAATAATAAGGAAGCACTGTGTACTATACATAGATTATAGAGTAACAACAGATAATTTTACGTAGATTTAAAAATGGTTCTTACATAAATATATAAGGTTTGGTAACTTTCTTAGTCAATTTTGTTTAAACTACACAAATTATGAACAAATGTCATTATGCACTAAGGGCAAATATACACTTCGACTTTTATCGCAAAGTAACACTTATGTCAAACGTTACTAAAATTTACGTAGCTTATAATATCATGCTTTAATAGTTATAGCGATAAAGACAATTTCACATAGTTCCTTCAGACGCCTACAAAATCGAATTTCGAAACCAGTTTTGAAATAAGAATAGTAATTCTTCTTTCGAAACTGGTTTCGATAAAAGAATAATGTTCCTTTATTTGAAACACGTAAATAAAAGCGTAACGACACATTAGACTAGCGATCGCACAATAATACATACACATGCCTTTCATTTAATATCGTTTACATCGTGTGGAAGTGGACAGTAAACTGTTTCTTATCCATCAAAAGAATTTTAAATTTAAGAGTTTCCAAAGAAGAACCATTATTCTTTTAGAGAAAAGAAGAAATGTTACTCTTATTTCGAAACTGGTTTCGAAACTTGGTTTCGTAGGCGGTCGAAGGGCACATAGTAACATAAAAAATAATATTTTGGTACAAGAAATTTGTTTAAAATGTAGGTGAAGAATAATGTGTTAAAATTTAAGACAAAATATAAGACGAGACCGTATATAAACCCGCATAATTTCAAGGGATAATGGTAATAATATTTTTAACGCCATTTTCCCTGTACGACCATAACAAAAAAATAATATAATAAAAAACCCTTAGATAATGGTAATGAACTTTATTAAGCTACCTATGTGTGAGAACATATGATGAAATATGTGATGAAATTTGATGATCAAAATCAGTCTAGGTGTAGAAAATTCAAAGGGTCTTTAAATTCACGTTTAATTTTTATACATTACATACTTCACCATAATGTTTACATAAAAAGTGAACATGGAACGGAATCTTAGATTTCTTATGTAGAAATAAATAAAAAACTTAAACAATGAAATAAAAATGAGTAATTAAAAAAATAAAACAAGATTCTATTCCATGCACTTGTACTTATAAATGTTACTGTACATTTAATATGGCGGCAATTATATGGCATGGCGGTTCTAAGAGTAATTACTTTTAGTGCCATAGCTGACTGGTTTATAGCTTTTTATTACTGACAATAAGAGTATAAATAACATTAAGTGTTACCTTCATGACAGGACGGATTTATTACAACAAGTAGCAGTCTGTATTGCCCTTAATATACACATTTATACTACTTGTATGTGTAAGTTCGTAGTTTAAGTATAACGTGGGAGAGATCTGCTTCGACACAGGTCATGTAGAAAGCCGGAGTTAAGCAATTATTCAGTTGGCTTTCAAGTGATATGAGTATTATCATAGTAGGTTAAGGGAGGGCCAAAAATTTCGAAGGACCGATCAAAGTGAAGCAAAGCACTTATGTCTCTTGAGTAGCAGATGGTCTCATGGGCGACGGTAGTCACTTACCATCAGGTGACCCGTATACTCCTCCGACCCTTTACCATACAAAAAGATCTACTTGGTAAGTGTAAAACAAATAAAGGCGACACGCGAACCAGTAACATTTATAAGCTAAAAGACGAACAAAAATAAAAATTTAAACTGCATGTAATCACAACCTTACTACATCCAAAACAGCAAATTCAATTTTAATAAAATGACTCGCATTTATAATAAATTAGCATAATTTATAATAGATTGCTATTTCGGATACAGTATTAAAAAAATATACATTTTCAAATTAAGGTGAAAGTGAGCACACAAGGCGAAGTGATATTAAATATAGGGATTGCACACACTAGCGCGAATGTTTTCAGATACTACACATCACGAATAATAAGGCATGTCATGGTCTATAGGTTCTTAGTTTAATAATAATAAGAATGCAGGAAGAAGTTTTGAGCTCGTGATCAAAAACGCAACGGACGAAGTCTATCAGTAGTTGACTAAAACTGAAGCTGTTATTTATTTGAATAACCTAAAAACGCTGGGTGTATGAAAACCGATTCCATGCTCATAGTGATTAAATACCTCAATTTTTTTATTGTCATGTATACAAGGCATTGTCCACATCAATTCCACCTTAACCAACAGATATGCTACAAAACTTCTAATTTAAGGAATGATTGTCAATTTGCAATTTGCCAATCACTGCTTTAATAAGTTACAACCGTAAGTCATCCAATTACAATATATCAAGGGACATGCGAGCAACACAACATAGTCGGACAGTACTTTATGTCGGAATTTAGCAAGAATTCTACTAAATTTAGTTTTTTTTAAATAATAAATTGTTGGGAGACAAAAATTGGTCTAGTAGTATCAGATATATTTTTAAAACATTTAGTAACATCGAATTTATATTTTGTACAAGGTGTCTCAAAAGAAAGTTTATATTTATTTAGCTTACTGCGTGAACGCAACGAGTCCGAGGGGCGCGGGGGTTATGTCAATCGGTAGCCTGGCTCTTGGGAATTCAGGTGCTATGGAGCGTTTCTCGGGAGCAGACCGTACGTTGTGCGTGCGAGAGTTTTACAAAAACGGTGATTCGGCGACTGTAACGCGTAGAAGGTTCTGTAGTATTCGAGGTTTTAGCCATTTAAATGATGCGTCAAGCATTCCTCTTATTCGAAAATGAGTCCATAAGTTTGAAGAGACCGGTACAACGCTGGAAAAACCAAAATCCGGGCGACCAAGGTCATCAAGAACGTTAGAAAACATGGAGAGTGTTAATCAGTCTGTTCGTGACGACCCGAACCTTTCAATTCGGAAGCGCGCAAGTGCTTTAAATGTGCATAGATCATCATTACACCGCATTTTGAACAAAGACTTAAAGCTGCACCCCTACAAAATTCAATTGGTGCAAGAATTAAAGCCCCAAGATGCCAGTCAGAGGCTTGACTTCGTAAATCAGGCGATTGAGCGCTTTTCAACGTTTACCAACATCTTGTTTTCGGATGAAGCTCATTTTCATGTTAATGGACACGTAAATAAGCAGAATTGCCTAAAGTGAAAGTATGGGCTGCGATGTCGTGTTGAAGACGAAAGGGGGCGTGCAGTTACAGTGAATTCAGAGCGTTATGTGGAGATGTTAAACGACTTCTTGGCGCCTGAACTGCAAAACTTGCCTGGCCATAACTAAAGAACATGGTTCCAGCAGGACGGAGCAACGTCACACACGTCCAATACGTCTCTGCCACGAGTTAGTGAAATTTTCTCAGGAAAATTGATCTCCAGGAGAGGTGACATAAATTGGCCTCCACGCAGTCCTCATTTAACCCCTATGGACTTTTTCCTATGGGGTTATCTTAAATCTAATGTTTACGCGAATAAACCGACTTCCCTGGCGCATTTGAAAGAAAATATCCGTCACGAAATGGCAGCCCTCACTTAGTCAACCTGCCGAGCCGTCATAAGTAATTTTACTGTTCGATTAAATGAGTGCTGCGAACGCGAGGGTCTACATTTGGAGGATATTATTTTTAAGAAATAAATGCCCAAATTGTGTACTTTAATAATTAATAAACATTTTTTCGATACACTGCTTACTTTTTTTTTAATCGATCTACTAAATATAAACTTTCTTTTGAGACACCTTGTATAAGTGTATAAAGAGGAATTAATATGATCACATAATAGATATTTCATACCTTTAAATTACACTATATTTCGACCGGGTTAGACCGGTCGTAGTCACATCATGACCTGTCTAACCTGATGGACCGGCCAGGTGCAAACTGGTCGAATACCTATTACCTGATCATTTCCTAAATATATCTAACTATAAAATCATGAAACGAAAAAATGTTGGTTATTTAGAGTTTAGTCTCAGTATTCTATTGTTTTATTTATTTTAGTGCCCGTCATGTTCTATCGATATTTACGTTATAATAATTAAAAGTTAAATAAGTTTAAATAACATTTGGAGCTAATAATCTTTTCTAGTTTGTAACAGAGTTAACATTTTTATTATATATTACTAAATAGGTAAGCAAAATTGAGAAATTTTAATCATAAAACGATTTCTACGTGCATAGTAATGTCTTAGAGAATTCAAAGATATCGGACGAGACTTGAATGCGACAAAAATATGGTGTCATAACCATTAAATTGTGGAAGTTAATTAAATAAAATTGCGAATTATTAGCCTAACTTACAAATGCTTGACCGAAATTTAGTAAAATCATATTTCCAAGAAACTGTTGGATAATTTTTTTTTAGATTAGAGATTCATAGTAGTTGAATTCAGCGGTAAACCAGATTTTAGATCTGCCAAAAGATCCTATAAGCATAAAAGGTAGGGCAAGCAGCGGACAGGCCGTGACGGTGACGCGATATGAGTGGGTGAAATGACTTAGAGGTTTAAAAGCTGTATGCACCTTGTAGCCAGACAATATGTAAGATTTTTCAGAAAAATGTTTCATTTTTGCTTTATTTATGGGTGCCCATCGACTGAATAGTAAAAGGACTGCAATACAAGCTGATTTTTTAGTTCACACTCCTATGCCATAGCGTTAAGAGCTTTATATGACATTATGTTTTCTATATTAATTAGTATATTCCACCCCGCTCTTGTAGCGTTACCGTACGTCCCGCCGGCTGTCAGACTAACCCTTAAGATAACGTTACTTTGAAATTTTAATTTTACTAAAAATTTCTTTCAAGTTCTTCAGCCCACGTAACACTTTATCAGTCTTTCTAATAATATATCATCCACAACTACAATTACGACAATTTAAAACTTTGGTATTGCAATGTAGGCACTTTAACAGAATAGGCTTTGCTACCACCATATTTATTGTTATTACATTTGTCAGTCTGTTTTAAATATCTCTCATTATGACTACAAAACAGTAATTATATTCCTGTATTACTAAATTTCTCAATTAATATTGCTGTAATTATTATCATACTAGTAGGAATGCGATTGTTCTAGAATGTTACCACACAAAAGTGTTTATTGATCGATGGATCTTCTTCTGAGAAACATTATCATTTAATTATTAAATTCTTAAATTATCAGAGTGGAGTGAAACATGACTTGTCACTGGGACTATTTTTGTACTCATTAGATGTGTGTGAAGATTGAAGACTCAGGCACATTACGACGGGACTTTGACTTTTACTTTCCTTATATCCACATTTCAGACGAGTGTGACATAGTATAGATAGTTCAACTCAGTTGTGCGCGCGGGCTTGTAAACATACAACTTTCATTCATGTGGCAGTGACGCGGCAGTCGGACGACGACTGCCACACGAATGAAAGTTGTATATTTACAAGCCCACGCACACATAGGGCCGCGCGCACAACTGAGTTGAACTATCTATAGTCACAGTGATAAGTCACTGGTGGGTCACTTGGTTAATCACGGTAATATTGAAAAACAACTGGTTGACTATACATATATATGGAGGTGGGCCCGTTAAGTGATCTGTATAATGATCGAAACAAAAAGGTCAATATTACCTGGATTAAGTGGACTAAACCATGCATATAGATGGACTTTAGTTTTCTGTTCTAGAAAAGAAATCAGCCAGTATAATTAAAAAAGAAAAAGATTTTTTTAGCAAATGTCCTAAGTAAGGGTGCTCTAAAAGATTGGCAGTGGCTTTGTTTATTCGACTTTTACGCACGCGGTAGAATCTGGTAATGGGCGGTAACAAATGAACACAGGTAAATAGTTTTTTTTTAAATTTTACATTAACAAAACAACCTATTGATGCAGTGACTATTTGTATAGTTCTGTAATTTACTGTTATTTATTTAATTCAGTTAGGTACTGTTATAATATCTGTCTCCATGACTTTCATAACAAATCTTGCGTTAATCGAAATTTTTTCTTCAGCAACTTCTCAAAACTTTGATAACATTAATTCCCACTAGTACAATACAGTTAAGCGTAATATAATGATGAGCTAAATACTTTTTTATTAACGTATCATGGAATATGTACACTATTCTATACCGACTACAAATACTTTCGACTCAAAAAATAAATCATTAGAACTTTTCATAAATGTACCATCAAAAGTATTCGTAATCAATTCTTACATCCATGATTCAACTTTACGCTTTTGTTATAAAACAGTATTTTGTCAGGTTAATTTAGCAACATTAAAGGTAACGTAAAATTCTTATATAACAACCTGCAAAGTGTACTATATAACAACCTGCAAAGTGTGCTATGTAACATCCTGCAAAGTGTACTATATAACAAAAGGTGTTACATCATGAATGTAGACAAAGACTAGAGATAATCATAGAACCACCTGCGACATCTGTGTGGCAAGCCTGTACCGCTTTCTCTCAATATCTACAGAGGAATCTAGACCACGCTTCACAGCCATACTTGTTGACGGTTGGTTTTCTAAACTGGCTTCAAGAAGTCTTCGTGACCTACAGTACCTGTAATCCGCTGCAGAATTAACCCGTTGCAAAGTCATATCCACAGCCGTAGGTAACCGATAGTAGTCTTGAACGTTCAAATTCTCAGGCACATTTGTGTCATTTAAGTCTAACACGGTGTAATCGTTGTCAGGCCTTCTTTCAGTGATTGGGCGATGACGGTATGACGTGTCTACGGTGAGATGGCTGCGGGATGATGTACTGCAAGTGCTCGATGCAGGTGACACACGGCAGCTTGGGGACGTACAGGGTGTTTGGTTCGGTGATGTCCTCGCACTGCTGTAGCCTTGATCGATTTCAGATTCCACTGAAGTTTCACGAGCTTTCAGAATCTGCATCATTCTGTAAGTACAGATTTAGGTTTTAGAACAATTTTCTTGTGAGATGCTGAGTTTAAATAGATGTGAAGTTCAGATTTCGCTCCGGTGTTATAACCATGGAGGGACATCGACCATAAAGGGACGTCAACCGTGAAGCTCGTGATGTGAGCGTATTTTCGGCCTTTTTGTCATCATTTATTTGTGTAGGTACTTCAGAATTGAATTTACAATTCCGTATATAATTATTAATAGATAAAAACTGGAATATTTTGACGAACTCGACACTTCTGATATATTCTTCTGACTTTATAATTATTTTTTTGATATTAACATATAACATTTGTTAACTTTAACGTTTGCTGAAATTTAATTATGAATTGAAGTAAAGCGCATACCTCTGCAGCAGTCGTGCAATGGGTGCGACGGAGGTGTGAGGCCGCAGGGTGGCGGTGGCGAGCCAGGCGGGCCACGCCGCCAGCCCCAGGTCGGCGCGGGCGCACGCCACACACGCGCAACCCACGTCCACGCTCTCCACCACCTTCAGACGGACATCTGTAACAAACGAAGAACAACTCCATTACCATTATTTATAAACATTAGTCTTAAATATATTTTGTGTTACTAAAATCGCTAGAAGAGCATTCTTTTGTGTGGAACCCACCTGGGCCAATCGATAAGGTAGCATGTCGGACTCGAACCCACTAATATCACACAGTGTCATCAGGTCTTTTACGGAGCCTCTGGTGTGTCATATGCACTAGGCCCTAGAACGGAAATTCCTGTAAATGCTGGTAGACCTTACACATTTTCAATACTTATGTAATATGAACTAAGACTTTTACAATCTTGTCATCAACAGCCTTCAATAGTCCACTGCTAGCCATCTCTTTAGAAACGAGGTTTTGGCTTATTATACCACTCTGAACAGACAGGTTGGTAAAGAGTGTGTTTTAAGTTTTATTTCTCTTTGAAGTTGAAATTTGAATATCGAATCAGTAAGAATAATCAGTTTAAAGACTGAATAAATATACAGTTAAAAAAAAACTAACCAAGTAAGAATACAGAGTGTCACTATTCAACCCGTGGGTCTCGTAAGAGCCAACTAAGGTAGCAAAGTACGCAGGACAACAGCACTGCCAATAAAAGGAAAACTTGACACAAACCCTATACCAATATTTAGACAAATCATCAAACACTCACCAGACAATGTTAAATCCAAGTAAGCCTCAAGAAGTTTAGCGCCATCCCTCTTAAAACGTCTCACAAATTTTGGATGTCTTGTAGTAAGATCGCTGTCGGTGACAACATACTGCGCCACTAGCGCCGCATACGTCACAGGAGTGGGTGACAGCAGCCTCCAACGGACATGTTGGCCAACCATCCATTCTAACTGCCTAAAGGTCTTCCCGCAAAGTTGGACCCCGCTGATTTTGGCCAAATTTTTTAATGTAGGTGCGCGACTGAACTTTTCCTCGCTCTTTGCTGAAAGAAAAAGGTAAATATGTTTTTATATTGTAGGTTTCCAGATCTATGATAAAAGTACCAATTAACAGACAGACAGAACCAATTTAAACAAAAAATATCTAATGAGGGCAGACAAACCAAGCTATTCTTTTGCAAAAATCCATTTGACAAAGTTATCTCGTCAGTTGTCTCGGTCACTTATTATAATGAATTTCACAATCCCTTAAATATAGTAATTAAACATAGATTATCATAGACAAAACAAGAGTCTTCCTATTGCTGCTTCACACTCCCTGAAGCAGCCTGACCAGATCCCCAAGAAGGCCCTGATTAAATTTATCAAGAACAATGTAAGCGTGCTTAGGACGAGTCAAGCAAACTGAGAGACAAACCACAGCAAACGTCAGAAGTTCTTGTCACTTAAGTTAAAAACAATTGGTGCAGTATGAAGTATGCCGACGTGAATCATGACTCAGTCCATGGACAGTGCTTGGAGGTGTAAGCCAGTTTGTGGTAGTGGAACTGCAATATTTCTACGTTTTTGGACTTTTAAAACGTCAGTAAACAATATCAACTGACCTGCTAAACTTAAGCAGGCGAGCGCAACGTGCGTCAGTCGGTCTGCCCTGAGCCTGTGCGCGTCCATGAACAGGTCCAATTGTGCGACGGCAGTGTGCAATGTTGCGATACTGAGTCCCAACTTCTTTGTGACGTCACGGAGTTGTTGCACCAATGAGCCGCGAAATTCGAGCTAGAACAAGGAACATTTCATGTAAGTCATCGTCATCATCAGGGACTGTAGCTAGACGAGTCAATTCCCACCCAGGACAAATAATTTTGTGTTGAGCACTTGGTCTAAGTCTAGGTGTTATTTATATAAAATATGTATGTATTTGGAAATATATGTATAAGTATGTTTATCAGCAGTCTGGTTTCTGTAATACATGCTCTGCCTAGTTTGTGATCAGATGGCTGTGTGTGAGATCTGTCAAGTTATCAAATTATTGTTATCCCCTGATAGGATTAGAGGATCATCAATTGGCGAATATCAAGTAAGTTTACAGTTGTACCTACATGTCTATTTGAATAGTAATATGGGCTTGATAATTATTGTATACATATATAAGATTATAAACTTGTCTAAAAAACCTTAATTTCAAGCCATGGTCTAGAGAAAGACCTCATTTTCCTCGATAATGTCATATAGGGTCGTTGCACCCATGTAGTGAGTCAACCAGTGACATCATGTTCGATATTAATTACAGGTTAGTAAAACAATCCGACTTAAAGAGAGTAGGCCATGTTGAGATTATCTTTTGTTTCACAAACTTTGGGTGTTATTTCATCATAATTTTTTATAATATGTAATGATGTGACAAATATGAAAAGAACTGTCTGTTACATTTCCACCACTGAATTGCTTTATTAATTTTCATTAAATTTGAGAAATACAGGTTCTAGGACAGCCAAAAATAATCCCATGTGATTATTTTTGGTTTTATTGGTTGTGAAAATGAAATAGGAAGGGATAGTTATTTTATGAAGAACTTAAAAACTGATAGTCAGAAAGTAAATACTCAGGCCATGCCCACTTCTTCTGGCTATCACTGTTAACCATAGTTCCATCATCTTGCTAATCATTATTTGATAGACATAATAATTGCCCTGAGCAGCAATCGAATTAGGACATGTGATATTGCAGTCTAATGAAGGTAATGATACCCCACTGCAAGATCATTTACAACCACAAATGAACAATCAACCGCCATTTTGAATTAGGAGCCATAAGTCACTAATATTAAGGCGCACTACTCACGAAATTGCACTTAAGACGTTATGATAACAGTCTACTATGTGCCTTTACAAAGAACATGCATTATATTGCAATACATAAGTACATATTTCAAACAAATTTTATCTCTCTTAAAAGATTTTAAGTTAAAATTTGAATGATTTAGTATGTAAGAAATATTAATCTGATGCAAACTATAGAATATTGATAAATGGACGTTATTACCTTAATTGAATACGTTATTGGAATGTTAAATACCTTGATGTTTTTTAAATTTACTTAAAAAATATTTATTTATTTAAGACTAGCAGATTTGTTACAAGAGATAGTTAAAGGGTGTTCTTTGTGTCAGCTTTATGAATGTTTCTAAGGCCCCTCCAACTTAGTATATATTCCTACTGAAGGTTTTTGTTGTAAAATTAAATAAATAGAAACAGACTTCCTCAGAACCACTTCAATAATCAGTTTCTTACCAATTTTTATTTATTTATATAAATAATCAACATTTATTATTGTGGTAATGGATTAAGAATACAGAATACGTAAGAGGCGAATACGGGAGCAAACACGTGAAGACCTTGATTTTTATACACCTAATAGAGCCTATAGACCTCAGTATCTAGTATAAATTTCAACTTGTTAGGTCCACCTGTTCCTGAGAAAGTCGGTGGTGACACACGGACAGACGGACAAGAGAGTGATCTTATAAATGAGGTATGGTACCCTAATCCCCTATCAATAGGGGATTTTTATTCATTTCTGCTAAACAGTAATCATACAGTAAATCGCAGGTACGTTAATGACATTGAATTAGATAACAAATCTGCAAAACCTCTATCAAGGCTACAATATCAGGAAGAAAACAGAAAATGTTTAATGAATTGTGTAATCAAAGTTAAATAACGACAAAACCTAAAATGTAAGTCTAAATTAAAACATAAACCACTCCAGGGTCAGGTTTACACCTTGTTATTATTTAAAATTGAAACTTCTGAAAAAATGCAATTAATTTCCCTTAAAAAGTTAAAAAAAAAAGTTGTCTTCAATGTTTTACGACTTAAAAAGTTGGTCTAGCGAAGAAGTCTAAAAAACTAACAAGAATAGAAAATAAATTCTCCTCTCTCCTCTCTATAGACCTCTATATATATATTCTACATGCTATAGTTTAATAACACAAACTTCTAAAAATAATAAAAAAATTGAGTGTCTGTAAATTAATAGTAACCGCTTGTAACTAAATCTCGCTTGTATTTCGAAACTTTACACAGTATCCATGTAAATAGATAATATTATAATTAGTAACTAAAGGTAATTTTATTTATTCTGCTCAAAAGACCCTCAAATATTTACAAGCAATTCTACTACATTGTTTTGTTATCAATATTAATAATATACACTTACATTTAATCTAGAGAAGATAGATAAACCATTCCTCTTTTAAATATGATAAAATATACCTACATGGAGTTTATTATAAGGTAATTAATAATTATTGGCATGTGTGGATAAAGATTGCAGTTTAATAGTGAATGCAAGCTGCTTTTAGGTGGTCTTCTGTGATGCTGTATGCGGAGGCCTATGTTCAGCAATGGATGTCCATCTATTGCTAAAATGATGTGGACAGATAGTAGTATGAATTCACAATCACAAGTAATGTTACTTGGCGGTTTTGCATGTGTGCTGCCGCACATAAATTCCCTAATGGAGCATCAATAATTTTTCTTGTTTGCCTGAACATTTTAACCCTAGAACAGGGTCCTACTCAGGGGTGCTGGAGTACCCAATCCTAAAATGACTCTGATCCTTAAAAAAATACAATTTATGAACATGTTTTTATAAATAGCCTTATTTTGTAAAATTAGTTTTAGTTTGAACACTACAAATTTTTATTTGATGCTCTAAGCAAATAGCTATTTTACACCTTTGGCACATTGCCCTAGTTTTTTTGTCCTTGGACAAAAGCCACATCGTCCCAGTGCCAGGATCTTGCGTTTTTTTAGGATCACTCCAATGGATTCTTTTATATCCTCTTAAAGTTTGCATCAGGTAACGGAACGGTCCCCCAAAAGTTTAAGAATGAGCTCTTAGCCTAATTTTTGCCCTGCTTAAGCAGTCAACACCAAACTAAAATAGACATATTTAGAAAAGAAATCGCTTTGTGCCCCAGCACCCCATGTAGGGTTCTTGGCTTATAACAGAATATTCAGAAGTTATAGCCTCTGAGAGAAGGGAGGAGAAAAAAATAATGAAAAAGATATTTTGAGTGGCAATTCTTACTTGTGGTGACTGCAGGTGGATTGTTGGTTTCTCAGCTTCTTGTTCCAGTAGGTTCTTCCAGATCTCTTCTTTGTACTCGCAGTGATATTCTTCATCTTGATTAGTTAATGACTGCAAAATTATACCTCTATTAGTTATGAAAAACATACATTTCATCATCATCATTTGTTTAAAGCACTTAAAGCAATAAAGAAATAAAAAAGTTATAAGGACCTAGATAGGTGCTAAGTTATGTTAAATTTCTTTATCTGGAAAACAAACATTATTTATTCTAGAACAAAATTAAGAAAATCGTATTATAATTTGAGAGTATATTGGTAATCAGAAGACAATGTTAGTTTTGTTTTATTTATTTTTATATTAGAGGGGGCAGACGAGCGTATGACCATTGCCATTCTAACAAACATTTTAACTATAGACTTTTTTTTACATAAGTTAACTTATAAAAACAATTGTACAGGGCTTAACATTTTTTTAAGGTTAAGGTACCCTATCTATTTCTGTACCGCTTACAGTGTGTATACAACATTTCATGACGAGCAGTTGTGTAGTTTAGGCATTAAAACACTGTATTTACTAACCTAATGAATAAAATAAAGATGGATTAAATATACCGTTTTTGGATCTGCGTCAGCCCCAAATACCAAATACCCCAAGTAACTAGTGGATAAATACAAAATGTTTTAAAAACTCATAAAAAAAATGTACTAAGAAATTTTATATTCTCATGCATTGGGTATGAAATATGAAACACATTGTATGAAATAAATATATTTTAGATGCAGTTAAACCTAATGTTGGATGGGGAGCAGAGCTATGTCTAAAAATACTGGTAAACTGTAGGGAACTACAAGTTTATAATACTATTTATTATTATTTATTTTCTGAACATTTAAAAAATGCAGCAGCAGTGTGTGCTGCACTTGGCTACAGTTTTATATTTAACAACTACCACAGTTGTTAAATACAAAACTCCAAAATATTTGTTCACCAAACTAAACTGGATGGCTGCATTTAGAGGTGGATTCTGGTATAGTGCAACAAAATGCTGGAATAATTTGCCACCACTTCATCCTAACTGTATTACTTTCAATATGTTTCAATTAAATCCAGCATTTTATAATATTAAATTAGACCTCATAGTCATACTATAATTATTACATTTGTATATGTTCTCACTACTTATAAATTACCGATATACTAGTTATTTTATGTTTTTTGTGGATTTGATTGCATATTTTATTTCATCAACAGCCTATAATAGTCCACTGCTGGACGTAGGCTTCTCCTTAGAAAGGAGGTTTTGGCCTATTATACCACACTCGTCAGCCGGTTTGGTATAGGGTTTGTTTCATGTTTTCCATCTTTTTGCAGTGCTGTTGTCCTGTGCTATTTGTTCCCTTAGTCGGTCCACATTCCGTATTCTTAATCATAATAATTTGATGTTTTTATTTTATATGCAGGATTTAACAATATGTAATTAATACGGTAATAATTAATTATCACATGTATGTTTATAGTATTACCATTATACACACATCCGTGAGGTATTGTTGCTGGCTTCAGCTGAAAATTTAGTGGCCTTAGGCTGTATAACCTTTAAAGTCATTTAATTAGCTAATTTTTATTGATGTTGTTGTTTCCTAACTGTTTGTTTTGTTATTGTTAGTTTTATTCTTTAGTTTAGCTAGTTTTTTCTCTCCAATTTATTGTCATGTTTCTTGGCTAATAAATGTATTTTTATTATTATTTTGTCTTTCTTTCTATACATTATTGATAGAGATCCAAATAGATGGTGGCTGGTGGTTGATACTAAGTTTTGCCTTAACCATCGAAAGGCAGAGCTAACAAAATCCTATTTAATTCTTTGCACTCCTACAATGTTTTAGGAAGACCTATTCAATAATGATTTCCCACACTATATGTTATACGGGATAGAAAACAAAAACAAAATCCCAATTACAATGTGGGGAGGTACACAAAAAATTTTTTTCAAGGTTATTTTCACCATGGAACGAATAATTTTGTGCCCATGAGGATGATGCGCATGCTTTTTGCATTTGCCCAGCTTTCTAGTAATGATAGTCCAAAAGCTACTCTGCCCTAGTGCAGACTATAGAACAATAAAAACATAACTTTGAATAAAATGTATCTATCTGTATTACAAGTTCGAAAAGTAAAAATAATTATAATATATGATGAAATATTGCACCACATTGTACAAACAAATGTTATGATGCAATAGTTTTAAATTTATTTGTTAGTGCATTATTTATTCATATAATTACAAATTTGAATGTTATATACATGTTTATTACATGTATATAACAACAACTGAGAAATATAAACATTACTGTGGTATTTTATTTGATCTTCATCACGATAAAGCTATATTCATAGAGATTACAAATAATAGGCAGTTAAAATTAGAAAAGGTTAAAATTAGTATGCAACCACAAACCATCAAATCTCTACTCTATCTGCTAAATATACACAAATATACCCAAGAAAACATTAATTATAATCATAATCATTCATGTTTCATTTCCTCACAAAAATATTATAGAAATTAATTTACCGAGTACTCTTAAATTTATGTAAATTATTATAAAATTGATAAATGAAGATAAAAATTGTGTTCCCAGAGACTATCTGTTAGTTGATTATATTAAGTTTTAATGCTATTTAGTATTATTCACTGCTTCACTAAACAGCTGTTTCATTATCATGACAACAAATTGCTAAGGAAAATGTTAGATTCCTGCAGTATTAAAAATTGAAATTATTGTGAAATAAAGTCCGTCTGAATATAAAGTATTCCTTAAGGTTTATTTTTTATGAGTGACTCGAATATTGGCGTCTGTATTTGGTCATGAAAATTGATCTCACTTTGAAATACTTTACTTCAAATATAATGTGAAATAGATAAAGTTTTAAACGATTATTTTTGTTTAAAGACATTTTGAACACATTTAATCTTATATTTTATAATGAAATTAACTTTTAGTACTAGTAATTACACACGGTAAAAAACTTACATTCAATTCGAACTTTTCTTCTCTTCTTTCGAACTTAATTCCGTTGTCTTGAGAGCTCCGACTCTTCGAACTATACAGGTTGAGTTTGGAGATATTCAAGGACTCCATTTCTTAAAGTAAATGCGGTCAAAAACTTAAAATAAAACTAGAAAATTAACACGTCGACCGTCTGTGACGTGAACCACGTGGAAACAAGTGTCAAATAATGAAGCCGAAAAATGCAACAAAACTAATTTTGTTACAATAAATAATTGGTCCAAGCGCAAGCATCACTTTTACCATTTATTTAAAACACAAAAACGTTGAGACAATATCACAGGTATGGTATTTTAAGCGACTTTTGTCACATGGTGCAGAGAGCTCAGTCGTAGCATTTTTGATTTTTGACAAATGCGTGAGGCGCAGTGAGCATAAAATACTTCGTTCGTAAACGAGTCTAGGCTGATGACTGGTGGGTGAGTGATAGGAGTGGGTGATACAAATCATATATAATTTTTGAAACTAAATATATTGCATCATTATCGTATATATAAATATGGGTGTCTGTATGAACTATATATCGATACATCGACAAATACTCTATCCGAACTGATACGTCTAGCGATTAAGTGATGCCGATACAGCGATACGACGATAATACGATATCTGTTGCGCTAGGTCTGATACGATACGAATTCACACGATTCACGCACGATCTAAATTGAACGGGGGTAAAAGAGCTCTAAAGCCGGCCAAGAGTGAGGCCCGCAGCGAGATGCTTTAGACATTGGAGGGGGATCCGTGGGTCCGCCCCTACGGTAGGGGCTGGTTCAATTATCGACTTTATCTGTACGAGTAATGACATAATATCATTAATATTTGACATCTAAACATTGACCTAACCTTTTGGCCTTGGTCAGAGAAAGACGAGACCTTAAGTGCATTATTAGGTGACGAATATAATTTCTTTTTTTTTCGTTTAGATTCATTTATTTACGCGTCTCATTGCAACTAGATCGTTTTCGTTGAGGATATATTTTAAGTGAGGAAAGTTTTTAATGAATAGAGAGCGAAAAGACTTTTAACAGTTTAAATAGTGTCTTATAAAAATTGTATAGGTAAATAACTCTCGGTGTAATCTAGGTAGGATGATAATTTATAAATTAAGTTAGATTGGTCTTTTAGTCTTTTTTTTAGTAAGTTTTTAGACTTCAAATAGGTCTCGTATTTTGTGGGAGTATTTTAATAAAATAAATGTTGCTGAAAAAAAGGCAAGATGTACATTTTGTGGCGATGTATACAGCTACAAAAGGACGACACGCAGTTTAAAGGAGCATCTAAAAAAATAACATCGAGATGCTTACACAAGAGTTGCTACTGGTGTACTACTTAAATGTAAATTTCGATGCTAATCGATTTCATGTGTAAATAAGTAAAAGTTATGGTTAAACCGACAATGCAAATAGTGTTAATATGTTAAGAAACAGAGTGAAATAATACAAAAAACATTGTAAATTGTAAAAAAAATGTTTAAACTAAATATAAATGTATATAAAATTAAACGAACTTTAAGAAACGCCTGCATAATAATGTGTTCTCAATGTCTATTTCAATTGAATGCACTCAACCTAATCAAATCTCGCCTTGCTTTTAGCATAATAGTCAAAAAATACCCTAGGTCCTAAACAATAATCATAGGCAAACTATGAACGAAAATTCATTCAGTTACATACATTTCTCAACACTCTTTTGTAATGCGCACTAAAATATATCATATACATAAGCATTAAGTATCTACAAATCGTTCAGTATCGAAAATGACATCCACAATGAGTTACCATCCAATACACAGATTCATAAAATATATAGTTTCGATATCTGACATTGAATTTCGATTCTAGTTTCTATTTGATACTCAGAAATAGCTATATCACACACTCCTGAGTGAGCGGCGGCGAGCCGAGCGGTCAGAAGTAGCAGATATAGTGTATTATCTATGGTCAGAAGTTCTGTTATCGGTTTCTGTATGAATGAACATTTTGTTACTTTTCTCTTGGATTAGTGTTTGTCACAGGAATAGTAATAATTAGACACTAAAAATAAATTAACGCTCGATTACTTCCAAAACCAATGTCGTCAAATCTTAGACATACGCAAAATATAAACAAATAGGTATAAGACTCGCAAAACAACGGTAAAATAAATAGGACACAAACTATTATGAACCTTAATTTCTAGACTTTACATTGCATTTTACTCCAATGTATTATGTAGCACCACTACAATCTCTTTCGATGTTTGCGAATTCCTGTAAACAGTGCTAGGGATTGACTTAAATTTTCGAAGGGATCGAGTACTTACAGCACGGATGGTGTTGTGGTGGCAAACCCCACATGGGACAACACTTTGTGTGATCCACAAATTGTTGTTCTGAGTCTGGGTGTACTTTGTGACCGTTTCATGTATGTTTGTAAAGTTCCACGCTACACAAGATTTTATCCCAGTGCGGGAGTTGTCTAAAAAAAAAGTAGCATCGTAAATCAAATATATAAATATATTTTTTTACACTAATGATACTTATATAAATGAATGGTACCTATTATAATAATAATAATTTTTGTGTCGGAGTTTGTTCACACAGTTCACTGAGATTTTGTCGTATGCCTATTGTTAATTGTTGCAATAGAGATTATAGGAAAGTTTTAAATTTTATCATAAAAGAAAATGGTACTTTGCTGTATTTTCCTTATCAAAAATGTTGATGTTTTTTAATGAAAGAACGAATGGTATTCTGCTCTCCTTATAAGGTTATATCACTGAGCGACAGTCTTGCCAACATCAGAAAAAAATATTAACATACGTCATTTTTTGGAAGGCTATGGGGTATAGCGGCTGACTGTGTATCTCTAATAATAATTAAAAGTACTGATTGATAAATAGTTCTAGCATAGTATAAGTAGTATTTAGTTAGTAAAGTGTACTAATAAAATGTCGTATTCTAATAGTAAGTTCTTATTGGAATATTTCTCAAGCCAGCGTGGTAGCATTATCTATTGGGCTAAACACGACTATAAAGCTATGTGTGCAAGAGATTATTTGTGACCGGTGAATTTAAAGTTTGGTTTTGTGTCCTCAGAGTACACTTGGGCAGCCCTACCTAGGACTGCAAGAGGTACACCGCTTGTGTTAGGCGGCGATCCGAAGGGAAGAAACTTTCTGTACACCAATGGGAATTCCGTTATCATTAGAGATATTGAGAACCCAGCGATTGCGGATGTATACACGGAGCATTCATGCCAAGTTAATGTTGCGAAGTATTCTCCAAGTGGATTTTACATCGCTTCTGGAGGTAAGAATTCTGTGCTCTGTATTTTTTTAAAGAGACATTAATTTAAATGTATAAATGTATGTTAAATAAAACCTTAACCTCCAGCCATTAATGGTAATGAACATATATATAGTCTTGGCCTTGTCCCAGTATAATAATTGGAGTTGGTTTATTTACTTTCCTATTAAGCATAATAACTTTCACTTCGGTCAATATAAAAGGTTCACTGTGTATAAATTAGACCAAGTCTTCATCTTTTATTTATATTTTTTATGTTGTTATTGGTATATAAGTATGGGGTACTGAAGGAGAGGCAGGGGGGACAGCTGTGCCTTGCCTTTTGCAGGCTTTCATAGTTAGTCTTTGGACTGACAAAACAATTCTGCTTCCTCTTATGGGTTAGAACCTGGGTTTGTTCAATAATTATGTATATTAGCCATAAACATTTATGTTGTTTTATCAGTAAAAGTATTACAAATGCTTGTTATCAGACTATTTTTTAAACTTAAATATAAATTTCAAACTTATTAAGACAAGTGTAATTTACTGAAAAACTTTATAATTAAATTTCTACGCTTTCTCTCTTTATGTGACAAAAAGTAATGTAATTACTAGTTCAGGAAACAAAAATAAACCAATAATAAAATAACTTAAAAAAGATATCACCAACATACCTACACCAAACTTGATGATTTTTTTAAGATTCTTCATCCCTTGATTTTCCTCAGTCGTAGAATATTTAAAAAAGAATTAAATCGAACCAACAAATACCTAAGTCAATTAATAAAGTTTTATTGGTAGAATACTTAAAAAGAATTAAAAGGAACCAACAAATACCTAAGTCAATTAATAAAGTTTTATTGAAGTGGATTCACATAATTATGAAAATATCACATACTATACATACAGAGATAAAAGAAACAGTCTAATTACTTTGTTTTTAAGTCAGTTACAAAAATATAAAAAAAATTGGCAATGTAGGAGTGTTACTTTATTTTATGTTGCTAATTTTTGTGCCAATGTGCTTTTTAAAGTTTGTCAGTAACTATATGGTTGTAGTAATTGATTAAAAATATGGAGTGTCACCACCCCTATTCATCCAGTGGGTGTTGTAAGAGCCGACTAAGAGAGCAGACTATACAGAACAAAATCACGGCAAAAAAAGCAAAAGAAGGAAAACTTGAAACAAACCCTATACAAACCTGTCTAGCCAGTGTGGTATAGTAGGCCAAAACCTCCTTTCTAAGGAGAGGCTTATGTCCAGCAGTGGACTATGAAAGGATGTTGATGATGATGTAAATTACAAGTCTTATGTTTACAAGGCTTGTTATCACAAATGATCATAGAATGTCACATCTGCAATGGTATAAGTGACTGATTCATAAAGCAGGAAAATATATATATACTTAACATTAACATAAGTTCTGACAATTAAATAAAATTATGCTGTCAACAAGATTCATGACAGTTATAATGTTTATTTCCTCTAAAAATTTAATAGTTTAATGACATATCTGAAGTTGATTATATTTTAATTATAATGAATTATGGTTTCCTGCAAATTATCTTTGCAGAAGCTATATTTAATTTGTGTAAAACAAAAACATTTACATCAATCTGCTTAATAATAATAAGGAGATTCACATTGTGGGTCTAGTGGTTAGTGCCCCTGGCTGCTAATCCGGAGGTTGTGGGTGCGATTCCCACTCAGGACAAATAATTGTGGGATAAGCACAATCATTTGTTCTGTGTTTAATTTAACTTTAATATATGTGTATTTAGAAATGTAAGTATGTTTATCGGCAGTATGGTGTAGACAGAATTGTGTGCTTATCATTTAATTATCTTGTCAGAGGCCTGTGCCTCTGATGAATGATACAATCAGGAACCATGGGAGAATTCTCTTTTGAATTACATAAAGTAATTTCATCCAGAATAAGTAGAGGTCTTGAAAATAATAATAAGTATACAACATTTATATGCACTATATATTATGTATATTATATAGTATGTTTGAAATAGTGTTATGTTATAAAACAATCAATATAACATAACATATAGTTTAACAAATTGTTGTACTATAGTTATTATGTGGTAATTTTAGGTCTTACAATAAAAACACTTTTCTCAGAATTTACGATAAAGCCTTGATAGTACAACATTTGTGGTAGGTATTAAATAAAATAATCTCCGTTTATTTGTTTGATAAACCACTGATACGAATTGTTCATGTGGAGTGAGCACTCCCAGTGGAGGTTATGGTATGGTGTATGTGTGGTATGGTTTACTTCTATTCGAAATATTAACACATTAGATTTATTGAGTGTCTTGGCCACTTGTTCCATAAAGGTCGTAGTCGACTTAACGACGCCGCTCCCGCCCAACCAAACTATGAGCATCTAACACACTTTACAGTACAAAAAAAGCAGATTTTTCGGTCTGCTTTATTTTATTGTTACTACGGTCGGCTACGGCTACGACTTCAAGAGTCCAAGTTTCAAGGAGAGAGAGAGAGAGTACGCTATTCCTTCATTGCATCTTTTCCACTGAGTGAGGTTACTGGAGCCCCATCCCTAATCTTTGCGGAGTCATTCAAAGGTCAGCCTTGCATTTATGAATCTTGAAATGCACCATTCCATGGGCGACGGTAGTCGCTTATATAACCCATATGCTCGTTTGCTCCCTAATCATACAAAATAAACTTCATACTTCTTCACTTGAGAAAATTTTACAATACAACCAACCTCGTTATGCCTTAATCATCTCGTGACTTCCTTCCTTCCGTGTTATTTTTTTTAATTAACATTAATAAGTTTTGTTACTTTAGTTTCGGGGTTGTTGCTTTATAATATAAATGTTGCGTCATATACACAAAAAATGTAGTACCTACTTTTATCTCGGCACAACTTAGAAGTGATTGATACCTTTTGGAGAATTACTCATCTGGTTACAAATGCAATGAGTCAACTCAACTGAAGGCCAATTCTCGTAATAAAAGTTCGTTCTCAATTCAGTTCCGATTAAATTTCGATCTCACAACTGTCATAACAGGCATTTTCATCATCATCATATTGTAACTGAAAATTGAATCGGTAATCTGCTAGTCTTAGTAATACTTTTAAAATGACCATCGCCGTCCATGAACGTCTGCAACTCAGGAGTCACAAACGCGTTGCCGACCTTTTAGAAGGGAGTACGCTCTTTTCTTGAAGGTTTGAAGGTCGTATTGGTCCGGAAATACCGCAGACGATAATACGTTTCACAGAATGGTTGTGCGGAGTAAAAAGTGTCCTAAAAATCTCACAGTAGTGGAGTGCCAACTATCTAGGTAATGAGAATGGAAAATTTGCCGTGTGGAACGATTAAATATAAAATTGATCGCCCAATCATCTTCTTCTTAAACAGTGTTATGAAATTGTGTATCACTTATGCCATCACCACGATTATCAAAACAGTTGTATATTTATTATGATTTCGCGACTACAGCGAGAGGATTGGCGCCAAGCCAGACCGTATCACTCCAGAATTAAACTGAAACTAGTTTTGTTACTAATATTTTATATGAGTTCAAGTTATTTCTAACGCATTCTGAATGGATTTCGAATAAGTATTTTGGATAATAAATACTAATATTATAAAGTTGAAGAGTTTCTTTGAACTCTCTAATCTCAGGAACTACTAGTTTGAATTAAAATAGGAGCGGAGCATCAATGAAAAAAACGGTACGAAATTATTCCTTTTGAGAAACGCAGACGAAGGAGGGGCGGGAGGGGGGAAGGCTTAGCGGTTCAGCTAGTGTTAAAAACGTTAAACCATGCCGCTAATTCTTGGTTACTTTGACTCGGATCGTTTGCCACCATCTCCTACAATTTAGCGTTATTCACGTGTGTGGGCGGTCTTCCACGTGGTTCGTTCTTCAAGTCGAAGTTTCCATTACGAAAGCGTTTAAACCAAAACGCACGGTGCGTTCATTAGCAGAGTCCTCTCCAAACGCATCGTTGCATTGCAAGCCGTTTTTGCCGCGTTATTTCTGCGTCAGAATACGTATTCAAAAATGACTCGGATTATCGAAGTATCCATTTTTCACGTCTAAGCTGAATTTAAAAAAAACAAGTGAAAGTCGAAAATCAATTGTTGCACATTTTTTAAAAGAAGAACCTCATTGGTATCATTTGAAATAAGTTACACACGAAAATCTCACACCATGAAGGTTTTATGTCAATTCAAAGTATCTTCTCGTATTACTATACAACGGCAATTTCATACTATAACCCCTATTATTAGAATTGAGAAACTCATTTATATACATGAACTCTGAAACATAATATTTCTATTTTTGGATTTATAATAAGCCTGATTCGTCATACCTACCTTGATTTTTCATCTTTTGAGGATTCTCAATCGTAAAAAAAAACCAGTCGAACCAGTCGATAGTTGAATTAAAATTCGTATTTTTTTAGTTTTATTTTGAGTGCTAAGCAAAAATTGACTTAATTTAGTTTTAGATTAAATTTTATTTTAATCATCAACTTTATGTCTTTGACTTTGTAGGTCGGCTTGTAATTTATCTAACTAACAACTGCCAGGGTTATTGAGGACTTCCCATTGTATAATGCATCTCTATATCTTAGGTATTAAATTTGCAATGATTGACTAGTCACTGTTTCAATCTGTGGTCCTCATAATCAGTTATGAAATATAATTAACAAAACTAGTGCATTTGCACGATACTTTTCGAGTGCAAGTAACTATAAAAATAGCAAAATCGTTAAGGTTTGATATTAATGTGAAGAGTTCCCTTAATTTTTTAAGGAGCAGAAATCAGAATCAGAATATTACCTAATGCTTTCTTACTTGGTTCGTTGTGTCATAATCCGAAGGGGAAGGTAAAAACGTACATTTTGTGGACTATAATTTACGTAATACGTAATATTGCCATATCATCATCATCATCAACAGCCTATAATAGTCCACTGCTGGACATAGACCTCTCCTTAGAAAGGAGGTTTTCGCCTACTATACCACGCTGGCCAGACGGTTTGGTATGGGGTTTGTGTCAAGTTTTCCTTCTCTTTCCAGTGCTGTTGTCCTGCGTAGTCTGCTCCCTTAGTCGGCTCTTACGACACCCACATGATGAATAGGGATGGTGACATTCCGTATTCTTAATCCGTCACCACACGGATAAATAAATATTGCTATATAAACGAAACTTATATGTATACTAGCTGGTACCCGCGACTTCGTTCGCTTGAAATTTGAAAAGCGCTGCCTTAGTGGTGTAGTACTCTACGCGATTGCAGTCCATGAGGCCGCGGGTTTGATTCCCGGTTTAGGTTATCCTATAGGGTTTTTCTGAGAGGAAAAATATACTAAGTTACACCTTATATAGACAGCTACCTGGTAGTAAACTTATAAAAATTGTCCGGCCGTTTTGAAGATTACCCGGAATAAACAGATAGGCAAACAATATTTAAACCTGTTTTTAGGCCAACAACTTTAGGACGACAGTCCTGCGTAGTTTGCTCCCTTAGTCGACTCTTACGACACCCACGGGATGAATAGGGGTGGTGACACTCTGTATTCTTAATCCGTCACCTCGTTTAGGGCTCTGCGTTTATCAATTAGTGAGTTAGTCAGTCAGGGCAAGTAATTATATATATACTCGTATACCTATATATTTATAAATTCTTTATGTTTTTTTTGAACGTATGCTATATATTTTACAGGTAATAATAAAAAAACCCTTCAAAGACAAAACTAAATATTTTCAAAAGCTATGGATGGAAGTGATCATTATAATAATTTTTACAATTCGAGCGTCACGTCAGCTCTGACCTTGCACCCTTCCGGTATACCGTATTCACTATGCGTACTTCCAATTGTTCGCTAAAATGGTAGTACTTAACCGTTCAGTGTTTTGTTATAGAGTTTGAAAAATATCGACTGTTTCTGTCAACTAGAGAAAGCGACCGAAATGCTGGGACGAAGTGAAATTATTAATTAGACTAATATACATAACGCTATCAATCATAGATAACGGGAACCTAATTAATTTATTATAATTTTGCGAAAAATAGTTATTCTATTCAGGTGGAAATTCAATTTCTACAGTTTGGTCTCTGGTCTTGAATTGAAAATCTGTGCACTCGAGAACAACAAAAATATTTATATAAAAATTTAGAGACGATCCGATCTAATCCGGGGGATCCGAAATCCAATTATAGTCCCTAACGATGACTATTGACTAAACTTTGCTTTTCTAAATTCAGTTGTGAGAAAGAAGCTTTAGTATTCTTTTGTTTTAGCAACTGTAATTTTCTTTTTTTCAACTCACTTGAGACGTCACTTCACTAGAGCCAATCGGTAAGGTGGTAAATAGGACTCGAACCGACCAAAATCCATGCAGTGTTCCGTCATTAGATCTTTTTCCGGGGGCCTCAGATGTACCTTAGAATGGAAAACCTGTGAACCCCTTCAGACTTAACCGTCTGTTGATAAAGGCGACCCCACTGTCATTTGCAGAGTGTCGTGTTCCGTCTCATGCCTGCTTCTGCTTTTTTTTTTTTTTTTTTTTTTTTCTTTTAAAGACAACGCCCGCATTAGGAATAATCCTGTGTCGCGGGGGACTTTACAAACATACATGAAACGGACACAAAGAACATCCAGACTCAGAACAACAATTTGTGGATCACACAAAATGTCGTCCCATGTGGGGTTTGAACCCACAACACTCGGCGTAGTAGGAAGCGGCGTGGCGACCGCTTAAACCACTACGCCATCCGTGCAGTCGTGTTTCGTTCGTGTTTTTCATCAGCCAAGTTAAATGAATCTCACTCTCTGCCGTCTTTATGATTAATTGAAGTCTCTTAGCAACAAATATAACATACATTTATAATAGCTATTAATTTTTGACTTATTGTGGGTAGGTATATCTACACAATCAAGTCAACGTGAGTAATTTATTTATCTGATGATAAAGAAAATATAGATTTTATCCATCAGTAACTAATAAAAGGCAGGTTGTAATCTTTTACTGGGAAACGATTGTTATATATTATTTTGTAACTTGTAAATATCGTTAAATACAGTAGGAGTATTTAAGTATTTTGACTAGTCTGCTGGTCTGTTAGTGACACTGACTCATTAGCCTTAAAATGATTTGCCAATATAATTTAGGGGAGAGTAACCATATTGAACAGGCGCTTAAATTGGACCACTTCTGTATTTCTATCAAAATGGCACTACTCTCCCCTATTTGTTCAGAAACGTAATAGCGGTAATCTGGACGGGGTTTAGTGTTATCAATAAAAATAATCATTTTTCACTACCTTTGAAGGACAAAATGTATAGCGGTCTTATTTTATGTAGCCATTTTTAAATATTATTTTACTTTATAGCTTATAGGATTATTAAAGCTGAGAGACTGCCGCATTTTTAGGCCTACTTAGATACTATGAAGTAACCTGTTTAGATTATAGTTTAAATTTAAGTCGTAATTAATTCATTGCACATAGAGTTTTCACTTTACACCGACATTTTCATAACCTTCAAACTTACGAAGCTGACTGTTTTATTAATGAAATAACAACTTATGAATATTTACAACAAGAATTTCGTCTTTTAATTTTAAGTGTTTAATAAAAAAAATTGGAAATTTGGTTAGGTCGAAAATTCTTAAAAAAGTCTAACTCGAAAAGTAAGGAAAGTCGCGGCACATACATAGTGGATGTTTCGGATACGAGGGACTATACTTTTTTTTTTATATTTATATTCCCAAATATAATAATTACGCTTAGACATAGAATAAATTATCGTGTTAATCACAATTATTTGTCCTATATGGGAATCGAACTTCCATCCGAATCCACGACTTCTCGCTTAACATAATCACGATCTCTGTACGACCGGTATGAATAGATAAAATTTCTTCATTTCAGATGTATCTGGCAAGATCCGTATCTGGGATACGGTGAACAAGGAACATATCTTGAAGAACGAGTTCCAGCCAATTGGTGGTCAGATTAAGGACATCGCGTGGAGTGCTGACAACCAACGTATGGTTGCCGTTGGAGAAGGCCGGGAAAGGTAAATGATTTGTCATGAATAACCTATAGTGGTGACATTTTATCCGCAGGAGAGCCATGCTCGACTGGAGTGAAGCCACGGCTTAGAAAACCTGTGTTAAACAGTTCCTTTGGTGCTTTTATCCGTAGCATTTTTTTTAGAAATAAATTTCAAATCTTTATTTCAAATCTTTATTTGCCAACCAAGTGTTCATCAATGATCTTATAATATTATATGTAGTAGTCCCAACTCAGAAGCCTTTTCCAGGCATTGCAAAAATTTGAGAGAGAACGCAGAAGAATAAATTGTTACACAAGTACAAGCATTTTTTGAACAATACAAATTAAGTGACTCAATAGTACAGTATAACAATCGAATAAAGCATGCAAAAATACGAAGAATAGATATTAAAGATATTATAAATAAGAATGTCAGCCGGTTTGTGGCACTTCACGTCTTAACTGCTTAGCTGATTATGATAAAATGTTGCATAAACACTGTCAGGGGTACAGAAAAGACGGTATCTTTCATTTAGATGAAAAGACAAAATCCACATTACAGTATACTAAGCCGCATGCAAATGCTGGTTATTTATAACTATAGAATAATTACTATTTTGGACTCTAACTAATAAAAGATACAACATGTTTTAACTCTTTCAACGTCCTTACTTTAGTACGTGTTATTAGTACACTTACACGGGTACGTTAAATAAACGTATATTTAACCGTATTATTACCGTGTATATTTACCGGTACTGACACGGTATATTTACCGTGACCGGTCCCGTCAAGGTCACGATCGCAACGTCCAACAACAAACATTGTGAAAACAACGTACTGTTTATCAAAATATTTATTGAATTATTTTAGAATGAAATTACTGCTGGACTTAGGCCTAGAGAATGATGAATAGAGGTATTGGCCTACTATACTATGCTGGCCAGACGGGTTGGTAGGGATACGGTTTATTTAAAGTTTTCCTTCTCTTTGCAGTGCTGTTCGGCGTACTTTGCTTGCTTAGTCGCCTCTTACGACACCCACGGGATGAATAGCGGTGGTGACACTCCGTAGACTTAATCCGTCACCACACGGTCATAAGATAAAAAAAAAATTGGCTTTGTAACCATCAGCTATTTTTTTGTCTATTTGTCCAGATTCGGCCATGTATTCATGTCGGAGACAGGAACTTCCGTGGGCGACATCAGCGGACAGTCCAAACCCATCAACTCAGTGGACTTCCGGCCGACCAGACCGTTCCGTATTGTGACTGCTTCGGAAGACAATACGCTTGCTGTTTTCGAAGGACCACCATTCAAGTTTAAGTGTACAAAACAGGTTAGGAGATTGGTATAATTATTTAACCCTTTCTGGTCTTTTGTAGCGCAAGGTGAGGGGACACTAGTCATGGTTATGGTTGAAGAAGAGACTCGATTATGCATTCTCTCCTAACTTCGTATAGCTTTCGTACTCATCATCATAGGTACAAAAGGCTTCATCATCAGCCTACCGCAGTCCAAGGTGACAACTTAATTAATTTTCAATTCATTTTCTTCTCTCGTTGTTTGTAGGAACACACTCGCTTCGCCCAAGCCGTCCGTTACAGTCCTGATGGCAGTTTGTTCGCGTCTGCCGGTTTCGATGGAAAGATCTTCTTGTTCGATGGAGCCACTTCTGAACTTAAGGGAGAGGTAAGTTAATTTTATTTATTTATTTAATAAATAAATCCGTCCGTGTGGTGACGGATTAAGAATACGGAATATCACCAGACCAGGAGTCAATAGATTCCTTAATCAAGACTACTATATGGCCCGTGTGGTGACGGATTAAGAATACAGAGTGTCACCACCCCTATTCATCCCGTGGGTGTCGTAAGAGCCGACTAAGGGACCAAACTACAAGACAATAGCACTGCAAAGAGAAGGAAAACTTGAAACAAACCCTATACCAACCCGTCTGGCCAGCGTGGTATAGTAGGCCAAAACCTCCTTTCTAAGGAGAGGCCTACGTCCAGCAGTGGACTAGTATAGGCTGTTGATTGATTGATTGATTTAATACTTCTTAACTTAAGGCGGACTTAATGCCACAGGCATTTTCTTCCAATCAACCTTTAGGTGATGTAGAGTTGTGTGTGGCTGGTGTATAGTTAAAGCTAGTGAATGGATTACCAGTTGATGTCTATCACAAAAAATATAATATATAGATATATTAAGTAATTTTATCATTTATAGTGTAACGACTTCCATATACAGTGAAACAAAGAAACATACTACAGCACCATCTAACGAAGACTCACCGAACTATGGAGTAACTGCTAATCCTATCGTGAAATGAATAATTCTCCTATTAGCATATATACAACTTCCCAACATTAACCGTTGGGCCGCAGCCCGCTAGGCATGATCACCTCGCCTGGGTCGGAGCATCCTCCCTTTGTGTTGGAGGTACATGACACTCGTTCCTCCACAATAGATTAAATTTTTACCCATTTATTATAAAACAAAAGATAATGGATAATAATACCTCAAATCTTTATCGTCACAATTCCATTCTATTTAAGATCGGTTCACCGGCTCACAAAGGCGGTGTGTACGGCATCGCCTGGTCTCCAGATGGGAAGCAACTGCTCTCGTGCTCCGGCGACAAGACTTGCGCGATTTGGGACATCGAGACAATGCAACGCACGACACTGTTCAACATGGGTAATGCAGTGGAAAATCAACAGGTTGGTTTTACTTTTTAAGAAATGAAAAGTGGTAAATTTAAAATGAAAAATTAAAAGATAATCATAATTATTGTTTACTGTGCTATATAGTAGCATCAAGCTTTACAGGATATGGTACTGATCTGAAATATAGGAACATTTACGAGGATCTGTGAAGTGAGCAATCGATATCAATGAGTCAATAGATTCCTTAATCAAGACTACTATATGGCCCGTGTGGTGACGGATCAAGAATACATAGTGTCACCACCCCTATTCATCCCGTGGGTGTCGTAAGAGCCGACTAAGGGGAAAAAAACTATCGGAGCGGGACCGGGAGAGGTTTAGAACTCTCCCGGCCCGCCAGGCCCGGGAACGGACCAGGTACCGCAGGTGACTCAGGCGCCGGAGGTCGGTCGAGGAATGACCTCCGTCCTCCATAAGCGCAGGCCTGGGGGTGACAGGTGAGGACATCTGTCACCCTAGCAGAAGTAGGCCGGGGTGGCGGGAGCGCATTGCGAAGCGCGCTCGCTTCCAGGGAGCAGAGGGAACATGGGGTTCCCACACGGGAGGGGGGTCGTCTACTCGTCTGTAGATGGCCCGAGGTATGTCGGGGCACCAGGGACTTCTTTTCTAGGGTATACCTGGTTTCCTGGCTATTAGTACCCGAGGCGGCGTGCGGTTTTAGTCGGTTCGATTCCGACATGCCATCGATATCCGAGGGGATTTCCGCACGGAAAAAAAATAAAAAAAAGGGGAAAAACTATGCAGAACAACAGCACTGCACAGAGAAGGAAAACTTGACAAAAACCCTATACCAGCCCGTCTGGCCAGCGTGTTATAGTAGGCCAAAACCCCCTTCTAAGGAGAGGCCTATGTCCAGCAGTGGACTATTAAAGGCTGTTGATGATGATTGATGATGACTACTATAAAACACTTTATATTTGTAGTCAGAATTATTGAGTTCTGGATCAATGTAACTTAATCTAATATTTTTCTCCAGGTATCCTGCCTATGGCAAGGCAAGCACCTCCTGTCGGTCTCCCTATCCGGTGTAATCAACTATTTGGACGTGAACAACCCCGATCAGCCGTTACAAGTGCTGATGGGACACAACAAACCCATCACTTCTCTAGCACTACACCCTGAAAGGCACACCGTGTACACTGCCAGCCATGATGGGACTGTTACACAATGGAACTGCGACTCAGGTAAAATATTTTAGTTGTATTACATTCTGTCATCAAAGTAAATTATTTGAATATAGCATAGTATGAAGTAATAAATCCTTATTTCAAACAAGTTTAAGTACACTGACAAGCGAGCGCCCGCTCATAGACACCTGCAACAACTCAAAGGACACAAGTTGGTTGCCGACTTTAAAGTGCTACCCACCATAAGGAGGCGGAGGACCCGTAATATTTTGTGGCCGTGGTGCTTCCCTGTTTTAAAGGGTGTATGCCTATTTTACTTCATTTTGTTCGCCCGCTTTGCTAAGGAGGGAAGTGGATTTACTGTATTTCCAACTCCTCCAATTTTTTTCTGATTAATTTCGTTGCGGGTTCCAAGACAGTTTAATTTCTTCCTGGGACTTCCCGAGTGTCATAACTCGGTGTGTTCGTGGGTCACTGCTGTGGATCCTGGTGTACTGGAGTTACAGTGGTGGGCGTGTGGGTGGGATTAGCCCCATTAAAAAAAAAATGTAGGCGGAGGAGTGCGGGATGGGGTGGTTGGGTTTGGGTTAGTTTTCATCCTCCGGTAACCACACTCAGTAATAAGTGATTAAAGACTTACTATGCTTAGTACCACTTTTATAACTGCATGTATGCCAAATCATGAGTCTCTACATTCAACATTAGAATTAACAGTCAAATATGCAGACACAATTACAATACTGCTGTTGTGTTATATTGTGTAGTATACACACATCGTCAAACTTTTAGATATTGACGTTAAAATGACTTTAATTTATGGCCGAAATTGTGATTTAGTTTCTTTTCTTATATGGCCGTTTTAGCGCAATTTTGTATGTCTCCAAAATTTTATTTCCAGCCTTTAACTGCTTACTTTTTTTCTGCAGGTGAAGGTCGTCACATAAAAGGTCAAGGTCACGGGAATCAGGTCAACGGTATGCGTGCTGGCAAGGACGGTATTCTACTCACTTGCGGTATAGATGATACGTTACGGATCGCGAAGCCATTGGCCGAAGGTACAGTTTGGAAGTTTTATATTGTTTATTAATGTATTATGGTTCAAATGTTTCTGGCTGTTCTGTTATTGATGTAAATTAGCATCAGAAAGAATTTATACAAAAGTGAAAAACCTATGTTTCATATCTAATTTTGACGTAATTTCGGGTCTGTAAATAACAAAAGATACGACGGGTCTTTTGGTTAGTAATCCTGGATGCTGAAAAAGAGATCTTGGCTTCGATTCTCATTCAGAACAAATAGATCTGTGAATAGAGTATTCACAGTATTTTGTTGCAGCAGCACACAATAGCCTTGTTTTTTAAATCTTAAGTAATTTTATTTATAATTAAAGATTGTCACATTAATGACACTTGGCCAGTACTAAATATTTTTTTGTATAACAGGTGATGTACCAACATATACGGACGTATCAATCCCGCTAGGATCCCAGCCTCGCGGAATGGACCATATCATTGACGATGATACAACAATAGTTGCTACTGTTAAAGAGGTATGATGCTGTATAAACCTATAACATTTATCTTTCAAATGTTTATTAGAGGTTCTATTCTATATTCTATATTCTACATACATAACACGGGCCTGTTGGTTAGTGACCCTGACTGCTGAACCGGAGGTCGTGGGTTCGATTCCCACCCAGGACAAATATTGTGTGATGAGCACGGTCCTTTGTTCTGTGTCTGGGTGTAGTTTATCTAAAATATGTATCTATTGACCCTGACTGCTAAACCGGAGGTTGTGGGTTCCATTCCCACCCAGGACAAATATTGTGTGATGAGCACGGTCATTTGTTCTGTGTCTGCGTGTAATTTATCTATAATATGTATGTATTTAAAAATATATAAGTATGTTTATCAGCGGTCTGGTTACCATAGTACAGGCTCTGCCTAGTTTGAAATCAGACGGCCGTGTGTGAGATGTGTGAGATATATATTATACACATTAAATTTATAACAAATATTTTTTGGTAAATAGTTTGGAATGTAGAGTTAGGGAGCGCTACCACTAAAGTGTCCACTGAAAAGCAATAAATAATAGTTCTAATACCGACCAGAATGGCGCTAGTGTAGCCAAAGGGAATGAATAATGAAAACTATGTTTAACTTTGTCTTAACTTGTACAGCTCACCGTTATCATTGGAGGTAGCAAACAATCGAGTCTCCCTCTCAACTACGAGCCGACGTGTGTCAGTATCGACACCAAGTCCAGACACGTTGCCGTTGGAGGTGAGACCTTTACTTACATATTTATTCTTATACTAGCTGACCCGAGCAACTTTGTCTGCGTCTCTCAATAGTAATAAATTTTCTCCGTTTTTGAAACATTCTTCATTGGTGCTCCGCTCCTATTGGTCTGAGCGTGATGATATATAGCCTATAGCCTTCCTCGATAAATGGGCTATCTAACACTGAAAGAATTTTTCAAATCGGACCAGTAGTTCCTGAGATTAGCGCGTTCAAACAAATCGAGATAGCATTTAAATCTGGTCCAACGCCTGCAACTATATAAGGGCCAGCCCAGACCAAGAGGAGCGCACTCGAAAATAAACTATATACCTTTGGATATTTATATATACCTTTGAATTTTTTTTGGGTCATGTTCGAACGTGAATGCACTTTATTCACGTTCGAACATGACCCAAAAAAAATTTAACAGTATTTTGACATTTTTTTATCCGAGACCGTGAGAGTATTATTCCACTCGGTCTGCGCTGACCCTATGGAATACTGTTCTAATCTCTTTGCAAGGTGAGGGTGGCCCTCAGCAGCTTCTTTACTACTAAAACTACTTGAATCCTCGATTACCAGAATTTTGCGATCGGCTTGACCTTTCGGGGTTGCCGAAAGATGTAGCTTCACTCTGCATGCTCTATCGCTTATATCAGGGATTCCTTGAGGTCGACATCGATTTCCCAGATGTCGACATAAACACACCAGGGACTTCCTTTCTAGGGTATACCTGGTTCCCCGGCTATTATTAGTACCCGAGACGGCGTGCGGTTTTAGTCGGTTCGAGTCCGACATGCCACCGACAGGTGGTATCCGAGGGGATTTCGGCACGGAAAAAAAAAGGTGTCGACATAAACGAAAATTGATTTTGAGAGCCGACGAGGTCCAAAAATCGACCTCTATTGAGAAAATGATGTCAAGTTTACTGATTTAACCAACCGCAAGATTTTTAAATTGGTAAATATTTTGTATTAATTTTCCATAAAAAAACCATAGATATGATTTTTAAAGTAATTTGGCCATGGGGACTACAGTATCAGTTCATTATGGAAAAGGGGTCTCTTGCTCAAAATGGTTTATGAATTCCTGGCTATATCATGAGGTGACCGAGGATTTGCTCGGTCTAATACCGGCCGCAGCTTTTGTCCATCGTTTCTTGTGATAAAATCGTCATCCCTATTTATCACTTGACTATTTGACCCTTGTGCACTTTTAAACGAAATTTTTTGCCTGGTATTTCCGGACCGATACGACCTTGAAGCAAGGCCCGCAAGGAAGTTCTGACTCATATTTTCTAGTTGTCCACGGGCGGTGGTAATCACTGACTATTAGACGACTCGCCTGCCTGTTTGCCACCTATGAAATAAAAAAAAAAACACCATGACCGCTAAAAGATTTTATAGCAAAATATCTGTAATGATTTTAGGCGCGGACAACAAAGTGCACTTGTACACACTGGACGTGCGCACTCTCACGCCGGGAGTCGAACTGGAACACCTCGGAGCCGTGACGGACGTACGCTTCAGCCCGGACTCGAAGTACCTCGTCGCGAGTGACGCCAACAGAAAAGTTATACTATACTCTACTGAGGATTATAAGGTAAGCAAATGGTCTCCACAGTTTTAGCTGTCGTTCCTCCTTGTATAAGAATTTTCTTAAAACTGGGTAGTAAGATGAACCTTGTACTATTATGGTTACCGTACAGGGAAAATAAAAAAGGTAGAGTAAAGCTAACCTGGTTTATATTAACTTATCATCATCATCATCATCAACAGCCTTTAATAGTCCACTGCTGGACATAAGCCTCTCCTTAGAAAGGAGGTTTTGGCCTCCTTTAATATTATATATAATATTAACTTAACTAAATCTATAATGGTATGGTTAAATGGTTAAACCTCCTTTCTAAGGAAAGGCCTGTGTCCAGCAGTGGACTATTATAGGCTGTTGATGTAATGTGTGATGTAATGGTTAAATGGTGTGAATACAACCTAACGGAAAGGTGACCGAAAATGCAATGTTTTTATGTAATGGCGGAATAACGTTAATCGAGTTAAATGGCTGACCGCGCGCAACGTGATATGGCGTCGGCTTGTGTCGATCCGTGGATAGCACAGACCACGATATCATTAAAATCAAATGATATGCAGTAAAATATATTCCATGTCAAAATAACGTCATACAGCCGTCATTCAACTTTTTCGATAAAGTTGTTTTTTTTTAAATTCCAAAAAAAGAAATTCCCGCACAACAAACATTATATTCCTTTTGCAAATATTATATTTATTTTGTATTTGTCACCTGCCAATTAATGGGCAACTCTAGCGACGCGTGTGCTCTTTGGTGAAATAGCGCCCTTGTCCTAATCTTACATACATCCGCTTCACAGACTAGGAATGCTAGCGAGATGATGTTACTCAACAAATAAGGAAACAAAAAGATTGTTGCATCTATAAAAATAAATAAATTTGAAGTAGATACTTCAATTTTATTTATTTTCCTCCTCCAGGAAAAATCCTATTATTTTGACATTAGAAACAGACGTTTGTAATGTCAAAATAATAGGATTTTTTCATGCTCACACGCTTATTTGCATGATACCCATGCCTAAAATCCAAGTTTATTTTTTGCTGTCTGTCTGTCGTTTTGTTTGTTCCGTTTAATCTTCTAAACGGCAGGACCGATTTTGATAATATTTTACTACAAAGTAGCTGTCTATATAAGGGGTAACTTGCTCTATTTTTCCTGTCAGAGAAACCAAATAAAATTTTCAATCAGCGCTTTTCAAAATCCTGGTAACTAGTTTACAATATTAGTTGGACTGTTGTGTGTTGTGATCGGGTAAAGAGTGTGGGTCGGTTGTCAGCTGGCGCACAACAAGGAGTGGGGCTTCCACACGGCGCGCGTCAACAGCGTGGCGTGGAGCCCCGACTCGAGCCGCGTGGCCTCGGGCTCGCTCGACACCGCGCTCATCGTGTGGAGCGTGCACCAGCCCGCCAAGCACGTCATCATCAAAAGTTTGTATACCCTTCGCACTCACGCTTATTTATTTATACGCTTACAGATTTTAAAATTAACAGCGGGTGATGCTTAAGCTTTGGTGAGGCTTTTATCGCGGCAACCTAACGATTTTACATTGTTCTTTGTCACTTTGTAACGGACAGCGATTCTAGATGACAGAGTTGTTACAAATATAGATTAGTTAGTTACATAGAATTTAAAATAAAATTGAAACAGGTTTTAATAAAATAATCATTTTGAATTAAATTGAAACTATGCGGTAACTGTGTTCATGCGTTATGCATGCACACACATACACACACACACATGTGCGTGTGCACCTGTGCCTGGCTGTGTTTGTAATTGTTATTCTTATCTATGAACTTTCTTGTACACCTAGCTAGCTACAAAAATTAGTTATGTAATCAAGAAAAAATAACTCGCTCTCCTATACTTAATCACTATCCATCAATTGCGTTGAAAATGAGCGATATTTTCCAAGCGTGATGTCTCAGCGAATATTGTTCGAGCTCTGTTTCACAAGATGGCCGCCTCGCTCTGCCAATCGTTCCACTAGAATGACAGCCGTCACTAATCTGACGTTACAAGTGTTACCTAAGTGTGCTATCAAAGACAAAGGGGTAGTTGGATGTCAAAATCAAATTACTAGTTGTATTCTAGAACATTTTCTTTACATTTCATTTGCGCGTATACAAGGTAAAGGGACATCGTACCGAAAACTGAGATAGTGTATTCAGACCATGATTCTGCGTCAAAAATCATTGAATTTTTCACTCAGAGTGGTGGTCTGAATACACTATTTCAGTATTCGTTACGACGTCCCTTACACCGTGTATAATTAATGTAACCAAGTATTTATACAAACATGATTAAAAAGAGTGTCGTTGACTTCGCCTGTTCTTTTACAGAAGACCTATGAATTGGAACAGGCACCTAATTTCACGACTGACAAAATTACCTATAGTAAATTTAATTTTACGGAACAGTCTAGAGTGAAATATATTAGACTTAAAAATTTGATTTTTTAATAATTTCGTTTTATTCCACAGATGCTCACCCCCAAAGTCAGATCACAGGTCTGGCGTGGCTGGACGACGAGACCGTAGTGTCAGTAGGACAAGACGGAAACACGCGCGTCTGGTCCGTGCCTAATGCTTAGATCCTCTAATCAAATGTTTGGTCAAATATTCTTTAATAAAATGGAAGTATTTGGACGCCAAAAAATTATAACGTTTTTCTAATGGTATGTAATGAAAAATGTCACAATAATAACGTTACTTACGCCTTATAAAATAAATGAAATACCACAACTTAGGGTAACATATTCTTGTTACTTTAAGAATAATTGTAATAAAATAATATAACATCAAATTTCCATTTATGAAAGAATATATGTTCAAACGCATTTATATAATATAAATAACTCAGATTATCTAGCATATTTATAAAATAAACTAACGTATTTATTTCGCTTTACTTAAGTTATCAAATGGTATCTCTCAGTTTGTTGACATTCGTGAGATGATTGTTACTAATAGCGTATATGGCGTTCGTAAATGGAATACAGAATTAATTCATGAGATTCTGTAATTAAAATAAATTAAAAGACATTTGTTACCACTGTTACTCGTACACACGGCAAACGAACCTTTAAACTTTAGTCAAATTGGCAAAATATCAGCAAAATGCGTCTACGAAACTAATTTTATCTGTTTTTATTGTTTGATGTATCATCAACAGCCTTTATTAATCTACTGCTGGACATAGGCCTTTCCTTCGAAAGGAGATTTTGGCCTACTATACCACGCTAGCCAGGCGGGTCGGTATAGGGTTTGTTTCATTCTCTTTACAGTGCTGTTTTCCTGCGTAGTTTGCTCCAGTCGGCTCTTATGACACTTACATAGGGGTGGTGACATTGTATCACGTCACCTCCCGCACAAAACTTTAGTCGAATTGGCAAAATGTCAGCAAAATCTGTTTTGTTTGATGTATCACCGAACCTTATTTTTTCTACTTAACTGTTACTTTGATGTTATCAGGTAACAATTCAAAATCAAATTAGATCGTTTGTTCGACAGGATCTCATAAATTATTCTACATTTCATACGAATGTTGTGATTTTTTTTTATTGAAGTTTAGTGCGATACAAATGATTTTTATACCAGTTATTGCATACTAATATAGAGTGAAATCGCATTTATAATGTTCTAGAACGAATATAATGTTACATTATTCGGAAAGACTAGTTCATACGATGTGTCAAAAAATATGTTTTGGAAAGTGACAGATTAAAAGTTTTGATTAAATGTAAGAGCCCGATTATGACTTACTAATGATTTCGAATACAGAAGTATTATTTTTATGACTAATCTTTCCAAATAATGTTAAGAAGCGTATCATAACAGTATTTTTATACTAATTTCTGATGTATTTTTTTCTAAGTTTTACGCGATTTCTACTAAAATGAAGTATGTACGACTATGAAATAAACTTGTATACACTTGTAAATGTATTGTTTTATTTGTAACTTACCTATTGGTTATGCCGTTGGACCAAAACAGGCTTTGATATTCCACTAAAAAAAACTAAAATTTTACGTGACACAGCCGTCTGATTAAAACTAGATAGAGCCTGGACTTGGTAATCAGACTGCTGATAAACAAAGTTATATATTTCTAAATACCTACATACATATTATAGATAAATTACACCCAGACAACAAATAATCGTAATTATGACACAATTATTTGCCCTGGGTGGGAATCGAACCAACGACTCTAGCTGGCCCGTCAGGCCCGTTGACATCAAGAGTCTGTATTTGCGTATAGAAATACTTTTGGCCTTTACTATTGCTCCAATGAATATAATAATATAAAAGAACAAGTATTTAGTCGTATTCAGAAATATTAGGCAGAGATCATAATTTTGATGACAACAGAGTTCTGGCGAGGAAAAAGTAGAGAAAGGGTTGCATTAAATTATTTTTATTGAAAGCAGTAAAGCTCGTCGACAACTGAAAAACATAATTGTATAAAAGACAGGAGAAAGACTACTCGTACTTATTAACACGCTTTTATTAGCTTCACCTGTATGTTTGTTTGTATGTAACCGACTCCTTTGGGCGTAATTTTGACTGACTTTAAACGGTCAGAATTCGTTTAAACTTTGTAGATATATCGAGGACCGATGACAATACACTAATATAAAAAAAAAATGAAAAAAAATTATAGTTTAAAAAAAATAATTATAGTTTTAAAAAACTAAAAAACACGCTTTCTATAGAAAACCAAACTAAAATTTAGAAAATAAATTTGAAAAAAAGCGTTGGGTGCCTGTTGTCAATAGTAAAAAGCACCCAACGGTTTTTTTCAAATTTATTTTCTATTTTTTAGTTTGGTTTTCTATAGAAAGCGTGTTTTTTAGTTTTTTAAAACTATAATTTTTTTAGTTTGTGGCTCCGTACCTCGCTTGTAACTCCTGGGTTGCAGGCGTTCATTGGCAGCGGAAGTTACTTTCCATCAGGTGACCGGTTTACTCGTTTCCCCCTTCCATAAAAAAAACCTGTTTATGTAGATTGTGGTACTGGCTTGTGGTAAGCTTAAAACTAATCCAGGAAATTTACACGCGGTACTTTTTGTGTGACATCATAGATAGCGTGACGTCATACATAGCTATTCATCAAATAATTTATATTTAATGTTGATTTAAAGATATCAAATTAATAATAAAAACATTAACTTGATAATGGAGCACAATTCAGACTATACTTTAAGGTCGTACATTTAATGATGCAAGCGAAATAATTTGTTTAAAATCTACGAATGTACCCTGTTATACATTTTTTAACAAAGTGAGATTATGGAGGGCGGAGGTAAAGAGTAAACCGTCTCATAAGGGGGAAAAGTCGATAAAGTGTCTAGCTGTATACTGAAAATACAGGTCGCTGGCGTATGAAAATCTACGGTATGAACATAGCAGTTGTGGACGGAGTGAAGTGTGCTGAGTTCAAATACTCATGATATACTTAGTAAAATGTCAGTATATAAAACCCTAAACTATTTACGTAGTCTAAAATAATTTAGCAAACGTGATTTTCGTACTCTATCTTATTCTAATTACTTTCGCGTTCTTACGGAAGTTTATTCATACACAGAGACGGTTCTCCTTACCTCTACTCTCCACAAGCAAGATGTCGGTAGAAAAAAGAATAGGTTTTCGTAGTTCATTATCAAATACTGCCAAGCTTCGACGTGGGATCTCAATGAAAAGGAGGTTCAAAATATGACAATAAAAGAAAAATAACAGTTTAAATATATATTAACGTTAACTAAAGTGTCTTTTATTATTAATGTCTTTTAAACTAGCATAGGCTAAACATTTATTGAATAACAGTAAATAGGCAATAATTGTAAAAAAATTGCTAAATGTCCCTCCAAATAATTTTGATAATATTTGCTCGCAAGAACAACAAACAAGTACAAATCACTTAATTTAGACAAAAAATTTATTAAGTCAGTTTCGTATTACGCGGGTATTACATAACTATTTTTTTTAAAATTCGGAGTGACATTTCGAAGGAACCAACCACAGTAATCATTGTAACTATAAACTGAAAATTTTCTGTTTCCATAACATTTAAAGAAAACCTTTTATTTCATAGGGTTTGATAATATAATATTTATGAGTCTTGTATATTGCAAAAGTAAGTTTGTTAATTTATGACTACAAATCTTTATAAAGCATTGGCTTTATTAAATCATTATAGCACCCTCAACTCACTACGGAGAACAACAGCACTGCAAAACTTGACACAAACCTTATACAAACCCCTCTGGCCAGTTGCAGGCTGTTGATGTGATAGCACACTCAGTTATTTTATTTTATAGGGAATATGCATGTATTTTTTTTATTTTTTTAAACGATTCTACTAGTTATTACATTACCAAAAATAAATATAACACATCCGAAATATAAACCGTTAAGCAAAAAAAAAAATTAAAATCACTATCATTTTGGGGCAATTTGAACACGTCCATTTTGGCGCGCTTTTTTTGTGATGTCAGATTACACTTTCAGACGAATTCGATGTCAACAACGGAGTGAAGTTCACAAAGTTTGTGAAAGTTAAAAAGTGAGTAATAAAAATTAACTTATTACCATGGAAAAGCCAATAAAAACTTATTATAAATATTGTGCCGTTCCTTTGTGCCCAAATAATATCAAAACTGCACCTGACAAAGTATATTCAGTCATTGTGTTGAGTCTTTCTACGCGGGAATTTAATAATTTAACACTGAAAACGTATTAGGTATTAACTTAAAATGAAACAAATAATCACCAGAAACCAAATATTACAAATACACACAACTTGTTGACACTCTTGACAGTGTAGGTTGACGTCACATTTTATTCAACCAATAGCGTTGCGTTTTAGAAATTTGCGAGGGAATCTTAAAAAAGCCAATTTTTGATGATTAAATTATAATAAATTTCAAAAATAATTGTATGGGTATCTTTTTTTAGCAATAAAAATTACAAATAAAAATATTTTGTCCATTTTGGTGTCACGTGCATATTCCCTATTGTGTGTGTACCATAATTTTATTAGATGAAGAGGTTCAGCTCCTTATTCATCCACTCCAGCGCAGTGGCATTCGGGTGTTTCTTTAGTTCGGTCGCAGAATGTCCAATTCGCAAAATGTCCAGCTGACACAAAGTGTGTAATCCGCAGAATGTCCAGTATTCTTCCGGCAAGTGCCAGAACCGAGCTGGTTATGTTGTAGAATTGAGCCAATTCCACTAGCTACATGCATTTTTACTTTGAGCCAAATCTCACTTCGTGGAGGTCGTCAAAACACCTCTCGTAATCGGATCGGTGGACCAAGTGCGAATTAGATTAATTGCGAAATAGGCTAATTGTGAACTGGACTGATTTCGAACTGGACCAATTGCGAATTGAAGCAATTACGAACTGGACCAATTAATAATTAGACAGCTGGATATTTAGCGAATTGGACTTAATGCGCCCAAACGGTTTCTTTTAAGAGCTTGTTTGCATTCTTAACTGTAAATGAAGTGGTCCTTTGTCATTATTATGTGGTTGATTCCACCCTCATATCACAGAATAAAACAAACTAACAGATAAAACAAACATGCACAAAAACAACACTCCTATAAAAGACTTACAATGCGCGCAATATAAGTCCACCGAAGTAAAGTTAAGACGCTACCTTTAGGCTAACTTCAAGCCGGTCAGCTCAGAATACTTGTGTGGAGGAACGGGTGTCACGTGCCTTCAACACAAAGGGAGGATCCTCCGACCAGGCGAGGTGATCATGCCTGGCGAGCCGCGGCCCAACGGTTGATGTTGGGAAGTTGTATGTATGCTAATCGGCGAGAGAATTCTTCATATCGCGATACAGAATTAACAATTCTCATTCTGGAGTTACTCCGTAGTTCGGTGTCTTCTTTAGATGGCGCTGTAGTATATATTTCTGTTTTCTTGTATGTGGGAGTCGCCACACGTCTATTGTATAAGTGGCTTATGAATATGGACTAAAAATTACAATAACATTGATAAAATTGTCTAATGGCGCGGATAAAATCGGCCACGTTCGCCGTTGACAACATGGCGTCACAACCATGTATTATAATGAACATTTAATTAAATATTTATTAAACTTACAAAACAATAACAGTTATAAAAATGAAATGGTTGTAAGAAAAATGTCCTTAGACGTCTTTTTTTGGTAATACACCATCGGTGGGTATTATTATTATTAATAAATTAATCGATAAATACGTTAAAGAGCTTTGGAGATTTTCTAACATAAAATAACACTGTATTTAGTTGGTTGGTTCGTAAAACTTGAATATTTTCTATTCCTATTTAAAATTACCCAAGCTTTAATTCTGCATATTAAAAATATGTATTTAGAATAGGAATAAAGGTTTTCGAGAAAACCAACACCAAAGGTATTCTATTACCTTTAGTCTTAAAATTTGGGTTGATTATGACTCCGCAAACTGTTTACGGACTAAAGTAATGAAAAATATGTTCATTCTCGTCTTCATTGAACCACCAACTCGTAAGTTAACATTTTTGTATCTGTGGATTGGGGAAAAATATATTTGCTAATTTGTTTTCAATATCATACTCTGTGATCAATTCAGTATGCCATAGAGACCATAGAGCAACACAGGCTACCGGTGGACTACTCTATGGTGTTTACACACAAGAGTTTGTCACTTGTATGTCACCCAAAGAAGAATCAGATGAGTAAAATAAACAATTTCAATTGAAAGATTCACAAAAACACTCCCATTGTAGTTTCATTTGTAGAATTTCCTATTTTCACATATCGCCTCTCCCTTGTCTATGCTGCTGTGGCGCGTGTCTGTAAGCCACATGTTTTCTTAGAGCATCTCTTGATCTTGATACGTGCGAACAGGCACGGCAAGCGTGCCTTCGCCCTGCATGTGTCTCCATATGAACCCTCAAATTGTACTGGTTGCTCAAACGCTTGTTGCATATTGTACATACAGAGCTGTTTATACGCCATTTTCTATCGTACTGCTCCGGTGATTCTGGAAGTGACAGGTAATTTAAACATAAAAAAGTAGATAAAAGTAAAAAAAATAAGAATTACTTGACTGCACGGATGGCGTTAAGCGGTCGCGATGCCGCTTCCTACTACGCTGAGTGTTGTGGGTTCAATCCCCACATGAGACGACACTTTGTGTGATCCCAAAATTGTTGTTCTGAGCCTGGGTGTTCTTTGTGTCCGTTTCATGTATGTTTGTAAAGTCCCTCGCGACACAGGGTATATGCTTAATGAGGGAGTTGTCTTTTAAATATAGAGACAAAAATAGATGATGTAATTACCTAATCCATAATTTGTATTTCTTAGTAATGTATACGTATGTTTATCAGCAGTTTGAATACCATAGTACAGGTTCTTCGATTCTGTCAAGTTTGAAATTAGGACGGCCCTGTGTATCTTAAGTTCTAATTGCGTCTAAAGTAAATCATTATAGAATTTGTACTTACCACCAGCCGCCATAGTTGCGACCGGAGTTCCGATTTTGTGGGTACTGTATAAATTCTGGACGATCTGATCCAACTTGCTCAGTCTGTCTTTCTCGCTTCTCATCATATAATCGTTAACAAAGTTCACTTCCTTCTCGTTTGTCGGTGACAGATAATCGTCGCAGATCAATTTAGAGTCAGAATTCGAGTTTTCATTTATTAGTTGAGGTTGCTGGATGTCATTCTTTATTTCCAGATTAACGGGGGAGTTTAATTCGTCTTGAGGAAGTTCTGATTCAGTGGGAGTTAGAGTAGAGTTCTGGAAAAATAATAATTTTTGGGCGTAAATGTCTGTCACGCTTCTGGCGTAAACTAGCTTACAAATGTACACAGCCTCGTGGGAGCCGGTTATACCCTGCCTATAAACCCCACGACACCAGAGACGACTTGGGAGTCATCAGTTCTATTTTTCTTCTACGATAAGGAGCATTATTTCCCATACTTAGCAGAATAAAAAGCAATACGCACCTTCTAGTTAACCGGATTTTTTGTTATATGGTTATATTTCGATTACCCCTGAAATTAAGCGGAGCGGTTTGGGGTTCCGGTAACCATACTCATTCGGCGAGAAGTAACCAAAGAAATTGTTAACATCAGTTTTCTGTGAGGTCGTGATATAGTTATGGTCGATACATTGTGCCAAAACATGGATCTCCCAAGGTAAAATAATAAATGCAAAAGTAAGTTTGTTTAGAGTTAAAAAAGAACCAACCGTATCCGCGTCTGTAAGTCCAGACACTTTGAGAGTCTGTGCAAGTCTCAGCAATGAGGGCAGGACTTTCTTAGAAGCCGTCACTTCTCCAGTGTACATGAATGTGAGGAGAAGTTTAAGTTCTGCAGCATCACAGCCCAGGACCACCACCAGTGTGTTGTTTTCAGCTTCTACTTCCTGTAAAACGTTTCATATAAATCCTGAAGTATAGAGATAGAAGATTTTCTAAGGTTTCTAAGGCCCCTTTGTTTCTTTTTGATGGCAATTGACTTATATTGATGGCAAACAAAAAAATAGAAAAGAAAAGAGTGCAACGGTGGCAAGTCGGATTCGAACTGACTGATGACAAAACGACATAGTGTTCCGTCGCAAGTGAGTCTATTGCATTGGACCCTGTATACCTTAACAAGGAATTAAGCCACCAAGAACCCTTTCAGATCCAGACCGCCTGTTAAACAGTTAACAGCACTGTGAAGTACATGAAACCAAACCCCCTCCGGATCAAAAAACAAGGTCAGAGTAAGTGTCTGAAGTCAAGATATTAATAGTTATGATTTTGGGAAAATTACATTGCTCCATCTAAATGAATGTTGATTGCTTATTTATTAATACGTTGCAGTCTAATGATATTTGTATAGTTTATCGATTAGAACAGACTACAAAAAATATTAAAGACTTGGTTTTATTGATGTGTGTGAGTTGTCAGACGCCACACCGCCCCATCCGCGCGTGTCCGAAGTTAATCGGGCATCCTCGAATGAAACATATCCATAAAACAGTATGTTTTTATGAAATGTGTATAGCAGCTATGAATAAAAATATATGAAAACCTTGAACAGTTGAGCGAAGTACTGGCTACACGATGCTAGGACCAGCCTATGTGCCTTCACTGTAGTGCCGCTGGCGCTGAGAGTCACGTCCGTGAGGGTTCCTGTGCTGAACATCCGTCCTAAAGCTCCAATCACGCTGTTCTGTCAGGAAAGTTCAGGTATGTCTGTCAGTTTCAGATTACTTTTAAGCACCCTGATAATAAATAAGCACCTTTTTTGTTAAGTCCGTCAATATGTTTTGAGCATGCAAAATATTTTCGTCTTATTAAAATTAACAAAGGAATGAATTAGCGATATTGAGTGTTAATGTAAAATATATGTGTATATGCATAATTAAGACATTTATATTGTGTTATTTTGTACCTTTAAAGTACATATAATGAGTATTCGTTAGAACTACAGGTTTTATCAGATTTTATCGATAATCCGTTTTTTAATCGATGTTCTTTATTTGATTAAATCAGTCCTAGATGTATACTATCATGTTTTGTTACGTCACAATACGACGATTATATTAAACTTGTTAAATATATTTTTTTTTAAGTACTGCTATATTTTTTTAATTCTACTTCCCTTGTAAGGGATAGATCTTTCGTAGTTCCCTTTATTGCGATCTTCTAATCAGACATGTTAATTGATTTAATTATTATTGAGCTTTTATGAACAAAACATGTATAAATATTTATAGGTATATGTTTTCAGTTTCTTTATGAAACACAAGACTTGTTTCAAATGCAAACTGTAAAGTTAAATAAAACGACATACAAAAATATAACAAATCATTTATAATGATATAAACAAGAGACATGCATTGGTTAACCTAATTAAGCAACCAATCCGGTTGGTTAATTAGGTTTCGTTGTCGAGGTTTTTAATGTTGATGATAAGTTTGTAATTGCATCATCATTTGAGTGATTTAAGTTTAATAAAAAGTAAAACATAATAAAGTATTCTATACATGATACGATTCATTACGATTTTACAAAGATCGATCACAAATTGATTAAATTAAAAAAGTGGCCATTCTTCGTATAATCGTCCGCCCGTGTGGTGACGGATAAGAATACAGAGTGTCACCACCCCTATTCATACCGTGGGTGTCGTAAGAGCCGACTAAGGGAAAAAACTACGCAGAACAACAGCACTGCAGCGAGAAGGAAAACTTGACACAAAACCTATACCAACCCGTCTGGCCAGCGTGGTATAGTAGGCCAAAACCTCCTTTCTAAGGAGAATCTTATGTCCAGCAGTGGACTATTAAAGGCTGTTGATGTGTAATGTGATAATCAAATTCAAATAGCAACATTGCTAAAATTATTTAGGTATTTACCAGAAAATTTACTTTATATTTAAAGTATTTAATTGACACATGGTATATTAAAGTGTCTATTTAATAATATGTGTAAGTGTTATTAGAAATTTTTAGTCTTGTTTGTGATGTAAGTTGCCGATAACACTGCGATTTTCATTTATTTGCAAAAAAATACTTCTGCGTTATTTTCATACCTCTATAAAGGCTAATCTCTTTAGTATTTCTACAATAGAAAGTAACAGGAGATCAGTTCTGCATGTGGTTGAGGCGTTGTCCATTGCCAAAGCCTCAGAGTATTTGTTATCGCCGTTTAAAGTTCAATGACCCGTTAATCAGTGAGTAGACACTTAAGAGCAAAATTTAACAAACTTTAGGGCCTTGTATTGTTATAACTATGATATTTTTATTTTGTGTATTATATAGTACTACAATATAAAAAAAATACCTAGTATTGTCCTTTATGACCCAGTAAGTAACATTTTATCGTTAAATTGGTTTGTTGTTAATCTAACTCATTTACATATTACCTCGACAAAAAATAATTCTTAGACTTTTAACCAGCAATGTTAAATATATATAATATTATACTAAAATATATTAATTACCTCACTATAATTTTACTTTTTTAATTTATGTAAACTGACAAATTTTAAATAAATAGATACGCGTAACAACACTATTTAATATGTTTTATACAATATTAGTTGTCTTGACTTAAAGGTCTTAGTTACCAGGTCATTAAATTCCAAAAAAAAAATGTTGTAAAGATAATATCAGTTAGTAGTAGTATTAGTTTTTATCTAATTCATTATAAATTGCGAAGGTAAAATACAAGCTAAGCGAAGGGAGCTCATAATAATATATACATAACAATATTACATTATAACGCAATAACATTTTAACAAAAATAAATAGACACGATCATTTACATTCGGCATACTTTCAACATTTGAAATTAGAATACTCACAATATTTAACTTTCAAAATAAATAGTTTTAATCTGTACAGTATTCAATGAAGCATTTTATAAAATATATGCTGAATATTTTAATTAGCAATTCAAATTGTCAATTTTAATTTGAGCTTTTAAATTAAAGAAAGGTTTGTTGTAAAGGCAGCATAATGGTTGAAGCAAAAAAAAAGTGTGGCGATAAAAATGTAAGTGTACCTGTTTCCCTGAAGTGGGTGTGTTGATAATGTAAAATATTACTCACCTACCTGATGGTTGTGCCACCGCAACGAGAACTGTTGAACATCGTCCTCATCCATTTTATCACAAAGTACTTAATAAAAAAAACAAAACCACTAAGAAATGATCTTACGTTCACTATAGACCGTTGCACGTACCAAGTGGAGACAATTATATTGTTAACGAATCCAGGCTGCTTTATTTTAGGTCGGTACGCCTGGAAAACCTGTAGCCACCTATTTCTGGAGCTGATTGTATTTATAAATCCAATGACATTCAGCGGGTGACGCGGCTGACATACCAAAACTCATCCAAAAACAGATTTAGTTCGCTCGGCCGTAACGATTGGCATGAATGTTTGACTGATTGTGCTAATTGATGCGTTTTCAATAATATTGCGTTGAATTTTCGCATAATATCCTTCTTTATTTAATTATTTTATAAGTAGATACTAGTTTATCACCGTCAATATGTGACAGTGTTAATTAACTGTGAAATTTGTGCCAAGTAAATGGGATATTGTTTTCATGTTATTTCAATGCTGCTTGTGATTGTGCTGGTTTAAATTTATTTCGATTATCAAAATTTCTTTAATTCTGTTAATGTTAGTGAATTTAACATTCAATAATGAAGAAATAAGGTTTCATAAATATTGTAACTTTTTAATTTGATACGTAGAAGTAAGGATCTTTAAACAGATGAACAGAAAAAAAATTACAGCAAAGATGAGCTCTTTAAATTAAAATCACTTTTCAAACAAAAACAACTTATCTAAATCAGCCCACCCGTTTAGGAGCCAATGGACACATAACCATATCTAGTAATTACATATACATACATTATAATATCCCTTCTTTTATAAATGGTTATAGTTATAAGCAAGTAAATATTATATAACTAATACTATTTAGTAACATATATATTTATGTCTGTGTATAATATTAATTTAATATTTCTAACATTTCGTACGTAAAATTTTAAGACTGAGACAAAACAATTCCGAATACATTTTCTATTATTACACTTTTTTTTTAATTTCCGTACCAACTGTTTCAGTGTTAAAACTCCTACAATCTGGCTGTTTGTCGATGATCGCGTGCGATCGTTGACCTAATTCTGATTTTAAAAAGTTCCCTACATTTTCCCGCCTCGTTTGCGTTTCCGATTGTCAAACTTTGTAGGACGACGAGTTAAAATCAAATAGACTTTTATATTTTGTGAAAATATTAGCTGAAATTTTTATTAGTGTTTATTATTACAAGAACACACAAACACATTCTCGTTTGGGTATGTAAATATGTCTTACTTTTGTGTTTATTTTTCATTATCCATGCATACAGAGAAGTGTCGTATCTTTAAAGTTCGCCTTAATGTAAAACTGTACTTACTGGTATGTACTAAGAAAAAGGTTCATTGTGTAGTCTGTCTTGACTTTCTATGGCGAAAAATTTAATGTTAGCATTTACTTTTTTCTTGTTTTCACTTTCCGAGTTATGAATATTTGCAATAATTTTTGATCTGTAGCGTAAAATTAGATACTTCAGTTACAAAAAAATCGCTTTCACCCGTCGATATACAGGGTTACTGGTCGCCGTCGTATTCATTCATTCATTTAAAAATACAACTTCCGCACTAGGAATAAATGCTGTGTCGCGGAGGTCTTTACAAATATATATGAAACGGACATAAAGGACACCCAGACTCAGAACAACAATTTGTGGATCACACAGTGTTGTCCCATGTGGGGATCGAACCCACAACACTCAGCGTACTAGGAAGCGGCGAGGTGACTGCTTAAACCACTACGCCACCCGTGTAGAAAATACAGTATATTTTAAGGGGTTATAGTTGCCATCATTTCAGATAGATTACACTATGGAATACCATATCCTAAACCTAACAATTTTCAAGAATTTATACTAAGATTTTTTATAAAAATTGCCTAAATTTTGCATAATAATTTTTTTTTAGCACTAATATTGTTTTTACTGTTTTGGTGTAGTTGATACATTGTTTTACAATTTCCATTACCAAAATTGTACTTAACTTGACAAACTGGGACGATTTTGATTGTTTTCAAATTGCAAAAATAAAAAACAAATGAAAATATTTTTTTTTCTTAAAATACGAATATAAAAAAAAAACTCTATGACAGTTAAGTTGCAGATTTGTGAAAAACATATGCGTATTATCAGCTGTCTTATAAGGTATAATAGTCTAGGAGAGTAATATCAGAATTCAGAGAATAAAACTTAGATGAAAGACCGGGAGCGTTAAGAATGTGTGGAGGAACGGGTGTCATGTCCCTCCAACACAACGGGAGGATCCTCCGACCAGGCGAGGTGATCATGCCTGGCGGGCCGCGGCCCAACGGTTGATGTTGGGAAGTTGTATATATGCTAATCGGCGAGGGAATTCTTTATATCGCGATACAGGATTAGCAATTCTTATTTTAGTAGTTACTCCGTAGTTCGGTGTGTCTTCATTAGATGGCGCTGTAGTATGTTTCTGTTTCTTTGTATGTGGGAGTCGCCACAAATGTAAAAAACCCGGTAGTACCTAGTTGAAAACTTGCCTTGTATTTTTGGACTGTTTCTTTTTCTATTTATGACTAACTATTGTTAACTGGACTTTGATTTGTGCTTCCGCGATTAAAGATAACATTAAAAAAAATAGTCATATTATATTATAAATTCAATGTTACTTTAGCCAATAGCGATGGAATCAAAAGATCAATCCTTTGAAGATCTACCGGATGCTGACTTCTTTAACAACGTCAAAGCTACTATTGAAAAGGAGCTTGATAAAATGAAGAAAATTGTGAATAACATCAATCAAATGAGAGGTAATGGCGCGTTTTACATTTCTATAGGGAAATATATAATTTTTTAAGAAACCTGAGTAAATATCTTAATTTATTTTTGAATTATTTTTTTTAGAACACTTTTGTTTAACACTTGAACATTTAATATAACGTCTTATGTCTAGGCCAAAACCTCCTTTCTAAGGAGAGACCTATGTCCAGCAGTAGACTGTTATAGGCTGATGATGTGATGATGATGATGTCTATGTATGTTTAAACAGACATTTACTACTACTAAAACTACTACTAGTACTAAACTACTACTACTAAAACTACGACTAAAATGTTTTATAACCTAACACTACCTACATGTATTAGTTTATAATAATAATATTTAGGACATCTAAAACACAACGCCATCTAGTTTCAAACTAAGCAGAGCTTGTACTATGAAGGCTAGATTTACTGATAGAATACTTATAGACTTTTTTTTCGTAAACACATACATTATATATATAGAAAACACCCAAACTTCAAAACAAAGATTTGCAGATCATACAAACATTTGGTCCGACCCGGAATCGAATCCAAGACCTCAGCACAGCATACGCTACCACTGCACTACTGAGGCAGGCAGTTTAATCAATAAATTAGCCACTTACCGTACTTACTGGCTTTTGTAGTTGCTGCACAACATATGATTTGTTTTTAAATCTAGTACTAAGTTTAAAAGAATTTTAACACCTAATAATTAACGTCTCAAATCACCGTGTCGCTGGTGGTCTTTGTCACAGCACAGGACGAGGACGGGACCCCGGTATCTTGGTAAATGATAAATGATATTTATTTCTGTAAGTAAATCTTTTCAGATATTTTTACAAGTCGGACTTTATAGCTAGAAGGAGCCGGCATTTCCTAAGACTCACTCTGGGAAGAAACGCCGAAACAAACCACAGAGGTGTCTTTTTTAAGTCCGTAAACAAAGTTAAATAAAACTGTGTAAGTACAGTATAGGGTCTGGATAGGCCTTTTGAGGAAAGGACCATAGTTTTGAGTCAGCCTGTCCATACAGACGGCATACAGGCTCCAGCCATCGTGTAGCCTAACCGATATTGGTCAAGATCAACGATCCGAAGCATGACACTACCGCCAGCAGGACATTTGGGTAGGCCGTGGAAACACTCAAAACCACCAGAAAGATAATAAAATATGAATTAACATTACAAGCCTACACTATACTCACATTTACATACTTACACAAAAAATAAAAAAATAAGGTCTGGTAAGTATGGCGAATGAGGGAGAGCTTCCAACCCCAGCTCTTGCAGCTTGGAGACTGTCTGTTGCGCAGTATGGGGTCGCGCGTTGTCGTGAAGGAGCAGTGGGGACGACCGATTGACCAAAGCTGGTTGCTTGGTACTCACCAGACCTTGCACCTACCGACTATTACTTTTTCCAAAATTTAGACAACTTTTTAGTGGGTAAAAAATTCAATTCCCGAGAGGCAGTTCAAAATGCCTTTGAAGAGTTTGTTGCCTCCCGTCCAGCTGATTTTTACAATCAATAAACTGCCAATGCGTTGGCAAAGATGCGTCGATTGCATGGGTGATTACTTCGAATAACAGAAATAAAAAAGTTTGAAAAAATAAGTACTTTCACTTATTGCATACAAAACGGCAATTTCATAGGTAAAGACCTAATATATAAGTAATCAATGACCACATTATTTCTCCGAAAAAATTCTGCAATCTCACGCTGAATGATACCTGTTCCCAATAAATCCCCAGGGCGGTTCCAATATCGCTTATTGTGATCTAACTAGTCGTAACTTAATTATCGACAACGTGATCTGGTTAATACGAGGTAATAATAATAAATTATCCCGCTAATGCCGGATATTCGTTGCGTAAACAACTTAATTACAATGACTAAACTAGTTTTAGATGGTTTAGGCTGTGAATTAAAAGTAGTTACTGTTAAATTTTTCAAAACGGTCTGATAGTATTATTCTTTCGTTAGATGAATTTTTAGATATTTCGTTAGATTTTGGGGATCAATGGGTATTATATTCATTCGACACAGGGAGGATCCTCCTCCGGCCAAGCGAGGAGATCTTATTTAGTGGGCCGCAGCCCAACAGTTGATATTGAGAAATAGGTATATATGCTAGTTAGCAGTTACTCCGTAGTTCGGTGTATCTTTGTTGGATGGTACTGAAGTATGTTTTTGAATAAATCCTTTTTAAAAAAAGTTGAACCTACTTCAAACAATACTGACAAAGAGTACTAAAAATAATAATAATTGCAAATCTAAGTAAAGAAACTATAATAAGTACCCTGAATATAACAGGTAACATTATAATAGCAATTGTCCCTACTAGTCTCTTTGAAGTCAGTGCCAAGCCCGATGCACAATAACTTATACTGGTCTGTGTCAGCTTTATTATATTAGCATAATAAAAAATTAAGAATTCAAAATTATTCTAATGAAACATCGCAGATTTTGTTAAGTAATAAAGATCAACCAGATGTAATTTAACATACTACAGTTTGTATAGTACCAAACTGTAGTATGTTAGATTACATTAAAAATAGTTTAATAAGTCCTTTACTTTATTTAGATAAGAGGATTTAGATAGAAGAAATTCATCCCGTGGGTGTCGTAAGAGCCGACTAAGGGAGGAAACTACGCAGAAGAACAGCACTGCAGAGAGAAGGAAAACTTGACACAAACCCTATACCAACACTAGGCCAAAACCTCATTTCTAAGGAGAGGCATATGTCCAGGAGTGGACTATTAAAGGCTGTTAATGACGATAATGTGATGAAAAGGGAAATATACCCTTCCAAATAAAAAATAATTTTTATAATCGGTTTACAAATGAAAGAGTTTTGAGGTAACAAACATAAAAATAATTGAGTAACAAACATTTAAAAATAGGTTTTCCTGCTTTAAAATATTACTAGACTTTATGTGTATAACGTTGCAAAAAAAAAGGGGGTTCGGAGATGGGAAGTTTGATCCCACCCAGGACAAATAATTGTGCATCTGGGTATAATTTATCTATAATATGTATGTAGTATGTTTATCAGCAGTCTGGTTATCATAGCACAGGCTCCGCCTAGGTTGAAGTATGAAGTTATGAACATTAATGGATTAAAAAAAAAAAAACAACAAAAGTACTACATGCTGTCTTCATTTCTAAGGGCTTCCCTTGCCTTAGCTCTTTCTACCTACGTTTAAAAAAAGCTTTTTTGAAAGTCGGTCCATACACGATGGAAATTTCGATCTACTATGGTATAAAAAACGTACAACCGAACATTAGACCCTTTGATGGATTTGCTTAAAAATAGTTTAAATCCCACTTATAAACACAAGCTAGTAGTATAAGACCCATCTTAGATAACACAATTATAATAATAAGTATAATCTTTATTTTAACAATAAGTGGATTACAAACATTATACAGTCCTGAGGCCCAAACTAGCGCAAGCTGTGTAGGGAGTCACTTTCTTCTTAAAGACAAGGTGAACAAATAGAATAGTAGACACGATTTAGTTATGTATATTTAATTAGATATATTTGTGTGTGGGTGTGTGTATATGTTCATGAGGGTGTGTGTGTATGGTATGTGTGTAAGCCTGGGAGAGAGAGTATGTGTATGTGTGCTGATCTGGTGTGAGTGAGGGTGTGTGGCTTTCAACACCATCAAATCCCAGATCTTTAAGCCACAATTAATTATTTTTTTAATTCAATAATAAACGCTGAAAGAATAACGTAATAGACACTTTTCAGTCGAAACAGCTTACTTAGAATCTGACCTGTTGCTGACGATCGACGCTTCTACTTGGGAGAACATATTAGAGCTGATTGGTCGCGTACCCATGAAGATGGATGACTTATCTGTGAAGAAAGAAATTGTCTAACGTATCTATTTAATAAACATAATAACTTTTTACGGTTTATCTTTGGTTTATAATTTGTAAACAATTTGAAAAGTTTGATTGCTCGTATTTTTGTGTGTGTGTGTGTTAATGTCAACGGTATTGTGTTATACATCACAGTTTCTCAACTGATTTTAGAATTCTATGATACTTAATACTATTATATTTATAAATAACTGCACGGACTGGACTGGACGGATGGCGTAGTGGATAAACGCCACACCGACAATGGGACGACACTTTGTGTAATCCACAAATTGCTGTTCTGAGTCTGAGTATTCTTTGTGTCCGTTACATGTATGGTTTTAAGGCCCCCTGCGACAAGAAAAAGGTATATACTTACAAAAAACTCGGCGAAGTGTAAGTCTAATTTGTGCATCGAGAAGTAACCAAGATTTCACTTGTTGTTATTCTCCTTTGTAAATTAGTACATGATAATTTTTGAGGTTCATGTGTGTATTGATTTAAACGAATTTTGTATTTTCTTGTAAGTATTTTGACTGACTGACTGTCTGAATGCACCAAAAGCTAAGCTATCAAGGAGACGGGTTAGATTTGATCGGAGTAAGGTTTATACGTATTTTCATCAAAGGGGCTCGTGGCTAAGTGCTAACGGAGTCGGTTAAGACATTGCTAAGTTGAGTAATCCTAGCCAGGTTAGTCTATGGATTAAAGAGCACGTTAAGACTTCAGTCCCGGTTGCCATAAAAAAGTCCGACAATAGTTTTTCTACAGAACTTCGAAATCGCTCACATATTCGGGTTGTGGAGATCTGATGGCCGCTTAAAAAATCGAAGTTCAGGCGTATCGTAGTAGACCTGAAGCCGACCCTAACATATATTGGCAAAAAGGCTCGGAGGAAGAAGATATATACATGAAGGTTTTGTATGCTTATAATTAATTGCTTACACCACACTGTCTAACTGTTTAGCTATGAAATAATTTTCCATTCCAACCAGTTAAAAGTACCCAGTATGTGAGTGTACCAAGTCATAAAATTCTCAATATATGTGTACACTACGTAATATTTTAAAATAAACCTATAACTGTGCAAAGGTTTGGTGCAAGGGGACGCTCAATTCTTTTTAAAAGGATTTCGATGCGGCTGCTTGTTGAAGCCGGATTTTACAAACTTCACAACAAATTTCGCAATTAAAAATCGCCCTTACACATTTGTGATACGGTACATAGCAACGGTTTTTTCAAATTTGTTTGAAATTCTCGTGAATTATTCGCTCCAGAGGATCGTAGTACGCCAACGGTCGGCGAGGCGACAGTAGCTAGCTATTTTACGACATTCGACTACGGAATTCTTTCCGAGTGAAACGGCCAAAAATTGAATTGAATTTGATGTTGACAATTGGTGTTTTATTTTCTGTAAACGTTTAGCTGGTCATAGTTAAACATTTACAGAGGATAACATTCCTGGGGGTTGATTTATATCTATAAAAGAAGAAACTGACAGATTGATCGATCAACGCACAGCTGACACCACTGGGTCTAGAAGCATGATATTTTGCACAAATGTTTCTTAGGTGTCGTAGGTGGACACTAAGAAAGGATTTTTAAAAATTCCACTCCTAAGGGTGCAAAATAGGGGTTGTAAAGTTATATGAAACTTCGGTATTTTTTGTAGTAGCGTTTTCAAACTTACTGTAAATATTCTTTATTAAAAGTATTAAAAAACGTTGATACAATTTTTTCTAAACTACCTCTAGAAAGTTTGTATGAGGAACTATTTTTTCAGGTTATTGATTCCAAACTCCCAGTATAATTACCACGATGTCTGTCACAGGCAAAAACTAGTTGTAGATAAAATACCCATACACAGGTACTTTTTAACCCGACATTTGTGATCTGACTGATCCTGCAGTTTTGGTAACTATGATACACCTTCCAATTGACTGGCCTGTTGGTCTAGTGGTTAGTGACCCTTACTGGTATGCCAGAGGTCGTGGGTTCGATTCCCACCCAGGGCAAATAATTGTGTGATGAGCACGATCGCTTGTTCTGTGTCTGGGTGTAATTTATCTATAATATGTATGTATTTAGAAATATATAAGTATGTTCATCAGCAGTCTGGTTACCATGGTACAGGCTCTGCTTAATTTGGGATCAGACGGCCGTGTGTGAGATGTGTGAAAGTATTATTATATTATTAATTCGATATTGCAAATGAATAGAATTTCTAGACTGCCTTTGGCCCGTCATGTAAATTTAAGGGTGATAACTTTTTGTTATGATGCAGGGGTAGCCAAGCAGACGCGTCGTCTCATGGTTCCTGCAACTCGAGAGAGGTCCTTACACTTTTATGTTGCGAATTAACACAAAACTTATTATTAGCACAAAACGTCCCCTTGCTTTATTATCTATGAAATAAATGAGGCAAAAAATGTAAAGGTAAAATAGGTATGTAGGTTGTTATACAGCTAATAAAGAGCTGTATAAACTGAAATTATTCTTCTTTTTTTTCATCTAAAATGAAAACCTCATTTTCTCTAGAAAATATTATCTTTTTCAAATCATATCTACTGTTCTGCTCAAGTCGTCCCAGATCTAGTCCCCGAGCAATACAGTAAGCGAACTAATGCTAGGAAATGTCTGGGGACATGAGGATATAAGCGAATATCGCGGGACTTACGAATCAACGGGTTTATAATTTGCAAAGTGCATTTTAAATTGACGTGCCGTAAATTGGAATTAGAAATATGTGTGATTGTAATGAACTATTACTAGTCACTAAAAATATTGAAACTCACAACGCAGAAAGATCAGCCCCGGATCTACGATTTTTTTGAACCGGGGCTGAAACTTGATAATGGCCACCGTCTCTCCAGCGTTTCAGATAAATCCTTAAAAAAAATCTCAAAAATATATAAGTTCACTGGTAGAGTGGGCTTGTGTGGCGCCTTTTACGTACAAGTCGACGCGACGGTGAGCCAACCAGGCTTCCCTATGATAGGTGCTTTGTGGAGCAATTTTTTTTTATTTTTAATCATACTATATTATGATTTTGTCGCCCCCTGAAACCTGCTCTCGGGAAGCCTCATCTTAGGATTTGTAGTTTGGACTAGACAGAGCCTATACTATGGTAATAAGACTGCTCATGATATTTACATCCAGACGCAGAATAAATAACTGTGCTTATTGCACAATTATTTATCCTGGGATGAAATAGAACCACAGGCTTATAATAAACCCTTCATTGAATGAGTTTATCCTTAACAAGCAGAATTGAAAGTTTTTTTTTATTTAAAAAAAAGAAATCATTGCTGAATTACTTAACTAATAAATATTTTTTAATGTTTTAATGGTATTGTCTGATAACATATATAAATAATGTACGGAAACAGACATAAGTGTCTATTTAAATTGACACTCTTGGAGCTCTGCCTGGCTTTCCTGGATTACTACCAATTCTGGTAAAATATTAACTGTTTTTTTCCTAACTGAAGTAAAGAAATGAAATCCGGCACTTATGGCAGGCCTACATGCAAATAAAGAGGTCGAAATTCATGGCAACACTATAGAATGTTAGAAAACTCTACAATTTAGTTGACGTTCTATGATAGCACGGTAATTGTTTTGTTGTATTTTCTAGATTTCTCATTTTCTTTAATGGTTTTCCGATACTTTTAATTTTAAGAAACGTTTATTATTTCACTTCACAGTGACATTTAAAGAGTATGCCAAATTGTAGGTAAGTATTTGTTTGATTTAGCACCAAGTCTCGTCCTTTTTATAGATCACATTTCACCAGCTTTTTTTTTTTGTTGGGACTAATCCCACCCACACGCCCACCACTGTAACTCCTGTACACCAGGATCCACAGCAGTGACCCACGAACACACCGAGTTATGACACTCGGGAAGTCCCAGGAAGAAATTAAACTGTCTTGGAACCCGCAACGAAATTAATCACAAGAAAATTGGAGGAGTTGGAGATACAGTAAATCCACTTCCCTCCTTAGCAAAGCGGGAGACAAAATGAAGTAAAATGGGCATACACCCTTTTAAACAGGGAAGCACCATTTCACCAGCTGTTAGTTTTTTTGATAGCATCCTATTAAATGACTATGTCTATCTATAATGTCATCATATACATACATATACTTAGGAATTAATCCCCAAAGGGCAGCTACAGCTACAATAAAATTTTACGATATATTTATATGTATATATATACATATATACTCGTATATAGCTGACCAGGCGAAACTTCGTACCGCCTTAAACGGGGTTCAAAAAAATTCTTTTCAGTATTTAATATGTAGATTATCTACAGAGCTTTTCTTTGGTATATGTGGGCAAACGAGGAGGGGTGAAAAGGAACGAAAAACATTGTTTTGCTGTGAGACCGTGGTATCACTCCGGTCGAGACCACCCGTTTGTGCCGAAGCATGACACTCCCACGTAAATTTGATTTTGTAATAATCTTTATTTCATATGATAGTAGCTTTTGCCCGCGGCTCCGCCCGCGTGTACGTCGGTTAGCGCGGTAAAAAGTATGTCCTTCCTCAGGAATCAAACTATCTTCCTACCAAATTTTATCTAATTCGGTTCAGCATTTATTGATTCTCCATACAAACTTTGACGCCATTGTCACCCTATTAAATACTGATTTCTGGGATAAAGCTATTCTATGTCATTTCCCGGTACTCCAAGTATATCTACATCAAATTTTATCTGAATCGGTTCAGCGGACAGACAGATAGACAAACAGACAGGCACATTTTTTTACATTTTAATAGCGATTAACGTAAATGAATAAGAGTATAGCAAAGATAAAGAAACATTACCTGTTCAAAAAACATTTCGTCATTATTCTGTTCGAAAACGTCATACACAGGTAACACTCAAGTTCTGTCAAAAGATGTTCTAACTACTCCTAAAAATGACTATAAGGAAAGTAAACTGGCAACACTGACTGTTTTAGAAGATAGTGAAAATAACACGTCACGGTCTGAAGGATTGAAAATTTAT